CTATATATCACAGACTTTTTTGAAATTACAAGCAGTAAAGACTTTATTTTCAGGTTTGATTTAATCAGACCTGTTATGAACTGTTTCAACATAAGAAATGAATTTATTTGACCAAGCGTTTACCCGAATAAAAGAAGAATCTCGAAAGATTTAGAAAGAGCGGGAATAGGCGGACCAGAAATTAATCTTTGACCACCTGTCTTTGAGTTTCGACAAAAATCTTCTAAAAACTATAAACCCCCAGTTATTGTTTCGGACTAACTATGGCTATGTGTATCCAAATGGGCCGGAATAAGACGTGATGCATGTCCACGTGCAAACAACGACAATAGGCGGACCGAGAATCAGTATTTAAACAAAACTTACATAACCCAGGTTTTATCTACTTAAGAAATAAACATCTTTGGCCAAGTGTTTTCGAATTGCCGGGTACCACAAGAAGCTGGACAGAGGATTAAGAATCAGCGGGAATGGACTGACCAGAACTTGTTTTTTGACCAAAAAAAGCATGAAAATCCGTTGGAGAAACCGTTTTACTATAGTTGCCTAAGGGCAAACAGCGAAAATAGGCGGACCAGAATTTAAACAAAACTTTAATAAGCCAGGAGGTGGTTTTTGGTTAAACAATCATCCTTGGTCAAGTTTTACGAATTGAAGGACTAAGGTCCAGCGGGAATGGACGGACCAGAACTTGACCTTTGGCAACCTGTCTTTGAGTTTCGACAAAAATCTTCTAAAAACTATAAATCCCCAGTTATTGTTTCGGACTAACTATGGCTATGTGTATCCAAATGGGCCGGAATAAGACGTGATGCATGTCCACGGGCAAACAACGAGAATAGGCGGACCCAGAATCAGTATTTAAACAGAACTTTACATAACCCAGGTTTTGTCTACTTACGAAATAAACATCTTTGGCCAAGTGTTTTCGAATCGCCGGGTACCACAAGAAGCTGGACAGAGGAATAAGAATCAGCGGGAATGGACTGACCAGAACTTGTTTTTTGACCAAAAAAAGCATGAAAATCCGATGGAGAAACCGTTATTTTACTATAGTTGTCTAAGGGCAAACAGCGAAAATAGGCGGACCAGTATTTAAACAAAACTTTAATAAGCCAGGAGGTGGTTTCTGGTTAAACAATCATCCTTGGCCAAGTGTTCACGAATCGAAGGACTAAGAACCACCGAGAATAGACGGACCAGAACATAATTTCGACCACCCGTAATTTCCCCACAGTTTTTCTAGAGGCAAGATATTATTTACAAAAAAATTTTTAAATCACCTAAATGGTTGAAGAAACTGTTATTTTACATTTGGCATCTAACAGCGAAACAACGCGGACTCTAGGCTTATTTATTAGAAAATCTGTTGACCAAATAGATTATTATGTTGTAATTTGACATAAAAATAGTATGATTAAATGTTAAATTAATCCTACAGCCTAGTCTGCATTATTTTCTATTTCATATCGTCTAAACTTTATTCTTTGTGCTCGCAGAAAACTCTTCTAGTTCAACAGATATTATTTATCGGATTTTTTTTTTTTTTTAATGGCCAGGAGTAACTAAATCTGCCAGAATGAAACGTGAAGCACGTCAAAGTGCGAGCACTTTTTAACAAAACAAGCCACAAAATCAACGATGTAATTGGAAAAAACTGCGTTCTGGAAATTTTCACATTTAATTTTTCAAATAATCATATTTTAGAGGTACCAGGATGTTCGCGTTTACCGGTATTAACTAGTAACATTACGTACTGTCAGTTAATTTATGTCAGGTGACTCTCATTTTCACTGAAGGGACTTGGACTTTGGCAAAAAGATACTCAATTGAGGAAATTGTCATGACAGTAAATGTTTTCTGATAAAGTAAATGATGCATTGCGTGATTATCAGGACTGTTTAACATTTTGTACTCATTTAACTGAAAAGAAACTGACGACTTTTTTTCATTCATAGTTTTATTTATAGTTTTTCTAGGGCGATACAGCGAAACCTAACGACCTAATGGGCAAGGAGGAATTTTGTCTATGAGCCACACAGCTTTGTCGCGTATTAAAATAAAACATAAAAATACTATTTGACGTATTGTTCAAATATTTTATTAAAGTAAAACTTAAAATGTACAAAGTTATATTGTCACAGCATAAAGGCGGATAGCGAGACTAGGCGGCCCCTCGGCTTATACATACCAAACCGCTTTGTAAATACATAAAAATATTACCTGAACGAATATTTAAATGTATGAATGAAGCAAAAAATATTGTCCAAAACCATTACAATGTCCAAAACGAGACTAAGCGAGCCACACATTAATAGAACCTGCAGTACAAAATATTGCAGATTAACAATAAAATATGGCAAAAATAAAACTTGATATTTAATAAAACACAAAACATAGCATAGTTTTAAAAAAATATTTTCTTAATGCATTTCCAATCAGATCAATAATTAATTTTCCTTTCTCACTAGTATATTATTTTAAAATAAGTAAGCAAAGAGAAACTGTTTAAAATATTAAGGTATGTACATCCTAATAAAATTTATTAAATTGGTTTTAAATAAAATAACTTACACAAATGGCGTAAGTGCGCCGTTAAGATTCGGGGACCGCGGTGGCCGAGTGGTTAAGGTGTCCAACTCGTACATGCCACCTTAAAAGTTCTGGGTCTCATGGCTTTTTCATTGAAAATAATATGAAAAAAGTATTGTAAAGTTGTTTGACCCCTAGTTCGCGACACCCAATGGATAGTTGGATGTTAAGCCCTCCTGTATGACAATCTCAAGCTTCCCATGGTTTTAATTTAACATTGTTGCCATTGTAAAGTAACCAAACTTGATATCAAGCCAATTATATAAAAAAATAACACGTCAACTAATTTGCTTGAGTTGTTTAAGGGTTAACATTTGACATACCAAATACATAATTAGATCAAGTATCGACAAACTACTGGAATGTCTGATCGTGGTTTTCTAATTAATTAAACTGGCGGTAATAAGTCAGAGTACGGTGTTGGCAGTGCTTTGTTTGTTTTCGGAATGGTTTAAAAATATATAAAGCAAAATACAGACTTCACTAGGGATTTTCAAAGAATCAGGCCGAACGTTTGGCTACTCTGAGGAGTAGAGCAATGGGTTGTAAAAGAGCAAGTTTGTCATATTAAGAGGCAATGTCCTTCGAATCAATTACGATAATCATGATTTTATGCGGGATCAAATAAACAAAATCGTTCAGATTATATTCAAAACTGAAGGAGACTCTACAACTAGGTTGGGTAAAATTTTATTGCGGAATAAAATGAAATAAAGAAGCCGATAAACTGACGTTTATAATGACGGGAGATTAAATGATTTTTTTTTAAACTAAAGTTGGGGATAATAAAGTTGGGTAATCAGCCATTTGTTGAACAAAATACTGAACATCTAATGTACTGCCTATCGACTGCCCAAAAATAGGTCCAGTGCGAATATCTGCGAAAGTGTAATTTAACTGTGATTAAACTGATCACTGGATGAAAACTAATTTATAATTAAGAATTTTATACAACTTATGAACAATAAATTTAATGATTGTTTGGAGGTCGTGAGATGCTGTCTGGTGTGACGTAGGTTTTAGAAAAACATTTTCTTTGTCGTGACACGTTTCGATCTTTATTGAGATCATCTTCAGAGCCTGGAATTGATAAACATTGTTTAATTTTATAAATACGTGTAGGATGTGGGAAGAAAATGAATTTATACAACGATAGAAAAAAAATTTAGATTAAAAAAATAAATAAATAAATTTATACAATGATAGAAAATTTTAGATTTAAATTTTTTTTATTGGCCTTATGATCTTGCATATTAGCCATGGTACGAATTCTTGTGTGTTCAAATTGGGGATTATCGGGAAAAAAGGGCCAGAGGCGACGGTGGGAATCGAACCCAAGCCCGCGGCGTGAGAGTCTCTCATGCTAACCACTCGGCTACCGCGGTCCCCCAATTTAAAAAAATAATGAATTTATACAATGCTAGAAAAAATTTTAGTTTAAAAAAATTGAATTTATACAATGGTAAAAAAGTTTAGAATTTTAGAAAAATTTAAACAAAGTTTATAAACCCCAGGCCCTGAAGATGATCTCCATAAAGATCGAAACGTTGGTACGATAAAGAAAATATTTTTCTAAAACCTACCGCATCTCACGATCTCCGAATAACCATTGACTAACGGTCAGCAACCACCACACCAAATAAATTTAACACTTTTATTAAAAATTTAATTTAGTTGATTGTTGCAAACATTTCCGCTTGAGAAATGAACACCTTGAGCCAAATGTTTAAAAAAAAGCCGAATATGAGACGAATCTGGTCGAAAGTTTAAGAAACAGCGGGAATGGACGGACCAGCGCTCGTCGACTACCTGTTGGTCAATTTTACCTAATTTTCCCCATAATTTTTCCAGAGGATAAAGACATTATTTATTAAAAAAGCTTTAAAATCAGTTATAGAAACCGATATTTTACTATATTTAGCGTCTAACGGCGAGACCGCGTATTTTAGATTTATTTATAAGCAAATTTGTAAATAAAATAGCTATTTATCTCGCTTGATTTTTATTTGGTCAAGATTTGTTCGTATGTTTATCAGAAATCAACAGTTTTCGAAAGTTGTATACGTACAGTTGATAAAGAGTGATCCTTATATTTTTATCAAAAATTTATTGTTTCGAATTTCTTTGCCCCTGCACACAGCATTCTTAAAATTCTTGAAAAAAAATACTTGCCGAAAGAAAAGAAATGCTCCATTTCGGCGTTAAGTAACGGCTCCCGTTCCAGTTTTTGAGGAGAAATTTAATTCCAGGGATTAAAATTCTGTTATTATCCAACAGGGAGGAAAAACTCCAGGACTGCCTAGGGTCCGGGGTCCCGAGGGTTGTACGCGGGTTCCCCACCTGAGTGAAAGTGGTACCCCTCCAGACACTCGGCCCCGGCCAGGTACCGCTCAATATAAAATGGGCCCATCTCCCAAGAGTCGACAGTGTCCAGCCGACTTCTCCTACAGCGAGATGGGCCGTCATCACATAGTGGTCAGTGTACAGTTGAAGTGTTCTGTGACTTTGATACCCGTGCCCTCGGACTAACGTGCTTAAAATGCAACAACAACAAAAAGACGGACTTTTTACAGTGTGGACGGGAATGTGGATTCGTTCTCTATTTGTCTGCTCATTCCTTTAATACAAAGTTTTACATGACAGACAACGAAGTACTGCAAATTCTACTAGAAACTTTTGGACGCCAGTTTTCGACAGGATTTGTTTTTTTTTATTACACTATTTTTTTTATACTTTAATTTATGACATTAATGACTTCCTTTACTACACGTCTTTTTATTTGTCTATTTATTCTTGCTTTTGTTAGCATTTTCATTAACTGACTGGTGTGTTGCAGGTGTGGTTGGGTGTCGCGGTTTGTGTGGCGCTCGTCACCGGCAAAGCAGTAGATTTGTCGCAACAGCAGCTGCCTTTACAACAACAAGCACTTCAACAACAGGCGACGAAGTATGTATAAATCAATCAAAGAAATCTAAACATAATTATTACTTCAAACAAACAAATTATTAACAAATCACTTACATGCCCTCAAAACATGCAGTGCTGAGATAGATAAAACAAACTTTTATTTTCAACTCAAATTAAACATTACTTAAACTTTTAGACTGTCAGCACATAGCATTTCAGAATGTAACGCTTTGGTTATTAACAAAAGCTAATAAAATAAGTTTATGACTAAATTTTACAAATAAGCATCGTCTTTGGTAAATTTTACCTAACGAAAACAATAACTTTTCTCTCAAAACCTTATTTTAACTATAAGTGAAGATCATTTGTTAATAACACGATAAAAATAATTGGTAGTTTATCAAAATTAATTTTTCGTTTAACGTCAAGTCAAAATTAACTGGCCTACCGAAACTAATTGGCATCACATCTACTTGCAATTAACCGAGTTTATCGTGGTTTTAATTTCACATTTCATAGTTTAGAGTTGTATAAATTATACAAATTAAGTCTCAAGTTTTTGTGTCAAACAATATATCAAACCTTGTACGAACACTTTTTTCAGTAAACTTTAATTAAAAATTGTAATTTTGCTTAAGTCAGGTGCTTCATCGTTCCAAGTCGTCTCAGTTTTTTTTCTATTGTTTTCTTTTGATATTTAAACTGTTTATTTTAAAGTGAGCTACCTAATAGCTTTACACTGATAGCTGTAAAAATTGTTTATTGTAATTCACATTTATTTTCTGCAAAGTTAAAACCTTTCATTGCAAAATAAACAAACGCGAAATAAATGAACTGAAGACTTCAGAACTGTAGGAGTTTTTTTAGTCTAACAGAGCCAATTTTGCAATAAATCAAATACGTCGGGTACCGAGTACATATGGCATCAGTGCCGAGACCTAAAAGTGTTAACGTTGGACAGACAAGATTTATGGTCACTCATCTACCATACTCCAAATGTTTTCCGGCGCCTAAGTCATCAATGGCTATTTGCACAGTCCCTCCTTGGGGAAAAAAATAGTTTCTCGTAAACAATTAAGACCTGGAAGTAAATAACCAAGAAACTAAGCCGTACACTCTGTAAAAACCTAAGAATTTGAGCTTTAATTTTTGAAAATTAATTACTGCTGTACTCATAAACGTTACTCGTATTATTTGCAAATAGATCGCACCAAATCAAACTTAATTAATCAGTTATTTGAACTTATTATCAAATCTGATGACAATTTGTAAAAATATTAACAGATCGATAATTTTGTTTCAGTGTTCAGCCTCAAATTGAAAAAAGAGTGGGGTTCGAGGAACACGATGATCACCATCATCACCACCACGAGCACAAAGGTTATTGGAAGAAGAAGCTAATCTGGAAACCGGATTGGGTCAAGGAGTGGAAAGTCGCCTACAAGCAGGTCTCAAAACCAGCTTGGAAAAAGATCTGGAAGCCCATCTGGGTGCCAACCCAGAAACCGGCGTGGAAAGAAATCCAGGTTCCCGATTGGAAAAAAATCTGGAAGCCAGTCTGGGTCCCGACTAAGGTTGCAGTGTGGAAAGAATACTCCGTCCCCGCCTGGAAAAAGATCTGGAAGCCTATCTGGGTGCCTATCAAAGTCCCGGCTTGGAAAGAAGTCCAAGTCCCCGACTGGAAGAAAGTCTGGAAGCCCGTCTGGGTCGAAATCAAAGTGCCCGCCTGGAAAGAATACCAAGTCCCGGATTGGAAGAAACTCTGGAAGCCCGAGTTGATCAAAATCGGAATCCCCGGAGAGAAACATCTCGGCAAGGACGAACACGGATGGGAATACACCTCGCACGATCTCTGGAAAAAGAAGGTCGTCTGGAAGCCTTACTGGAAAAAGGTCTGGAGGACGGAAAAGAAACAGATTTGGGTGCCATCTAAAAAACTCGAATGGAAAGAAGATTGGAAACAAATCTGGAGAACGGAGAAGAAACAATACTGGGTCGAATCCAAGAAACTCGAATGGAAAGAAGACTGGAAACAAGTCTGGAAGCCGGCTAAGAAATTAGTTTGGGTACCCGACAAGAAACTCGCCTGGAAGGAGGATTGGAAGCAAATCTGGAGGACTGAGAAGAAACAATACTGGGTTCCGTCCAAAAAGCTCGAATGGAAACCAGATTGGAAGCAAATCTGGGTTCCGGACTGGAAGAAGATTTGGGTCCCTGCCTGGAAGAAAGTCTGGAAGCCCGTGTGGATATCCGAGTGGATAATCATCCAAGAAGAACACCATCCCCACGAGGACCATCACGACCATCACCATGTCGAACACCACGTGGAGCACCACGAGGAGCACCACGGCTGGGACAGGAAGGATACAGCCGTTGCTGCAGACACCAGCAAGATCGGCGTTGGAGTGGCTCAGGTGGCGCCAGTCAACAACGTCTCCTTCCCGAAATAAGACTGATCCTTTAAAAAAATGTTGCCAAATCCCAGTTTCCCTTCTCCTTACACCGTCGATGTGAACAAAATGACTTACCCCTTAAGTACAAAACGACGAACTGTGCCTTTTCTAGCTTTAGATTTGCTCACCAAGCGAGTTTTACGTTTGGCTTTTGTATATAAAATCGTTATTACTGTATATGTGATGTTGACGTTATTTGTTTGTTTTGTTATGTTTTGTTATTTTAATACCAATAAATAACAACTGTTATTTTTTATCAAATATTTATTCATTTTCTTGATTCCCTACTACCCTACTTGTGAAAATAGGTTAATTTTTCGTATTTTTTATATGCTTTCTTTATATTTTCATTAAAAAAGATCCACTGAATAATTTACCAACAAACTATATACTTACCTCAAAAATAATTTTACAAACCAGTTAAGCATTTGAATTTTTTAAAAATATACAATTCTTAAAGCAAGCAACAATTCTTGTTCCAGATAGAAGAATAATAAAAATCTAGTATTCAAATTAATTTAAATTTATAACAAAAAAACTAAAACGTCTAAATATATATATTTCAAATGCTTAACATTTATCTTTACAGAATGGCTCGACCCAAAACGACACAAAAAATGACCCGTTCACGATCAATGAAAGAAAAATGACAAGGGAAAAAAGGTGAAAGCAAGGATTTTTATTGGATGTGGGAAAATTTTACATAATGAAGAAGGTTAGCGAAAGTGATCAGAGAAAGGAGAAAACGGCCAAGGGTCAAGACGAAGAGATGGGCGTCCAAAGTTACGTCGGACCACATCTCATTTCCTCTTCCTTGAATTTCGAAAATTCTTAATCCATTCTCCAAACGAATAATTTCCCTGAACTTCTATATCCCGGGCAAGAGGTTGTAGGGAAGTACATGGTGGCCATTCTTCATGTTCCATCCCTTTACTAACCCTAAAACCTTACCCTTCATTCCCATGACAACCCTTCCCTTACAACAACTTTTCCTTTTTCCTATCCACGGCGTCCCAGGGTCTGGGGAGGAGGAGGTGTGCCGGTTCTCTAGAGGCAGCCCCACTAATCGGCTAGGTCATGGTGGGTAGCTTTTCTCCTGGCTGAATTATACAACTCCAAAAAATTCTACAATAAATGCCGTATAATTCGTAAGGCAAAATGCCGATGACGTAGAGGTCACAGGCCTCCCTCGGGCCATAATTGCCAAGGAGATTTGAACGGCCCGGGTAGTCGAACTGGACCAGGTGGACCCAGAAAACCAACCCGAAACGCCACCCTGGTTACTCACCTCCTTCATCGTACGGTGCCATAGCTAAATTAAAGAAAACGAGATACCCCACTATGCATGTAAAGCTAATAGATGAATATACAGATGTCATACCAGTTTTTATAGAAGGCTCCAAAACGGCAGAGGGCGTGGGGTGTGCCGTGTACAAGGATGGAGAAGTTAAACAATTATCACAACCTACTGCTGCGAGCTGGTACACGTTGTAACTAAACGTCATTTCCCTCATGCCAAGCTTGATCAAAAATAAAAATTAAAAAAATTTCTATTATATACCGACTCGCACAGTGCGGTCCAGAAACTCAGGAGAAGAGCCTCGGTGGGCCCGCTAATAAATAAGATAAAAGAGCAGTAAAATATAGACGCAGTTGGGAAGGTCGTGCTGGCATGGGTTCCCGGCCAGATGAGGATAGCCGGGGACGAAGAAGCAGACAGGATGGCCAAAGAAAACGCCGGAAGACCCCACGACGCTTCCCAATCTGTACGCCCCGCGGATTTAAAACTATTAATTTCAAGTAAAATAAAAGAAGTATGGAAAAATCACTGGGCTCGTAAAAATGGAAATAACCTGTGCCAGGTTAGGTAAAACGTCGGTCCCTGGTTACAAGAAAGGAAGAAAAACTTTATTCTGATACAGTAAGGTCACCAAAATTTTTACAATTGGTTGAAGCTCTTCTATGGTCACATTGTACATCCCAAAACATTTCCTCCTGCGGGCTAATGTACCTCCGCAGTTTGTTAGTAAGTGTGTTGGTGTCTCTTCTGCTTCCTTGCAGAATCTACATGTGCCATCTTGGATTGTTCCACTTTTCTTTAGGTGTCCATTTAATCTACAGTGTCCTGTTAGGAATCCTGTTAGGATTCACAGTCTGTTCCTGCTTCCTTTGACACATTCTGTCATTTCTTTCCTACCAAAATTGGTTAGAAGATTCTTGGATTTTCTATGTCCAATAAGTGAATTCCAAAGTTCCCTCATTTTTCATTTCTAAATTTTTACAAATCTAGCACTTGCATTTAAAGATTTTTAGTTAAAAATAGTAGAATAAGTTGAAATAAATCACAATACAAAATATAAAAAAATGGAAATGGTAGCAATATTAAGAATTCAGAGAAAATATGATAATAATAAAAGAATTCCCAGTCTTGGTCAGAATCGTAAAATTTGAACCTAAAAATTGAGAAAAAAGCTTTCTTATCTAACAAAAGGACATAATTGTTTGGAGGGAGATGCAGTGCTGGTACAAGAGGGATTTAAAATACGTAAGGGAGGCGGCTTTGCAGATGGCAAAGATACAGAATCCTACATATTTATGCTTGAAGAAGAACCGCTCAAATATGATGGTTTTATGACGTGGGAGATATAGTTCATTGGGAATGTACAATGCAAGGGTGTAATGGTTAAAAAAAATACAAACATTTACTGTACAAAATAATATACTTTATACATATTAAAATAGTTTCCAATACAATACAATTTGTTGTAGTTAGGAAAATATGGAATGTGACAATTTATTGAAGTAGTTTATTATTTATTACACTGCAATCCCTCTTTTGCAGATTAAGTATAAATACAAAAACCACAATTGTTTTCGTCCAAATCAATAATTAATTTGATTTGCTGGGCAAGTAAATTGAAATTCAAAAAATAAGTGGTCATTATACAAAAATAATCAAAAAATAAAAGGAACTTGAGAAAATACTTGATTTTTTTTTATTTAATCAAGTCTATGATAACAGAGCAAATAAAAGCTAATAATAAAATTAAAGCAGTGGCTGTACCCTAAATAATCGACTAACCAAAATCCAAAACTAACTATTCCGCTATGCTGCTCAAATCGCAGTACTACTTCCTACTCCCCAACGATGATCAGTGGAACAGCCTTTATAAGAAAACAAAATGATCAGTATTGTCAATAAAATGCACTTTACTTTTATCATGAATTTCTGATTAACAAATAAAAGGGAGAGTGAAAAATGTAAAAGTAAAATTCAAATATAATCATGATTCTGCTCAGAGAAAACAATTACTTGCTCAACTTTTTATTATTTCTAAGTTTAACTTTATCGAAAGATTAGTTGTCCTTTTAATTGACAAAAATTGAAATAAACATAAAAGCACAAGAAACTCACATTAACTAGGTTTTTTCTTAAATGTTAATTCTTTTTAAATAAAGAGAATAATTATCATAAATAATAATAAAACACTGTTGGAAAGACAACAATAATAAACTCATTGTGTAAAAATAGTCATCATAGCTAATCCTAATTAGTATCAAAACATAATGATTAAGTTCACTAGTTTTCGTGGTCCGATTGACCAATTAAGGAGGAAAAGGATTGTCGGGTTTTGAAACTTTTTAATGTGGTACAAAAATTGTGCCACACTGCTAAAAATTTGTAGCTACTAGTATTTGGAATTTTTAAAGGGTGTAATTTGATTGTTATGAAATAATTTTAACAATCTACCCTCATTAAATAGCAAATATGAATCTCATATAGAATGTCTTTTTTATGGGTAGTAAAAATGATCAACTAAGGCATTATTTTCTAATGTAACAATGTTTAACGTTAATATAACAATATTTGGATATATGAACACATTTATCAAAAAGTCGACTTATTTTTATTATTCAAATAATACATCCAACTACCCTTAGACATCATGGATGACCAATGCTTGGTACAATCAAATCATCCTAGAAAATAAAACATAACATGCATCAACTTCAAACAGCCTAAAAATTTATTCAACTTTCCTTTTTGTTAAAAAAAGAAAAAAAGGATTGCTGCCCCCTCACTCATCAACAAATAAAAGTACTTTTTTAAAGTACTTGTAAATATATATTAAAAGCCTCAAAACAATTAGCCCAAGGATTACAACTACTGCTTCATAAATTATTTACTAATTTTTGCTCGCTTTCTTTGTTTTAATTGAGAAAATAATTAATAATTCACTCTTTAAAAATAAAAAAATAAAAAAACTGAGATTTGACAAATCAACAACTTATCACAAAAAGGCTAGATCAAGTAAAAGTAAATCACACTGCTATATTTGACATCTAATCACACTAAATACTGACTAATTTATATTTAACATATTAATGACATTTAACATAGAGAATTTGGTAACATTGAAATACACTACCTAACAATTAAAAACTAAATTTGTTTTATTGATAGGTACCTTTGACCTCTTCCTTACAATGCTTTATTTAATTTGAGAACAAAGTTATAAATAACCTTTTATAAAATCAAATATTTAAATAAGTTAATTGACACAGCCCAAATGCTTGTACTTACATTAAATAACATATACACTTTTTTGTCTTGAATTTTCTTTGCCTTAAGACTACTTACTTAATGACTGGTGGGTGTAGAGTTAGGCGAGTCGATGGCAGGGTTAAACATAATCTCAGCCTGGTGTTGTGAGAGTGTGTAACCGTCTGACGAGTGAACTTGCTGAGCAAATAAAAAATAAATAATTAAACTCGTGTTTTTTAAAAAATAAACCATTTAGCACTTCTGCACAATTAGTTATATCTATATAAAAATTGTGGTTTAGCATAGCAGTGAGTACTTGATTTCAGATTTTGATATAAAACAGAGCTGTTTTTCTGTACATAGTACTTTATAGATATCTCATTTTGTATTTCTTTGTATATTAAGACTAAAAGTATTTCTTATTGTTACATGAGAAGGCCGATGGTAGAATACTGAGTACTCCATCAACCCTCAATTAGATTAGTTCATATATTATGTGTAGGGTGTGATGGAGGAATACTTAGTATTCCAATATCAAGTATTCCTCCACTGTATGTGAATGGTATGAAAATAGGAAAGAATGTATTTAAGAATGAGTGAAAGTATGAATGGGTTTGGCTTAAGGAACTGATTGTGACTGAAATAATCTAGATGTGTAAACAAAACAAAAAAAAAAGGTCAGACTGCCAACATCTGAGATGAGTAATTCTTAAGACAAGCCGGTAATTTAATGTAAATTTCACAATAGCCGGAATGCCATCCAGCTGTGAGAAGTGTTCAACTCTGCACATGGGTATACATATGTACATCAATGTGCAGATTTAAGCTTATATAAAGTAATCGGTTATATCTTTTATAAATTCCAAACCAACAGAAAAGAAGGTAGAAATTAAGAAATAAATTATCGCTTAAAATGGAACCGTGTAAAAACACCTGACACATTTCAAGAAATGTGTGCCTATTCTCTTTTTCTTTTTCCCCGTTAAAAACTCCATTATTTGAATATAAATAATAAAGGTGAGGTGAGTATGTTGATTCACTTTTTGTAAAGAATGGTTCTTACTCACAGTGACTTTTACCTCCTTTACAAAACGTACCTCAACATAAGCTCAGATCATACAGGCCAATAACTTTACTACTACTATTATTTGAATAACTTCTGCCTAAAATGTTAATGTCAATTATTGAGGAGAAAAAAAATAATACTGAACCTTTACGATTAACCAGATCCACCAAATCACCTGAGTAATTGGACAAGCATTTGAAGAAAAACAAACAGTTTCTCGGCTGTTTTCCTAGATGTGGCCCAAACATCTGATGTCTGACTTGAAGGTATCATATATAACGTAAGAAACTCCATTCCAGTAAAATACTCAAAACTAATCGAATCCTACCTTGCTGAAAGGTACGCCCAAAATAAGCAAGAGGCCTATTCGGAACTACAACCGACCCATGCTGGAGTGCCACAAGGCAGTGTATTAGGCCCTGTACTATATCTGCTCTTCGCTATTGATCTACCAGAAAGCGACAATTATAATAACAATAATAACTTTCGTTTTTACATTTAAATTTACAAAAGACAATGGACATTAATCCGTCTGCCAGGTGAAAACGATACCATGGCTGATGGTACAACAATTATGGCAGTTGGAGAATGCAATGATCAATTGGCTAATATACTGAACAATTTTGTTTCCTGGATTTATCACTGGGCAAAAAAATGGAGAATAAAGCTGAATAAAGAAAAATCGATACATGTGGACTTCACTAACCAGAAAATTCAATACATACCAGCCTACCTCAAGTCTTGAAATTCCTATGCCAACAAGGTCCATACCCCAACAAGGCAAAGTAACTGGTATGACATTAGATGCACACTTGCGATAGAAATATGATTACAAAAAATAAAAAATATTTTAAGAAAAGTGAAGAGCTCACCAACAAATTTTGGAAAATGTACTGGTTAATGGGCAGAAAAGCTATCCTTTGCCCATTGAAAGTAAGCTTTTACTTTATCAACAGGTCCACAAGCCAACCCAGTTTTAAACGTTGAACGCCTAGTCAGTCAATTCAAATGCATCAAACTTTATTGCTTGTGCAGTGAAAAAAACAACTATTATGTATATAAATTTTATTGTCTATGGTAGTTATTACAAAAAAATATAAGTAATATTTTATTTTATTATTATTATTAATATTTATTATTATAATTTATTATTATTAATAATATTGGCTATGTTAATAGCTAGATTGTAATATTTAATAATTGGAGGAAAAAAATTATACAAGAAGCTTAACATCCAACTACACATATACAAAGTGTCTGAATAACAATACTTTTTATTCAAATATTTCTCAAATTTACAGGGATTATTTAACCAGAACCATAAGCGATGACAAATGCAATTCGGACACCCTAATGTCTCACCACTTTCTCTGTATAGTGAATAGAAAAATAAAGACAGCATTGCTTTAAAAACCTGATTCCTGTATAAGTGCATATTTTTATTGCTAACTCTCCTTTTAGAATTATTGCATGGATTACTGCACAGAATTGCAATTGTTTCACAATTTTTTAATTTTTTTTTTTTTAATAAGTGAAAAAAGGGAAAATAAATAATTTTTATGAGTTTACAGTAACCACTAAACTAATTGAGGGTTAAATCTTTTTTATAATGTGCTTTGTCCAAGTTTTCAATTTCTAAGGCTAGAATTTCCCAAGAAAATGTTTTCTTTTTTGTTCAACACTCGCTGATCAGCTCTGTCCGTCCACCTTGGTATTTTTATTTTATGTTTTTTTTTCCTTTTTGTAAATGATGTCAAATCTCAGAATTTATTGTTTACACAATTATCCTGATTTAGAATGTCAAAAGCTCATCATCAGGTTGAAGGAGTTACAAACATGATTTTTGACTTGAATTGTAAGAGCCAACAAATTCTGTGATTAAAGCCATCATTTACAAAAAGTGAATCTACATAATCATCCCACCTTTACTTTTTCTATTACTTGTTTATGCCTCAATTTTCATTTATCAGTCTTTCTTTGGCTTGGGAGCCAAAAAGTAATAATGCCCGTTAAGTTTGTTTCTATTTTAAAACACATTATGAATGGTAGAAGGTAAAACCCGAGAAAGAGAAAAAACAGCAATGTATGTGATGATGAATTACAATGAAAAAATTCATTTGTACTTATTATTATTTTTTTTTTTTTTTTACTATTTAAAGTTGATTGATTAACAAGTTTATTGTACGGTACCTTGTATCTTAATTTCATTTTATTTATGTGAAGGAGTGGTGAAAAAACTTTAACCAGTGTGTTACAAGTAGTTCGCCAATTAAAAGAATAAGTTCACAATATCACAGGCAAGATTAGTCTTACATTTTCAGTTAATGTTCATCTTCATAGATGGGTACACAATGTTGAGAAGCCTTTTGTTTCCTTTTTTTTTTTTTTTTTTTTGTAACAAGAAAATTTTAACATAGATGCATAGTTAGTTGTATAGGTGCATAGTTGTATAGGTGTATACGTGTATAGGTGCATAGTTAGTTGTATAGGTGTATAAGTGGATAGGGGTATAGGTTCATAGGTGCATAGGTGTATACGTGTGTAGTTGTATAGGTGCATAGGTGTATAGGTTTATAGGTGTATAGGTGTATATGTGTGTAGTTGTATAGGTGCATAGGTGTATAGGTGTATAGCTGTATAGGTGCATAGTTAGGTGCATAGGTGTATAAGTGGATAGGGGTATAGGTTCATAGGTGTATACGTGTATAGTTGTATAGGTGCATAGGTGTATAGGTTTATAGGTGTATAGGTGTATAGCTGTATAGGTGCATAGTTAGTTGTATAGGTGTATAGGTGTGTAGGTGCATAGGTGTATAGGTGTGTAGGTGCATATTTGCATAGGTGCATACGTGTATACGTGCATAGGTGCATAATTGTATAGGTGTATACGTGTATAGGTGCATAGTTAGTTGTATAGGTGTATACGTGTATAGGTGCATAATTAGTTGTATAGGTGCATAGGTGTATAGGTGTAATGGTGCATAATTGTATAGGTGCATCTGTGCATAGGTGTATAGGTCCATAGTTAGGTGTATAGGTGCATAGTTAGTTGTATAGGTGCATAGGTGCATAGTTAGGTGTATAGGTGCATAGTTAGTTGTATAGGTGCATAGGTGTAAAGGTGCATAAGTGTATAGGTGCATAGTTAGGTATATAGAAGTATAGGTGCATAGTTGTATAGGTGCATAGGTAGATGTATAGGTGCATAGGTGTATAGGTGCATAGGTGTATACGTGTATAGGTGTATAGTTAGTTGTATAGGTGCATAGGTGTATAGGTGCATAGTTAGATGTATAGGTGCATAGGTGCATAGGTGTATAGGTGCATCTGTGCATAGGTGTATAGGTGCATAGTTAGGGGGTTATATGAACAAGCTATGAACCCTCGGGGTGGCATTTGAATGGGTTGTAATGTATGAGTTGGTTTAAACTTACTTGAAGGGGGTCAATAATTACTGGAGGAACAGCCCTTGATGAGTGAGTTGCGTAAAGGTCTGGGCTTGAGATATTTACAGCCTGGGTAACTGTGTAAGGAAGGGAAACCTAGAAAAACGTAGAAATTTGTTATAAAAAGTAAAGGTAAAACAATAAACAATTACTTACATTCAAAACTGGTGGGAAAAGGCCATACTTGGCCATAAAAAGCTGCTCAGTCACTTGCCGCAGCTCCGTTTGCTGTTCGACTATTCTTTGTTGAAGCTCTTCCTGCCTTCTCTCCAGCTGGTCGACCTGGAAGTTTTATAATGTACTCAACGCAATTCGCATGAAATTTTCATTCGCATAATGAACTAGTTACCCTCTGTGGGGGAATGGTTGTGATGACGGATTGAGTCGGAATGCCGACAACTGTAAAAGACTGGGTCGTATAGCCTGTCCTTTCGCTTGTTGAGCTTTTGTTTTCACTCTTGACGGTGCTGCCGACTTTTCCCGGCCTCGATTGCTGTTTTGTAAACAATTACATTAAACTGTAGTACGATTTCTGATTATTTCATACTTACAGCACTAAGAGAAGTGAGTTGCGAGTGCCTTGATAGAGGGGAATCTGTTGACATTGAATTTGTGTCTGATCCCATTTGCTTTTCCTGTTTACAAACTATCAGGAGAGAAAAGAAAATTTATTTTATAAAAACCTTTGGAAGTTGTTCCTAAACAAATTAAAAATTAAACAGCCTGGACAATATATAAACTAATTTCAAATTGCTACTTTAATCACTAAGGAAAAAGCTAATATATTGTAATTAAACAGTTTTATTGGTATTATACCATGAAAGGATGGTCTAAGAAAAGCATGTCAATTAATGTCGAGCGTTCAGTAATTATATTACCATCACCATCAATACACACTGAAATTTATTGTATTTGCCTACATTTGTATAGCCATGTTGTTGTTGATGAAGATGATGATGATGATGATATAACTGCTTAAAGCTTGGCACATAAAAGACTCCACTGCTCAGAATTGAAGACATCGTCCCATATTTTGATTTTACTGGTTTAAGAATTTGTTTACAATTTTCTTTCAATGGTGATAGTAAAATTGTAATATAAATTATCAGTACCTGTGGATTTAGAAATAGTGGAGTATTGATTCCGCTCGTATGACTTGTCCTTTTCCAATCCTTCAATAGTTTCATACGCTCCGTTACCTTGTTTTAATACATTGTGAAAGCTAAAAAAAAATATTAAATTAAAAAAAAGATAAAGTAACAGAAAGCTCTAGTGTGTAATCAATGCGTACCTAACGACCCGGTGTGTGCATACAATGAATTCTGGCTTTGAGTTCCATTGATGGTATGTTATATAAAACCTTGTCTGCAGCCAAATCCACTGTTGCCCTTTGGTAAGAAATCTGTAGTAACACGAGGTCCCTTCTCCCTTTTGCATTACTGGAAAAAAAAATTTAATAGTAAAATTTATAAATTAATTCAAATTATTATAAAAATTGACTTCTTGATAATTGATACTTACAAGCTTCATGGCACGTAACTACCTTATCTAAATCATCAATGTGATAATAATCGTACCCAGATGTTCCCAGAACTTCAAACGGCAAATAACCAATAATTGGAGGGGCCCTTAAAAATTGTAAGTTGAGAAGTAATCAACAATATAAAAGTAACAATTGACTATGTACCTATGGTCAAGAAATAAAAACTTCCACTCCAAGCTGTGGCGTGAAGTAAATTCGCATTTTGTTGAGTCGATAACGGAAAGCTCTCTTATAAGTTGTGGTGTTTGTAATCTCCCAGTGCCGACAAAAACCCATCTAAAATTTATAACAAATAGTTAAAAATACGGCCTCACATCAATTTTGATTTTCCCAAGTAATAATATGGCAAACTTAATTCAATACTATTTGCATATTTATTTAGAAATCGTGAGATACGGTCTGGTGCGGTCACGATTTCTAAATAAATATCGATTAACGGTCACTAATCACCACACATTTCTACACTATTTGCATAATACATATATATAATTTATTACAAATTTTAATGTAAATTCAGAAATCGTGAGATGCGGTCTGGTGTGATGTAGGTTTCAGAAAAACATTTTCTTTATTGTGCCATGATTGATCTTTATTGAGATCATCTTCAGGGCCTGGGATTTACAAACATTGTTTAAATTTAACAAATACATGTAGGTTGTGGAAAAAAGTGAAATTATACAATGCAAAAAAAATTTATATTCAATCAAAGTATTTCTACTCACTCAAAGTGTTTATTTTCTGCGTAAGTGTACCATTCTTGCGCGTCGTGTTGAGAGTGCAGTTTTGTTTGTAAATCCCAGGCCCTGAAGATGATCTCAATAAAGATCAAAACGTTGGCATGATAAAGAAAATGTTTTTCTGAAACCTACATCACACCAGATCGCATCTCAACGATTTCTGAATAAACATCGACTAACGGTCACTAATCACCACACATTTTTAATGTAAAGCTTTGAAATTGAATTTTATCCTCTTTTAACATTGGGGACTGTCGTAAATGAGTGGTTAGCACAATAAAATTCTCAGCTCATAGACCCTACATTCATGGGCTCAATTCCCACTGTTACCCATGAAAATTTCTTTCCCGTTCCACTTCGCCCAAAACATACTGAAATCCTTTGATAAAAGCAATTTAGTTAAATAAAATTTTTTTAAAAATTATTGCTAGGCTTAGTACACATGGGACGTTGAATCGCACAAACGATCGCGTGTAAATGAGCGCTTGTTGCGAACACATGGAGTGCTTGGACAAGAACAATTTTAAGATGAAAATCTAACTAAGAAAACTGCGACAAAAGAATATTGGGTCCATCCTATTTTTCAAAAATAGATTCAGAAATAGAATGTTCATTACTCTCTACTCAGATAAATAAGCTACATCATATGTATTTATACTTTGCCGAAGAAAAAAATCATGTTACAGGCCTTGTATCTCCTTCTGTGGTATAACGTCCATTTAGGCTATTATCACAAAGAGTATCCATGTCACTCCCTATTAAAATGCCAAAAAATTAGATATTTGCATATGCATATACTGAATATATATGTTGATGTGTCACTTACTGAAATTACCAAGAAACTGGACTACCTCATACAACGGTTCTTCCTTAATATCAGTACCACCACGACGACAATGGCATGTAAAACATAATTCATCTTCTAAAAATAAAATAATTAAAAAAATAAGAAAATTATGAAAAGAAAAAAAAACCTTGATAAATGTTATACCACTTTACCTTTGTTATTTTCATAATCAGAAGGATTTAAGAATATATTGTACAGTTCTGAGTGGTCCCCTTGATATACGATATCATACAAAGTCATTGCAAGTAAATCATTCTACAAAAAAAATGTATTAAAGTTGCCAATCATTAAAAAAATCAATATTAAACAATTCTTATATAAATAAATTAAATATTAAAAAAATATTACAGGAAAGTGTCCAAGAAGAGATGTTATGCTTTCAGAAGCATACAGAATCCTCCCAGACGAGGTGAAAACTATTATAAATCCATCTAAAGCCTGAAAAAAAGTAAACAGGTTTAAAAAAAAAGATGCCCAGGCGCAATTACTATGAAAAGAATAACTATTACTTCTAAAAAGAGATGTGTGAACTCTTCATTTGAGAGGAAAGAAGGCTTCCAGTCCTCTTGTATTTCATTAACCCTCGATTGTACAGCAATATCTAAAATTGAAAGAAAAAAAAAAAAGTGAAATTTCACCAATCGATCGAATATTAAAATGTAAAAACATTTTTTCTAACATACCGTTGTGATTTTTCAAAAACGATATTGTCGACTTTAGAACAGTGGATTTGTCCATCTTCCGACTATTCGTTGAAACCAAGGAGCTAAGTTCATTTATCAGTATATTAAATTGATCCCGCCTTTTCTTCTCGCTTAAATTTCTTGTTTTTCTAATTAAAAAATAAATAATAAAATAACTTATTAATAATCAGTAAATAACAAAACAGAGTCATATCTAATATGTCACACATAACAAAATGCAAGTAATAATATTAAATTCACTAATTTCGTGGTCCGCTTGACCAATTAATATATTACAATTAATTAAGGTTTTTAGTTGAGATAAAAAAGTCAATGGCACGAGCGGGATTCGAACCAACGATCTTCGGCTTGATACGCCGCTGCTCTACCACTTGAGCTATCGTGACCTCGATCCACTCTGACACCAACTTCCCATCTCAACCGCACCTCTTGAAAAATGGCAAAAAGGAGGGAAAATTCAAGAGGTGCGGTTGAGATGGGAAGTTGGTGTCCGAGTGGATCGAGGTCATGATAGCTCAAGTGGTAGAGCAGCGGCGTATCAAGCCAAAGATCATGGGTTCGAATCCCGCTCGTGCCATTGACTTTTTTATCTCAACTAAAAACCTTAATTAATTGTAATAATATTAAAATTGACATTGTTACTTTTCGGTGCAGAAAAGTAAAAATTAATATCCCTGGACAAAATTATGAATAGGTGTCAATCATCTCACTCTTTTCAGCTGTTTGTTCTTCGTTTGAATATTAAAGAAAGTCGAGTAGAAGTAGAGTGTTAAATACCTTTTAGTGTCATCTTTGTTGTCGGCATCATCATCCATAGTATCACTGAAAAGGATGAATTTCGCGATTAAAATCATGATCGGTTTTGTACAAAATATGCTCTCTGACAAACACATATCAATTATAATACCGAGAACGTTAAGAAACAAAAGGAAATATTATTTTCCTTTTGTTCTCTTTAATATTTATGTACATTTGAATAAATCTTACTCGGATTGTCTTGTAGAGCTTGGGCTAATAAAGTTTGACATGTTTCACCACCTTTCACCTCACATATTAGAACCAAGGAATGACGAACAAGAAAACAACAATTAACTTCACGTCTCGACGAAGATGATTTTCACTTTTTAGACGATTTTCCAAATAAACAACTGCCAAAAATCAACACAAGGTACAAACTGAAATTACAAACAAGAATACCTCCTGATTGATAACTGCTAGACGGTAATCACTAATCCGTTTCATCAGTGTTGGACCTAAAACAAAAACAAGCCTATATATAAAAACATTATTTCCCTTTGTAATTTTAACAATAATATTTCACTTTATACCATAAATATTACTGGCAAGTTTTTTTTAATGTTGTTTGTATAAAAGAGGAATCTGAAAATTTCAGGAGGGACCGATCACAATGTGAATACTCGCCCCTCTGCAAACCCACTGCTCTCAGTCACGCCAAAATTTATTAATTTTTTTATTTATTACAAACAAAAACTTGGAAGCCTAATATCACAAGGAAAAACAAGGTAAACAAACATAACAGTAAATATAGTACTAAGTAAATATAAGAAAACAATATAAAGAGAAAAAATAAAGTACTTGAATTTATATCAAAATAGGTTAAATAAAGAATACTAGACTGTGAAAACTATGAAAATATATAACTAAATAATTGGAACTTTTTCTTGTAATTTTATTAAAATCTATGTCTTTACTCTATCTCTCCTTCAACCTCTCGTTGCGCTCTTTTTGGAGTGGTTGTCATCTGGGTACCCAGACACATAGGTCTAGGGGTAACATAAAGGTGGAGGTGGTTAAGGCCAGATCGTCCCAAACTTCCAACATAACCACCTTGATCTGGCTCCCTGACACTGAAAATGGAAAGAAAACCATAATTAAAAGAGAGGCGTCCTCATTCGCATATCAAGAACACTGTCGATAGGTGGCCCTCAGAGGACTTGACTCGTAGAAGAAAAGAAATTCTCAACCGATAGGCCATGCAAGTGTGACACATGGACACTTTTTAGCAAAAGCCCGGTATGTGCTTGGAATGCAGAGAAAGGTTGCTCATGTCAATTTGTCATTCCTTAGCTCCATATAAAAAGCAAACAGTAATACCACCTAATATGAGAATTGTTCTTGATCACACAAGTTTTTGGGTCCTGTATTCTGATTCTTGAGCAATACTACTTTACACATCCAGAATGAATTAAATTTAAATTATTTTGGAGGAGTAAGTGATTAAAATAAGAAGCAGGTTTAAAAATCTTTAGATTATCAGAAGAAATAAGAAAAATGCATTGTTAAGCACACTTTAAATGTCATTTATGAAAGCAAGAAGAAGAGAGACCCTAAGTGAGGTCCCCGAAGAACTCCTGAATTTTGAATCATTTACTAGGGGCATCAGTGACTACAACGGTTTAGGAATTGATAGGTGCTCATCAGGTAAAGTTCCCAGGTTCAAATTCAGCAGCCATGCATTTGAACCGACATACTTACAAAAGGGTTTTTTCCAAAAACACCAGCACCCCAAGGGGTTGAAATACCCTCAAAACAAAAAGAATAAAAATCATGCCCAATTAAGAATAAGCGGTGTGGTGTTTTTGATTTGCAGACAGCTCGAGGGGTAGAAGAGGGCCCATGAGGCCGAACTCCAGCGTGATAAAAACCCAGTTTTGTGTGAGACACCAATGTATGGATAGATCCACATCCGATAGGCACTGCACTTTTATTTTAACCACAAGGTTTAAGGCTTGTGAAAGCTTGGTGCAAGCTGTCCTTAGCACCATGAGGTCATATGAACTTTCCAAGTGTCCTCCAATGAAATGTCTTTAATTTTTGTTTACAGGAACACAAAATTTTCTGTATAACATTTTAATACTGACTTACTTAGTATATAGTGTTCTATAACTTGGTAATTAAACATCCTAGGCTATACAAACTAATGGGGTTTTATCATTAATCTGGGGTTTTGACCTTTCCTCATCTTTAGTGCTGAGCGTAACAGACAAAATTAGCAAAAAAAAGGGTTGACAAAAATGATCACAGATGATCATGCTGATTTGATTTGATGAAGTTTGATAACCTTCCAAACCTCAGTGCAGTAAAATATTATTTGAAAATACAATAATCGAACTTCCAAATTTGCATTAATTTTTATTATTAGTAAATAAACCAACAAAATTTTTAGTGATAAAACATTTTAATTTAAAGTATAAAAGTGAAAACTAGGAAAAGGTAGACATTAATGATCCAAGACGATTGAGCCACAATAAGCTCCAAGGAGGTACCATTAAAATGAAATGAATGAAAGATATTGTAAAATTTCTTTATCAAATTTCTATTTTCACCTATAAAATGCTTTTGAAAAAAAAAATAATAAAAAATATTACAACCACAATTATTTGTCCATTAATCACTAGTTTGGTACCAAATCAAAGGTATCAAAGTTAATTAAATATGAGAAAAATGTTGGCCAGATGATCAAATTTTATTCATTAAAATTTTAATTTTATTGACATTGAGGGCGTTTCGTGTTGGCTAGCATGAAATTATAAATTGTTACTGGCATGCATCGGACTCACCAATTCAATAGAATGTTTACACAGTTTATAAAATTCATTTCAAAAAGTACCAAATCAATACAGATTTGTAGAGTTTAATTTAATACATTAATAAAACAAACTTTAAATATTTATAAATCACTCATTGTTAATGTTATCACTTATGATGATAGAGATTCTCCTGTAAACATAAATAATCCATGTTTTGTTCTTATTTTGAAAATCTAAATCAAAACAATAAATACTTTTAAAAAACAAACAACATAATAGTAGTATTTTGTTTTCCATTCAATTTATATATCATCAATAACTAATCATATACATGCTATTTACAAATGTACTGTACAGTAGTTAGCCATTGCATCTAATCGGCAAGCAATAACTAATAAAATCGAAAACAAAATTACAACAACCACATTTCAAAAATTTAAATAAAAAACTATTCCAAATTGTTTCAAGTTTCATTTTTAACAAGTTGAAAAATAAAGCCACTGCAGGAAAACAATTGGGATTTTGCATCATTTTCAGCAACGGTGTCACCTTGTCTGCTGAGGATAAGGACTGGCTTCTCCTGAATTTCTACAACTCCTAAAATGTGAAAACAATTTCAATCCTGTTAATTATTTTTGTATACTTTTAAAAGACACTTACTCTAACAATGCTTCGATCCGTCCGCAAATGTGCCTGACTCGAGCGTCAACATTTGGATTTGACCACATCGTGTGCAATAGTTCGCTTCCCCTTTCTGCTTCCAACATTGGACAATACCTTAGAGCTAAAATTATCATTTATTAATCAAAATGGCAATCAAATTATTAAACGTATTGTAGAATTATTTACTAACGATTTTTTGTGCAAACGTGATGAATTGCCCACACAGCCCACAACTGCACTTGTGGTACATCATTGCATGATAAGAGGGAAATAAATGGAAAGAATGACCTAAAAAAATTAATTACATTTTAATAAAAAGACTGGTTTATTTATTATTTTTTGTGTTTTAAGTGTAAGTTAACATATTAATTTTGCATTTTTTAAATTATTATTTTCAGACAAATTTATCATTGAAAAATGGAAATATAATCTGTTTCACTTAAAGCTTAATATTATATTTTTTTTTTTTTTTAATTTTCCATAAGACATTATTTAATAGGTTCTGTAAATGTAAAATCAGTATTAAATGATTTTACTGTATACTCTTTGTCAAGGCAATGTTGAAAGAAGAAATTTGAAACTATCTGTGAACTTAATTATAAAGTATGTCAATCTGTAGACATATTTCAGATAGTTTTGCCCTGATGATGACCTTAAAATAGGTCGAAAGTTTGGCAGTAACAAGTGAATTTGCTTTTCATGGAAGAAAAGTGGTCGATACATCTAACACTTAAATCAAATAATTTTAATTCCAATTATTATAATTTAATTTCCTTTTTTAAACCAAAAACCAAAAAACATAATAAAAAATATGTATTTAATATTTTTAAACCTAATTAAAAATTTCTACCAGTTTTTGAAAAAAATATATATACTACATACCTAACTACATACATACATACACACAAGGACCCAGGTCCGGTACAACTTTAAAATTTCAAATGGGACCCTGTAAATTCCAACACATCATTCTAAAGGATTTTTTTGAACTGAAATGAATGCTGCAACTTGATTTGAAACAGTCAACAAATAAATTTATAGCACAAAGTTTGTCAAAAATTTTTTGTCAAAAGTTTTTTTAAATTTTTTCAATGATAACTTTTTGTTTATTATATTTGGTTTCAGAAATTGTTAAAAATAATGTATAATTTCATGTTCAAACCTCCACCATTGATTAAGGCATGGCAGGTTCTCAGGGTGGAAATATGTAGAGAAGGATCTTTAGCTCGAGAGCAATGAATTAGGATGGATCGAGAAGGTCGGTGTGAAACTTTTGGAATCTGGAATGGATCAGTTCATTGACAAAAAGATTGATTATTGAGGTCATTCTGGATAGTGACGTAGTAAGGAATTTTGATTATTTGTCTGAATACTTATGTTTGAAAGGATTGCATGTGCTGGTTGGCTTGACAGAACCCCACAGTTTCACTTGATAAGTCCAAAGTGGTCTCAAGTTCTGTAGTAGTATTTCTATTAAGTTGTAGTATTAAGTTCTGTCTAGTATAGGCATTTAATGGATTATAACACAATTAACAAATCTGTGAGTAGAACCATCATTTAGAAAAAGTGGGAAGAAAAGGTCTTTGTAGCTGTCCAAGCATTCTATTAAGTAATTGTCTCTTAAATCTTGTGTGGGGACTCCATGTCGTCTAGGTACAGTTAAATCACTGGTTAAAAATAAATTTCTATTTTTAGTCTGGGCTTTAAAATTGTAGCTTGATGTATTTAATATACTGGTTTCCAAATTCTCTCAACTTTAGAGCCTGTGAGAATAAGAAGCCAGTGATCAAGGCATTCAAAATACAACAGATTTTTTTAAAGTTTTCACAATGAAAGTTCCAGCAGAATTTAATCCAAATCCAGCGTTTATGGTTTAAATACTTAATATATTCTTTGACTGACCTATAAGCGACCATTTCACCTTCAGGGGCCTCCCAACTTATCACAACCTCTCCAAGCTCTTCGAGAATAACATTCCTAGAAACTTCACAATTGGCCCAGGCGGTCTGTCCTTCAGCGGCCAAATGTGCCATAATCCCAGCAGCGAAATAAGAAACGTCAATTTGTTTTGAATGAAGAAGCCCTCTAAAAAAATAACAATTTTATTACATTTAATACTAGACAGGAAATTAAATTTTCCTTAGTACCTTAGTGTCGTGATAAAAAATGTTTGGAGGAGGCAATGCCTGAGTTTTGGCACTTCAGCGATGTTGTTGATTAGACCTAGGACTTTTGTTTCAACAGACGTCTCACCTGGAAATGTCTGTAACACTTCTAGGAACAACGTGAGGCCGCCTTCTTCTAAGAAAACTTCACATGTTGTCGGAGATTCGTCTTGAAAGAGAAAAGTAAAATTGTATTAACAGTCTCATGCCGCCACATTTTTTTATATGACCAGACTCAATTCCCAAGTTTTCTTGATTTTTAAAACTACCTATTAATTAAAATATTTACTCTATAATAAAATTCTAAAGTAAAAGGATTTTTTTCAGTAAAATAATGAATAATTATTATTATGATTAACAATGCTAGATGAATGGAAGATTACTATAAATTTTTAAGAAAACCTTTATTTCTACATGTGTTCGTTTCTTATGGTCTTTATATAAGACACCACAGCAAAAAAAAAAGTCTCAAAGGAAAAACAAAAAACTTTATTTTATAAAATTTCTTATTAATTTTACAAAAATGAGATAAATTAATGAAAAGAAATTACCTGTTAGATTCCATAAAGCACTCAGCGTGAATTTCATAGTGATATCAATTGTCCTGGATGCCTTTTTAGTTCTAACTAATCTAAGAAGTTTATGCATATAGACATTATTGGAGCCTAATTTTGAAGTTTCCAGTGTTGATATTTTAGCAGCTGTAAAAATAAAAAAGTTAAAAAAATATTTCCTTAATTATATTAACAATACTTTACCTAAAATAGAACAAATAGCTACGCTCATGCGATTCATCGAAGCATCCTCGAACGTACAAAGAGAATCTAAGACCAGCTTGGCACACATAAATCTATTTATAGGAACGTCTTGTAGAATTCGGTCGCTGCAGAGTGTCAATAGTGTGTTCTTCTGAAGTTGATAATGTCCAGAGAAGTTCTCCATGGCGAGGAGGCAGAGGTTGACTACTTTGGCTAGTGTCTGCGGGTGAATTTTCGTACCCAGCTCACTTTTTGTGAGATTATAGAGGCATGCCGTCGCTGCCATCTGAACTCCACAAGATTCTGGATGAAGCTCCATCCCGTTTAAAACAAGCTGTACAATGTTAAAAAAAAAAAAAAGAATAATGTAATAGAATATATCTACAGGGTACAAATTCAAATTTACTTACGTCAATTATATCCACTCGGGCTTCTGTGAATGACTGGGTCAGTCGAAATAAATTGTAAAGGCACTTCTGCACATACATTTGCCTGTTTGTATACTTTTTTAATGATAGTAAAATTTGTTCTTCATTGGCGACGCCCCCTACCTAAAGTTGAACATTTATTTAATTAGACTATTATTTAAACAAAATACAAAAAAACGACTAATAAATTACCTGTAGGTTTGGATTGTAATCTGGATGCTTTGGGTTTATGAAACATTCTTCGGAGCAAATTTCTAGATTGACAAGCCCAAGATACCTTAAATTTTTATGCTCTTGCAAGAACGTTGTTAAAACTTTACGACTAACTTCACCTTTCCCTGCAAAAAGTTATACAAGTTAAAGTTTTAAACTGAAAATTAATATAATTTAATATACTTTCTGAATTAAAATCATTTGACAAGTGAACATTGATTCTACTCAACAAAACAATATAAAAGTCAATAATAGCAGTTTTATAATAAAGTACCCACAGCCAGTTCATAATAGAAAAAACTACAATATATTTTTAGATATCTAATATTCCAAAATATAACAACTTATTATATAATGTATGTATGTGTTAAAAAATATTCAATTATTTATTGTAATAATAGATCTTATTAAAAATAAGTTACTTATCTTAAGCCAAAAGAAGGTAGAGTTGCTTTATTAAAATTATTTTATTTTTTTAGATACCTGATATGTCTAATGATGTTAAATGTGGAAGTGCTGATGGCGTTTGTAGGAATTTCATCATCATTGCTCCTCCAGGTTCAAACATCTCAAGCGTGTAACTTTCTCTCTCTTCCGAAACATCGAGAGTTCTCAACTCTTTCAATTCCAGCAATACGTCTTCACACGACGCAATTATTATAAACTATAATCATATTTTTGTTTTTGGTAACATAGCCAGGAAATTTAAATTTAAAAAACAAAACACACCTTCAAATTATACATAACTAAATGTTTCAGTCTGTGTTTGCATTTCCTAAGCGGCGATATGTCATCCACTCTTGTGCTAGATATATCTAGACTTTCTAAGTGAGGGAGATCTTCCACGACAATGTCGAGGGCATGCCTGTTGAACTCGGTGCCGCTGACATCGAGGGAGTGAAGCGACTTTAATTTTGAAAGAGCAATCATGACACAGTGGCTATGAGGAAAAAAGTACGTATAATTTTCTATCAAAGATTTAATTGTAAAAAAATACAAAACTAATTACCGTGAGCCCTCTGTGAAAGTGCTCCTCGCCACATTCAACGTTCTCAGGTTATGAAGTGTCCATTCCCCAAGACATGTGACCAGATCATTGACCGTAAATTTAAGACCGCAGGCTTCTAAATCAGTTATCTTGTGCCCTTTCAAAACGCGCAGGCCCTCCTTAGATAGGTTCGATGCATTTGGAATTGAGACGCATCTGCAATAATTATGTAAACACTTCTTAATTTTTCTTTTGACGAGAACCAATATGCAGTTTTCTCATATTTGAAAAACCAAAATGGTCATATGACAGTTCTTCATTCTTCCGAAAGCCAGAAAAAAAACATTAAGTACAATTAAATAAGAGGGATACTGTTAAAAACAAAGCATGTTAAAACTCAAAAAAATATGTTTGATTTTAACATAGTGCAATAATAAAGAATGGGTAAATATTATACACATTGTGTGGTGATTAGTGACCGTTAATCAATAAGTATTCAGAAATCGTATCCAGACCGCATCTCACGATTTCTGAATAATTATACACATTGTAATAAAAGATAATTTTATAACAAACAATTATTGCATATTCAGCCCAAAGATTTGTTTTTTTTTAAGATCAAATTTTGTTAAATTGTACTTTTAGAGATTGAGTGTTTTTTTACAGAATGATTGTCACTGATCGTCCTGATATCATATTCTCACTGATTTTGGTCTGCCAGGTGTGTTTCGGCATTTTGCCTTGGTTGATATACAAGAAGCAATGGTCTTCAACTTCTATTATGCCAAATCAGTGAAGATAAACAGATGACCAGAAACAATCAAGCGACAGGTCAATCACCACACTAAAAAAATGTTGATGTGTTAAGATACTTTATTTACTAGACATCTTCAAAAAACATGGTATTTACTTAGCCGCTGACCTAATTACATTTGAAACAGTCTGCAATCCTCATAGGAACTAGATAATATACAAGAATTCCATATACAAACCCCAAAAATATTTTTCCATACCCCCATAAACATTCTTCAAAACTGTGTATTAACTGTTGGCCTTTCTTTTACACCTTTACAATATATATATTTTGTCGTAGGGACTAAAGGGTTTTTGTATAGTTTGATCTCAGCTATCATCCTGGTTCGCATATTCTTGCTGGTATTGGTCTGTATGTCACGGCATCCTTAATAGTTAATCAATGCATGCTAAACCAGTGCAAAAAGCCAGATCAGAATGATTGATCAAGCTATCAGGTCCAATACACGAGAAATTTGAGTTAAGAATAAAAAAAAGTGTGTGGTGATTAGTGACCATTAGTTGAAGATTATTCAGAAATCAAGAGATTCAGTCTGGTGTGATGTATGTTTCAGAAAAACATTTTCTTTATCGTGCCAATATTTCGATCTTTGAGATCATCTTTAGGGCCTGGGATTTACAAACATTGTTTAAATTTTACAAATCTACAGATGATCTCAATAAAGATCAAAATGTTGGCACGATAAAGAAAATGTTTTTCTGAAACCTACATCACACCAGACCGCGTCTCACGATTTCCGAATAATCAGTAAAAAAAGTCTTGATATATTGTTTTCCTTTGTTAACTAACAAGCGTCTTCAAAAACATATTAGCATTTACTTAACTGCTTGCCTATCTGTTCAACAACAAACAATCTGTTTACGAATTCTGCAAGTACCCATCAAAATTTGATAACACACAAGTGAATGAATGACAAAACCAGAATGAATTCGCAGACCAGGATCATGATCACGCTACTGGTTCATCTCCTTGCACACCTTAATGAGATTGAAGTGTTTTTATAGAATTTGACCATCACCGATCAATGATCATCCTGTAGTGCATATTCTCGCTGATTTTGGTCTGCCAGATGTGTCTCAGCATCTTCAGTGGCTAATCAATGGTCTTCGGCTTCCGATAGGCTAAACCGGTGACAAAGGGCAGATCATGATGATAAATGATCAAGATACAGGTACATTTCATCACAAAAGGTTTGGGCTTTTATGGTAAAAAAAGTCAATTATTTATACTATTTTCTTTTGTTATTGTGTTATCTTAGAAGAGTACAAAAGCTGACCTATGTTTTCTACTTTGGAAAACGACATAAACAATCTGTTTATGTATTCTGCAATTACACATCAAAAATTAAACTGAAGTGAATGACTATTAAAGTCGAGTGAATTAGCCAATCAGGGTGATCCGAGGAAGATCAAGCTACTAATTCATCTTCTCGCACGCCTAACAGCAAGTGTTTTTATGGTAAAAAGTAAACAACAAATATCCTCATTTAGTTAACTGTTGACCAGTTTGTTTTTTCTCTTTTATTTTTGAAAACAAAGCTTGATTAAATAGCCCTCGCAAAACTTTGTATGCTCTCGTTCGTAAGAAAAGTGGATCCTGGCTGAGAACACAATGGGCAGATTGAGATAAGATTGACAAATAAAACAATCGGTGAATAGATAACGGGAGAACGTTGACATTCAATCGGATACATTTGGTACATTTATTTTCAACTGATACACTGAGGGATATTGAAGCAATTTTGAAATAGGTCTAAAAATAAAATTACAATCATCGAACAGTCCAAATAACAAAAAATACAAAGGTGATTTAGGCCTACTAATGCCAAAAACAGAAAATTGTGTAGTTTTTAAGTTTTTTCAAACCCTAAAAAAATGTTCTCTGATAAGAAAAATGTATATTTATTAAACTGAGAAATTATTATATGCAAAAACAAAAGGAAGAAGTTATTTGATGGTGCCATTCTTTTTTTAGAACATCTTGTGTAGGTGTATCCTTGCACCATTTGATCAATGCTGAGGTACCGCACAACTTGTGATGACATCGCACAAATGGTGCATCCATCGCTAAACTTTTACGATAAGGCCTAAAGTTAAAAAAAAAAGAGAACATTCACGAATTACCTGAGCCTTGTTGTTTGTGGTTCGAAGAGTGTGAGTGTCAAGTCATTGAGCTTTTTCTTGAGGCAGAGAGTGCGGAGGAGCTGTTCGGATATTTCGGAGTGAAAGTAGGCCTCGGTGTCTTTGAAAGTCAACCGTATGCCCCTCTGCGGCTTCCTCTTTGTGGATTTACACTGGTTCGTCAATACTGTTTCTTTACAGTCCCATACCCTCTCTGTCAAAGCCAGCAGATTATCACAGATATAATTGACACAGACTTCCTGGAGCGACGACGGAGATATATACATTATTGGTAAACTCTTCCTCGGTCTGTCCCGATTTCGGACGGGCTACGGTTTACTAATAAGATTTTGTTAAACCCGAGCGAATGTCAATTTAAATTTAAAATTCGGGATATAAATAAAATAACTGGTAACGGGAACCAGCTGTTTAGTTTACCGTTTTAGTTACGTTCCCGATCTCGGCCCAAAGACCTGACCCGTCGATTTTCCCAGAGGAGAAAGTCCTTTTATATTTAAATTAAACGCAAATCAAAATTGCGTGACTAACGCGTCCCACGACTGTCTTCCACTAAAAAAATCTCGCTACACTCCGATAAAACCTGACGTTGACAACCATAGGGGAATTTATCTAAACCAATCAAAACTGGCATGGAAATGTATCCCCATTTTCTTGTAGGACATGTAATCAAAACAGTCTAGGGCCTGACGAGAATGACCGTATCGAAACCATCGAGGGGGGATGACACACCCCACTTCATCTATCCTTGTTTTAATCAAATTACAAATAATATTCAAAATCACATGAAAAATAAGAACCGGCTTTTTAATATTAACATACATTTTTCTTGTAAAAAAAAAATTGTACCTTTAATCTAAGGTCTTGGTTTTAATTTATCCCCTAGAGACGAGCAGGCTTCGCCCTGATTTACTTACTCTTTCAAAATAATTAACTATTATTGACAGTCCTTTTTTACTAAGTCAAATTAACTTTTCTGAACCGAGCTACTTGACCAAGCATAATAGACTTTTTCATATTTCAATTCACACATTCAGTTACACAAAACACAAATATTTCATGACCAAAAAATGACCAGAATAAAGGTCAAAATTTCAGAAAAAAATGAAAATGGCGTTTTTCTAAACTACCTCATTTTTGATTAGGCATATTAGACTTTTTCATATTTCTTACGATTCTACAAACCATAGTAAAAATACTCTTAGTGACAGAATGATGCGTTCAGCCAATAATTTTGCAAATCTTACAATTTTTCTTTTTTTTTCTACAGTGAAATGTGCAGACATGTTAAATCTCGAATTATTATGTATATATGTTTTTTGTGGTAGTTGACACAAAACCAATATAATGCCATAGCACCACACTTTATTCCCTGAAGATGACTCAAATAAAGGTCAAAATGGCAGGAAAAAAATGAAAAAGGTGTTTTTCTAAACTCCTTCATTCCTCCGCTCCTCACGACTCCAAGAAATTACACACAAAAAAACATATTTTAAGTGAAATTATCTTTCATTATTTAAATAACAATAAAATGTTTTTCATATAAATTATTTAATCCACTTAGTTAAAAGTTGTGTGTTCAAATCCTGCAAATGACACTAGCTTTTTCATCTCAACCAAGACCTTAGATAAAAAGAATAATTAATTTATATAAATTATTTAACTTGCACTTTTGTATATATATGTATATATTTCCACATTTAACTTATATTATTTCTAATTAAAATTTTTACTGAATATCTATTATATCATTATTATATCTAAATATGCTCAAAATACTCTTACTTTTACTTACTTAATTAACATATTTTTATGTAATAATTTTCTAATATTATTTATATAATATTTCAAATATGTTATATTAATTTACAAAATTTACAATGACAATTATTATAAATTAATTATTACAGATGAAAAAGCAACCACTTACTTGCTTTTTCATCTCAACCAAGACCTTAGATTAAAAGAATAATTACTTAAAATAATTAATACAGTCAATTATGTCTACTAAATCTATATGAATTACTATTATTTAACTTGTTTGATTAACCAGTTTAAAAAAATGAACGCTTTACTTATTTATAGGGGTAAATATAGCCAGTTCTATAAAAGTATTTAGAGAATAATTAACAGTCTCTAAATACTATACATTTTTATAAGAGGTTGAACTATACATAAGTAATATTGAATAATTGAAATAAAATATATACACATATAACAATAGTTAAAAATATGGATATATTCAAAAATAACAATGCAAATAAACAATTGTACGTAATGTGTCGTAAAACACATATTTATAAAAATATAAAAGAAGTGAGAAAGAAATAAGAATAGACACTGAGAGGCAAGAAAAACTGGCCACCCTTAATATTTTTAATTATCTATTGGGCAATCCTCCTCTTGCAATATTTTGTCCATTTTAAAGGATTAGAGTTAAATAAAACAGATAAAATCTCCCATTTGTGTTAATAATTGGATTTTGTAAATAAATCTTTGAACAGTCTATGTCTTCTTTGCTGGTTTTTTTGTAAAACTTCTTTCTGAAACTTCTTTTTTTTTTTTAAGTTGTACCATTTTTAAATTTCAAATTTGTTGTATTTATGTGATACAGATCGGCTATAATCATACCATTGTTGAAAGATGGAAGAAGTCAAGTGTATCCAGGGTGCCTAATGCAATAATTCTATCAACTACACTTACACAATCAATGGCATCAATTTACTTCAGTTAACGTATAGGGCTATCTGACCAACAACTAATGTTTAAAAATAAATTTTAAATTTTAAGTTTAACTTCTAAAGCTTTAAAAATTCTAGGATTGATGATTAGTTTTTCAAAAGATTTTTACAATATTCACGTGTTAAAATTTATGACCAGATCTTTAGTCAGACCCATCCTTGAATCGTCTTCTGCAGTTTGGTCACCATAGTATCAGTATCTTCAAAATTCTCTTGAATGTTCTCAGCATAAATTACTCAGATATTCACATTAGGTTTTATACCAAAGTTATGCTGTAAATTATTCTAAAAATTTTATTACATTAAATATATATAAGTAATAATAGCCAAAATAGATATAATTATCTTATTTTTTCATATACTAGTTTAAAAATATTAGATATTTATATGGCTTCATTATAATTAGTGCAATATGTTTAGTACAATGCAAGATTTTTGTTAGTATTTTGCTAAAACTTGGCACATGCCCGTCAGGTCTTAGCCAGGTGGTAACAGTCCAACAGGGCGAACCTCCGTTGAGACCCCACGGGCGAGGCGATTTCTAACTTAGCAGATTCGCAGAACTAATTTAACAAAGCAGACCCCTAGTCAGTGGCAATGGTGTTACGAAATAATGGACAAGTTCGCAGTTGATATTGAAAAAGTACTGGACGAGTTCGAATACAATGAAGGTGATTAATCTTTAATAAAAGCATGCGATGTAATTAATGAACGTTTATTAATAGTTTCCCTAAGTTTATGATTTATTTTCTCATCTAGGTAGAGAAGAATCAATCGTACCGTCAGTTATCAACAACCATGCTTTATCAATTTCCCAGGTAATCATAACAATTATTTTATTTTTTAAATGAATGAGTTTGTATTTTGTATTCTCTTATACAATATTTTAACAGAGTTTTTCTGTTTTTTCATAGTTATATAATCCCGTTTAGAGAGGATTGTTTGCAAACGCATTCAACTAATTAGAAATGCTTATTGTTAAGTGGTACGATTTTCTTTTGAACTTTTACTTTTACCTCCACCGCTTTCGCTCTTTCTCTTTTTTGTTACTCCCCTCATTCTACTTCAATGAATCATACGGCACATACGTGAACAAGGTATTTCCTTATTCTCCGCACGATTTACAATTTAGAATTTGTGTTGTCCGTTTGTTTTTCTTTTTGAAATGAATTACGTCAAAGGTAGCGCGTTTTAAATGTGCACACACGTCTCTTTGCTATTGCTATTCATTGAAGCTAAACCAGTTGGCAGGTTGTGTTTGGAATTTTCATTCTCAGTCAACACCATTCCCATTTGGAAAAGTCAACAGCCATCTCTTCTCACAGGTTCTCTTTAATATATACTGTTGATGCACTCCTTGATAATATTGAACTTCCTTGACATTTAAACATTAATACCGTATCAAATGTCTCTTATTGTAAAATAAAAATGGTCCTGGGCATAGTCAAAATGTCAACATTTTCAGTTAAGCAACATCAGATGACACAAGTGAGGAATGTCAGAGAAAGCAGACATAAACATAAACATTTTTGTCTCACTCTCTCAATCATTACTTTGCATTTATAAATAGCAATTTGTTGCATTGGTTTGGCAAGAAAGTAATGTTGTTTTTCAATTATATGATTAGCTCAGTACTTACATTTTTTGCCTATATTTTTGTTTACAATATTCTTGTTTAATCCCTAAATTAAAAAGCTTTATTTCTCTTCAGTTTCTGTTTTCAACTAATTTAGTACTCCAATTAATTATTCATCTAAGGTTTTTGGTTGGAATGAAAAATTAGTGTCACGAGTGGGATTTGAACCCACGACCTTCAGCTCAATATGCCACTGCTCTAACCACTTGGGCTATCGTAACTTCACCCCCCTCGGACACCAACTTCCCATCTAAACCTACAACCATTCAAATTTTCCCTCTTTTTGTCATACTTTCAAATGTGTAATCTAATTTTTCATCCCAACCAAAAACCTTAGATGAAAAGAATAATTAATTGGGGTAATTAATATGATCAATTATGACAAATATGGATTGTTTAGTATTCTTTTTAATCCCTAAATTAAAAGGCTTTATTTCTCCTCAGTTTCTGTTTTCAACTTCTTTAGTTGTGTCGAATAATATGATAGGTAATCATGTCTTTGGATAAAACGCATTTAAGGCATTTTTTACTTCATGAATTAATTTGTGTGCACTGTGTTGCAGTGTTGCTAATGATGTAAATGTTCATAAAGTCCAACCATGGTTTGCTTGATTTAGGGAAGGGAATTTATTTCTCGAAGATGATGTGTGCAGGGGACGTTCTTCTGAGTTTGACGAGGCATAGGATAGAAGAGAATCCCCTTTTGACGACCCAATGACTAGGAAGATGTTAAATGTTTCTGCATACAACCATTGGAAACCACATCTAAAGGCTTGGATTTTTTTTAAAGTACATTATATGGATCCCATACAAACTCAGTGAAAAGAATTAGGCGGATTGTATCTTGATTCTCTCCTCTGCTGTCACTCTTACGACCCATTTCTTCATAGAATGGTAGCAGGTGATGAAAAATGGATCACATATAAAACCATAGTACACAAAAAAGCTTACTGCCAACTTGGTCAACGACCCCCAGACGCTCCAAAAGAACCAGTGCATGGAGAAAAAATGTATGCTGTGCATTTGGTGGAAAGGTCTGGCCCTTTTCATTTGAACCTTTTACCACAAGTTCAATTAAAGGGAAACTACTGTGAAAAGCTAACCTGTTTAGACTTTCAAATAAATTATTATTTGGAGATCGTGAGATGCGGTCTGGTATGATTAGGTTTTAGAAAAACATTTTCTTTATCATGCCAAAGTTTCAGTCTTTATTGAGATCATCTTCAGGGCTCAAAGTGTTTGTTTTCCGTGTAGATGTGTCATTTTTGTGTCATATTGAGAGTGCCCTTTCAAATAAAGCAAAAATGGCCTGCACTAGCAAACAGTAAAGTTCTTTCACCACGACAACACCTACCAGTTGCTTTGAGGACGAAACAATTATTAATGAATCTGAATTGGGAAATTTTATTGTACCCCCATACTTTCTGAACATCACACCTTGTGACCACTATTTATTTTGGTGATTACAAAATTTTTTTAATGGACAAAATTTTGAACAGTTCAAATGTTACTAGACTCAAAAGATGGGAATTTTTATGCGAAAGGACTAGACATGCTATCTGAAAGGTGGCAAAAAGTAATTGCAAACAATGGACAGTACACCTCTAAATAGATAAATAAATAAAAAAGTTATACTGTAAAAAAGTCATTATTTTCTTGCCACCCAATAGAAGAAAGAAAGAAAATAAATGAGAAACATACAGCATATTATTACAACAGTTCTATATTCATAAATAGCAATTTGTTGTATGTCGATGTACACAGTGGTTTCCATATACTACGCAATATTACAAACAAAAATTAATGAATACGAAATTTGATGTCAGTATTGGCAAAACCCTACAATATTTTGTTTGACTCCTGTAAAAAAAATTATAGGTGAAACAGTCCTTGTGATATGAAAATCAAATAAATGAACTTGCAAGAATGGCATGTTCCCACTGGAGAACCCAATTTTTATCTCTAAGATCTAATTATATTAATTATTCTTTTTTTACACAGCCCAATTATATTCTGTTTTCCAGAATATTTATGTTAATTTTTTTCAAACGCTTGTTCTGAAATTGAGTAACAGATTTATCCAAAATGACAAGTTATTGGAGTGTTTTGTACTTAAACAATATTACAGGCTATTTAAAATATTGTTTTATTTATATAACTTTAGTTGCCACAAACATTTTATAAGTAAATATTCACTCTGCACTCATTGTATGTTGGTCCTGTGTGACCCTCCTGTTTCTCCCAGCAAATGTCTGTCCTAGATTATTGAACGCAGCACCTTTGACATCAGTTTGTGGTGAACATAAATTCCTAGAACTAATAACATCCTGTCTGTCCTAGTAAGTGTTTGGAGTCCTCTTTATTGTTGCCCATTTTTGACTAATCATTCTACATCTACTACAACCTGGAATATTTTATTTTGAAGGGTTTGAATCTTGATTGATCGTTGGTTTGGTGGCACTTCCCCATACCTCACTGTTTTAGAGCAAGACAATCAAAGGATAAATTTATACAATGCACACCATTTATTTGTAGATATGGAAGAGAGGTGAGCATGTTTTTTTTGTAGTTTGGAGATTATGGAAGTTGAGGCTTTGGTCCTTGGTGATTCCCAGATATTTTACTGACCGATCTTTGGAAGTTTCAGGATTCTCCATCCACTTTCAATTGTTGGGGGTTCATTGTATTATGGATTGTGAATATTTTAGCCTTGCTTTGTTCGGATTAATTTAGTTTCCGTGTCTTAAAGTATTAAAGTAAGTATTATTATATGTATTAAAGTAAGTGCCACTTCACTTAAGGCGATATGAACTGTCGAGCTGGCATTTTGTACAATACGATCTGCTGAGTATATACAATCTTATCATCGATGTAAATTGCATAGAAGTTCATAGATGAAGAAATTTAGCAGGATGGGAGAAAGAAATACTGAACCATGTGGAGTGTCTGTTTAGATGCATACGTGAAACAGTCATGTATGTATCTGTACCTTAAAGTTTCTATTACTTTCAAACGAGCATATTATATTTAAAGATACCCAGGGAGTCCATTATATTTCAGTTTATGCAGTAGGCCAACATGCCATACCCTGTCAAAAGCTTGTCTCAGGTCTAGGAATATGACAATTCTATGTTGTTTTGCGTCGAACTGTTCTCTGATTATTTCTTTAGTCAATCTATGTATGTACTTGGTGTGTGGTTCAATGCCCTGGTTTAAATCCAAACTGGAATGTAGCAATCAATTCGTTTAAGAACGGCTGGAGTTTGGTGTGATTAGTTTTTCATAGAGCTTTCTGGGTATTTAGAGTATGCTGGTCACCTGTTACTATCTTTTTTTTCTTTCCATGGATTATTTTAAAATTCCATTTCTGAGGTTGTTGTTCTCTTTCTTTACAACAAAAAGAATATATTTAGTTGAGTTTGTCAGATTTAATCGAGAACTATTTTAAAAATTTTGTTTTTGAACCTATTAATATTTATTATAGCCTATTATTATAAATTGAGCCTACAAAAGAATTTTAACTATCACAAGTGTGGAATGTCAGGGAAAGCAGACACAGACTTTTTTTTAATACGAGCAGATCTGTCATTTAGAATGTGTGATTAGCATCAAAATAAGGTGAATTTCAGAGAAAGTAGTAAGCATCAAAAACATCTAGGAAAAAATACTATTTAAAGTTCTGCCAGTATTTTACTTCATAAGCTTTGTAATAAATACACATTGTTTGTACTAACATACATGAAAATATAACAATTAAATAAAATGTTTTACAAGATTTATTTGAACTTGAACTTTAAATTTTTGACTTTTTTCAAAGTTGATTTTTTGGACTATTTCTCAGAGAAACCAAATTTGTTTGAATAAAGCATTTCTGAGATTATTTTTTATCATTAATGAATTTTCATTAAATCCGTATTTGAACATTTGTACATTTATCCTACTTTGAGAACGTCATTCTCTTCAAATAATACTCTTTAGATGTGATTCTATTCCATTGAATCTAGAATATTTAATTTTTTGAGGTGGTTATTCATTTTTTCTGTCCTAAAAGGTTTGTTAAGAAACTCGATCCACTTTTACAATACTTATTTAAATGTTGGCATGGTAAAGAAAATGTTTTTGTAAACCTACATCATATCAGACCTCATCTCAAGATCTTTAAATAATCATTATTTAACGGTCACTAAATTATAAATTTAATTTTTGAGCTTATTCTTATTTCAAACAATAAGATAATGAGACTATTCCCGCTTGGCCAAAAATTATTTGAAAATTTCACTTTTAATCTTGCAAAATTATTATTTTACCACAAAAGAATTTTAATTTTTGTGATACTGCCAATCATACAAGCATCAAAACTTTTTTTTTTTTTTTTTTAAATTGAATCTGTTATTTTCACTTCTTATCGTTTTGTTGAGGTTTGTATTTTGAAATAATTTTAACCTGTGTGAAAAAATTTGTCGTCAGCATTACTGATTATTTTAAAATGTTTTACCATGGCCCATTAAAATAAGAATAAGTATTTATCAGTTAATTTAACCGCATACTATATTTCTATTACATATATAAAATCAATAAAAATGTTTTGGCGTTATCTTGGTTCTCGATATCTTGGTTAGATGATAGTAAGTTCGATTAACTGAAATTCTATTGACTTAAAAAACAAGCAACCAACCTCAATGGCATGTTCTCATGAGATCCCCAGATTTTTATCTCTCACGCTTCTATTACTAAGCGTATATGAATTACATAATAGTGTTAATTATAAAATAGGTAAACCATATTTTTTTAATGATTTTTCTTTTCAATTTATATTTCTCATTTTAAAGATTTGCCTTCTTTGATTCATATGTGTGTGTATTTTAATTCTGATTTCAATTTTTTTTTTAAACTAATGCGTGCTAGCAATTAATATATGTCATTATTTGTACTAACTGAATAGTGTTTCCCTAATGGTTGATATTACAGTATTTCATTCAACACAAAGAAAATATTAAAAACAAAGGAAAAAAGTAATAGTAATTGGTTGGGTGACATGGCATTTTATGTCTATTTTATTCATATATTTTTTGGTCATTTACTGATTCATATTTTACATATCTACTTATAATGGGTTCATCTCACCAGTTAACAGACTAGACTGAATTGTAATTAAAAAAAGATAAATAAACGATAACCTATGAAATAATTATGCTCTGTTACTTAAAAGTAAGCAGAGAAACAAAAATTATGTGGTGGTGTCTTTCAAAAGGAGTTGTTTTTAAAAAAAATCTAATTTTAAATGTTATTATCACAAAATTTGCAACTTGGTGACTGTCCTTGCAAAGTGATTTAATGAAGGTTAAAGACAAATGTTTCTTTCAGAAATGAGTTTTGCATTTTGAACTAATTTGTTAAACCTTTTATCATTTATTAACTTTAAATGTCTACAAGTTGGATGTATTATTTAATAATTCATTTGTAATGTTTTTCCAGAAGCCTTTTAAAACACCTGCTTCAACCTACCGTAGGCCTGCTTTTGAACCGATAAATCTCGCCGATGCGGATTTCGCAGCCACTCCTATAAATCCTCAAAATTACACGAGTCTTATAAAGCAACACAATTTCCAGGATGTTTATAACAACAGCAACAACAACGGGGAATCTGAAAGTGTAAATGCCATCTCAGCCAATTGTTTCAATCAGAACGAGAACATCGAGAAAAAAGAAGACATCTGTGACAGTAACGTTAGTTTGAGTGAGAACAGTGAGGAAGTAGAAATTTGCTCTGATGGGACTCCTGATTTGTTGGACTCAAATGCAATCAAGCCAGTTCAAAAAAACATTAATGAAGATCCAGAGTTGCACAATCAACTTCCTGACATAACATCAGTAAGAAACACTGGTTTGGTTCAGATAGAGAAGACTGATATCCAGCCAGTCTTTGACCTTATAAAACAGACGAAACCTGTAGAAGATGATCTACCACCAGTTGTTGAAGTCAGTTCCCTTATCGAAGAGGAAGATACAAAATTAAAGCCTGTAGGATTTGATAATGATAACATCTCTGAGGCTGAACTTGAAAATTATTTGAAATACCTTGAGGAAGAAATCAGTGCAATTCCAAAAGATTCTAGCAAAAATTGTTCCGTGACTGAAAGTGATGATCTGTTAAATACTCAGAAAACACCCACAGAAGAATGTGATGATAGTAAAAATGTTGCCGAACAAGTTCAAGTTATATCTCAAGTAATCCTAGAACCTGAAACACCAGGTATAGCTGATGATCTTACAGGAGGCGAAATAGAAGAGGATAGGGATAAGGATAGTTTTTCAATAGTGAGAAATATATCTAGTGAAATTTACAAGATAACAGATGTTACCGAAGAAGATCTTCAAGAGGATGAAGTCAGCTTAGTCGAAGACAATGGCATTTTAGAAATACCAAATTCACTGGTTATTGAGGAGCAGTGTAATGCAAGTAATTGTACAAATGAACAAAACCCTGACGAAGAAACTTCTAATCAAGAATCAGAGGAAATATTTGTTGAAGCGAGGACATCACATGAAGAGCCGGAAGATTTCCACAGTAAAGAGACTGATGTAAATAGTATAGAAATTAACAGTGTAGAAGTTGGTGAAGAAAACGAGGATTGTATAGCCGCTGAAAATCAAGTCAATGAAAATATCGAGAACGTGGAAAAGTCTGTAAGTCAAGAGAGCGTTGTAGAAAGCGGTTTGGTTGTGGAAAACGAAGGCTCGTACACTACAGAGGCTGAGGAACAGAGCGATCAGTTGAACGATGAGCGTCCTGTTAGGCCAAGTACACTACCCCTTGAATCAAATTTGATGCTTGATAGCGAGGAAAGCCCAACACCGACTAACATTTCAGGTAGGAATTATTTTAATATCATTATCTCCTTAGTTACGCTTATATTTAAAAATAGAAAATTTGTTTATAAAAGAATGTTTTTCCTTAAATATAACATTTTTGTAAATAAATAAATAATAGTACGATCTGAAGAAAAATAATATACTTTTAAATGGTCAGTTTGTGTAAAAACAATTCTGTCATAAACTAATTTTATTTTAGTATCAAAGAAATGATAAATTAATCAAATTGTTGCATATTTTTTTTATAGATTTTTTATTTACCTTTAAAGTATAGATTTGGTAGGTTGGTAGGTGAAATGAATAATTAACCATTTGCTAATCCAAGAATATTGATTTTACCTTTGAAATTGAACAGTAATATGGCCTTTATTTAAGGTGTTCTTTATAATTTCTAGTTTTCAAAATGAATCTTTAAACTCCTTTATATTCATAATGTTACATTTAGAAGTAAATTCTTTCCAAATAAACAAGGGTAAGTAATATTAAAAAGATTAAAACCGATAATGTTTGAAGCACTATTTTGTAGTAATACTTTTGTACTTGTAACCTGTTTTGCCTATCTCCTCTCATCAAAACAGTGATTTCCCCCAGGACACTAGCAAGATTTATTGCATTTTTACAATGCGGAATTTGAAAAGTGGAAGCAAACAATTTGATAAAATGTTTTAATTAAATATTTGAAGGTTGTTTAAGACAAAGATAAGGTTTTCATTGTAATCTTTCATGTGTTATTTCTTAAATAGTAAAATATTTATATATTTTGGTGTATATCATTATTTAATATAATGAAATATTATTCTTACATGATACAATTATTGCTTATTAATTGAATATTAAGAAAATTCAGAATTACTATAATAAATAATAAATGGTATCCCTAAAATAAAAATTTAAAAAAAAACTTAGATTAATAGCTTTCAGTTAACTGGAATTAGGAAAAAGATACTAGGTAGTTTTAATGACATTGTATCATTTGTTAAATATGCAAACAATAATGGTTTAGATAATAATTAATTTGATTTTTAGCGACCAACTCGTCAGCACCAACAAGCCCCATGGACAAATTGGGAAAGGTTGCACCTTTTTGGGTACCTGACACTGAAAGCGATTGCTGTATGCAGTGTCGGGATAAATTTACACTTATCCGAAGGAGGCATCATTGCAGAGCTTGTGGCCTTGTAAGTATTTCCTGATGTAGCTTTCAAGATCTGAAAGCTAATGTGTTCACTTTTCCAGGTCTTATGTTCAAAATGTTGCAATTTGAAAGCTCCATTAGAGTACATGCAGTTCACTGAGGCAAGGATCTGTCAACCCTGTTTCAACATAATATACAGAGGTGCATGATATAATGGTCACAAGCGTTTTTACGACTGTTTTGTTTATCTCACTCTTGTGTAATCTTGAATTTTCACCTTGTTTTTGTTTTCTAGTGAGTCTTGACGATGGAAGGTATAATCTAGGTAGGCAGCCGAATCCAAACAACCCAATGGAATATTGCTCGATGATACCACCATTGCAGCAAGCAGCTTCAACGTTAAACCAACCTCCTCCTTCTGTACTTGTACCAACAGGTGTCTTGAAAAGAGAAGGTATTCAAGGGATGTGAATTATTTTAAGGTAGCATACTGATTTTTCTTTACCTTCAGGGCGAGCTAAGTCAGATGTTCCCAAACAAGTCATATTCAGCGATGGCATAAGGCCCGGTGGTGATCTGACCGAGCTAGATGGTCCATCAGAATCGAGGCTTTTGCCTAGAAGGAGTGTTCGTAAAATGGCTGGACCTCCAAATGGTTAGTATTAGTTTCACATATTTACCTTTATCCAGTACTTAATGTTGATGTGACCTCATGGTGAAACTGTTCAAAAAAATTAAAAATATTGGAAACTAAAATATTAGGAATTCATGCTTTTTAAACTTACCTAATTGCAGTGAATTCTTTATTCTCAAAAGGATAATTCTTAACCAACCCCGATGTCCTTATTTTATCAAGGATTGAGTGGTTATCAAAAGCAATTATTGACAATAGCTCTTCGTGTACTTTTGTCCATAATTTCTCAACGTTTGCTCACGTCTATTTAGATCTGTTTAATTTCTTGTTTGAAATTGAATTTTACAAACCATCTTAATTTTTTCATTGAGAGTTGGTATTCCAAAAGAATACTGTGGTTTAACAGGCTTAGTAAGTGGGATACCTTTATTATTTATTGGCCTGTTTGATAAGATCTCTTGTTCAGCTTTGTAAATTTGCATCCTTGATAAATATTGTCGTGTTTTGAAAAATAATGAATTGTTTAAAGTTAAACAGACCACAATGTGCAACATTAGTGAATGAATATGACATCTGTCATAAAGAGGGTCTAATCATCCAACAGCCCATTGAGTGTCGTGGAGGTGGGATCAAACCGCTATGTAATTTTTTATATTATCTTCAAACAAAAAGCCATGAACTGCCAGGATTCAAACCCAGACCCACAAGCATGGCAAGTACAAGTTGGATGTCCTAACTACTCGGCCACCACGGTCCCCTCCAGAATTAATTTATCACTTTCAGCTTGGCTGCCATCTTGTGTTACCCACATAACTATGGCTAGTATATTGTTTACAGTTTTTTTACACTTAATCTGTGACTGTAAATTTTTTCCATAATTTATCCAATTATTCGTTAAAAATAATGATAAAAATTATTTAAAAAATAGTATCTGCTTTTTTATTTGTAAAATCATAGAGCATGATATAACATTCTCAGTAGCCAGCAACAATTTTATGAAGGATTACCCCCCCTACCAATATTTAAATCATGTCAGGCGAAGGGACCTTTTGCAAATGAAAGATAGTTCTCCAATCCCAATTCGAAGGAAATTAGCTGACCTAATATTGTTTGGGTAAAAAAAAAAAAAAAAATGAAATGAAATAATATATATACAATTTTAATAGTATATAAAGGAGGGCATAATGTGCAATTCATGTGGCGCGGACAAGAGATCAAATCATTTGTAATACATTTTTCATATCGTAATCAATTAAAAAGTCGTGGGATTTGCCTGCTTTCGAACCCAGACCCACTAGCATGACAAATACAGACATGACTACTGTGAAATCCCCTTCAATTTTAATTAATGATTTACTAAAACTGTAAGTTAAAATGACATTAAAAAGTTCTTTTGCTTCCGATAAACCATGTTCAAATTTAATAAACAATATAATTTAAACAAACTATAAACATTAAAGCATCTAGGTTTATTAAACCTAAGTTTACATTGACTAAAAAAATTGAATTAAAAAAAACATCAAAAATACAATTTTTATATTTATTTTATTATGCTGTATATATATTTTTTTAAAGGAAGTAAAAGTCGTGGTGCGAACTCACCTGCTCATCAAAGGCCTTTGGATCCAACAACACAAAGCTACATACCAGCTGATTCCAACCTTCCTCCATTAGTCACAATTGAGAATGGACAGCTTCAGTTCAGCGATGATGTTCAGGAGGTTGCTGATCAGACGGTCAAATTCGCTATTAACAATAACCTATTTGTTAACATAAAACGTGTCAAATGTATGTACTTATTTCTCAAATCAAGCACATTTTGCTGTTCATTGTTTGTTTTCCATTACAACTTTTTGTTTCAGTGGATTGTTGCGTCAAGCGGGAATGCTGGAGTGTTTCTTCTGAGGGCCTTGCCTTCGTGGGGCAAGATGAAATTGCAATAATTCTAGAAATTACCGAAAACGAGGTTTTGCCTCCTGTCGATATTTTTCATTTGATAAACACTCTTTATTTAGAGGCATCTAAAGGTAAGATTTTTTAAAATCATATTATTTTGCCACAGTTCGTTCAATAATTATATATAAGTGATTTATACTTAGTATATGTTAGTCAATCTTACCTAGCCCAAAGTATAACTGGAGGAATTGTACAGTTGAGGTTTTACCACATTATATATTATTACATTACTTTAAAATATGTTGTAGTCTGCATGATTTTGGTTTATCATGGTCTTGCTGGTTTGCCTATCTAATGTATTTTTGCTTCCTGATATTTTTGGTCTTATTGAATATGGTGAAATGCCAGTGAGACTGATCAGACTAGTATGATCGGAGATAATCATCCTGCAGATTATACAAAATATTAATATTACAACCTTGACACTGAATAATAAATTATGTCTGTTATCCAAACCATCATTTGGAAGCAAAGCCCTTTTAAATACTTCAATTGTGTTTTAATTTTTTATTAGTTAACATTAGCTTTCATAATTCATTAGTCATTAATTGTTTACGTTACGTTTTTTAAAGGCACAACAGTAAGCGAAATGAGTTTTACACCTGCATTTTCAAACAACATGTTCAACTCTAAGGATCACGGAGGGTTTCTCTACATTAGACCTACGTTTCAATGTACAACGAACCTTCTTCTTCCTCCACAACCGTATCTCATCGCCATATTAGTCCACAGGTTAATCCATTTATTTTTATCTTGATGAAAATCATTGTATTTATTGTATTTTATTATTAGCTGGGAAACTCCTTGGGCACGACTCTTCCCCTTACGGCTCGTCTTAAGGCTTGGAGCTGAGTACCGATATTATCCTTGCCCTTTGGTTTCAATTAGATCCCGACCACCACTGTACACAGATATCGGGCATACTGTTATGAAAATACTTGTGGTATGTTTTTTATTTAAACAATAATAAAGAGTTTTTGTTGCTTTTTATGTTGATAATATATTTTTTTCTGTAGGATTTCCGAAAATATAGTTATTCATTAGCTACAGTAAGAGGACTTCTTATTCACATGGAAGACCGTCAGACTACAATTTTATTTCCTAGGAATGGCTACGATCAGGTAATTGTTGAAAATTATTCATTTTTACGCCAAAACTTCTGGACATTTTTTTCCTTTCCTGAAAAATTAATTTAAAATTTCAATTTATAAAATGTTATAAAATGAAACTTTGCAGGTTGTGAGAGCTTTGAATAACTCAAACGATGGTGTTTTGGCTTTTGGGGCAAATCTCAGCTTGGAAGCTGACTCACATCTTGTTTGTATACAGAGTACTAAAGATGAAAATACATACAACAGTCAGGCTATTAACATTCAAAGCAAACCCAGAAGAGGTAATTTTTTTTTTTTTTTTCAAATTTCTCTTTTTATTGAAATTCAATCCGGGAGCGATTTAGTTGTGGGGAGATTCGTGATTTCAGTTCAGCAGTTTTGTAGTTGGTTGTATTAGGTTTGTTCCAACTCACAATCACAAATTAATTGTCAACTAAGCCCAAACATGACTGATCACAGATTGTTAAATCTGTTGAACATGCTTTTCTGTATGGTTTGTAAGGTTGTGAACATCGAAATGTTTCAAACTCTCATTTTTCCAGAACATGGAGCAAATATGTGGCAAAAACTGTTTACTTGGGGATAGCGGCTACGTACTACTAAAAATGTACTCACCCTATTAAATACAGAGGACAATTAACTAGGAAGGGAAATAAATTATAATTTAAAATTGGAATTATTAAATCGGTACATCATTGTATAATTTTCAGAATATTTGAGCAAAAATGTCATCAGTTATTCAAATTAAGAAAAATACTTTTTATTGTTCATTTCATCACTTGTAACTACATTTTGCGTAGTATTGTGCTTGATGATGATTTTGTCCGAATCATACTTACATGGTTCAATTTTTTATAATATTTTTGAATATTTGAAGAATATTCCAAATTTGAAATTTTTATCATTATTTTCCGTTGTCTATTTCTTTTATTGTTTAGGCCAGGCTGTTGTGGGTGGTTTTTAATGAAAAACTTAATTTGTTTAAATATATTTTATTTAAATAAACTGACACAATAGAATTCTTTTGAAATTATAGGCATCTAATTTGGGGAGGAAAATTAATTTTTCTGAAGTAGTCAGGTTTTGGGAGTAGGAATAGCCAATGTCAGTCCTCTGTCTTCTTTTAATAATTATAATTTTTGAAATAATCTAGCTTATCATTTATAATATGATTATTTGTGAGAGAGAAATTGTTCTGTTATATTTCCTTTCACAATGATTGTCACTAGAATGAAAAAAGCCTGTTAAAAAGAAATTATTCAATTATTTGTTGGATGATGTCTCTGACTTTCATCCTGCATATTTTAACATTTTTAGAGCAAATTAAATGCACATTTAAGGGTTTTTACTGCATATATATGGCATATTTGAATCGGGGCTCTAGTTGTAAAAACTTTCCAGTTTGACAAGAGTGAAAGCATGGAGAAACGCCTGCACATGTCTCTGATTACCAGGTCATAGCAAAATCCTTGGTCTGTTTTAACGGTCAAAAATTGGTCACAAACTTTGATGGAACTCCCAAACTCAACTGTGTATGGGTGGCAACTAGATTGCTGATGATTTTTATGTGTATTGGAACAAACCTGTTATATTAACAGGAATCAAAATTTCTACTAAACAATAAATTTAAATGAAAATCTTTTTTAGATGCTTAAAAGGAAACATTGTAGGGTATTTTATTTTTTGTAAAATCAGTATTTACATTTGCACATGCTTAGGTGATACCAGCAAGCAAAACTAATCAAGAAGTACACACTAACTACTTTAAATTATTTATCTGATTATCTGGTCACATTAAAAGATCATGATAGTTGAAAGAAAAAATTTAGGCTCTATTTGCAACTGTGTCATTTTAGAATTACAAGCAACTTACATTAAATTACTACTAAATTTACTAAACATCAATCTCATCAAATTTTACAATAAGTTTAATATTTTGTGCATTCCATTCATTCCAGTAGGCCCGATGGAGCCTATCCATCACTAAATACAAAAATCTACTAATCTAAGAAATTTGTGTTACATAATGACCTCTTTCACATTCATGCTAATAAATGCAATCAACCAAACATTTACCACAAGCAAGTACAACAGAAGATTTCAAATTTGATTAATTTTTCTTGCCTTTATGAAACAGTGACAGGAGCAAGTTTTGTGGTCTTCAAAGGTGCTCTCAAAACGGCAGGGTTGTCCGGAAAGAGCAGCATTGTCGAGGATGGCCTGATAGTTCATTTGCCCAGCGAAAGCATGACCAACCTCAGAGCCGCATTACGAGATATGAAAGACTACACCATCTCGTGTGGGCCTAATGACGAAGAGACCGTACATCTCCAGTGGTGTGCCGATGACACCAATTTCAACATTGGGTCAGTTGCTTTGCCTTTTCATTATAATTTTGCTGTGTAAAAGAAAGTATTAATTTTTTTAAATATTACTTTAGCGTTAAGAGCTTTATAGATGATAAACCTTTTGATGGTGTACCATCAATCAGGGTCCACAATGGCACAGATTACCCAGGCATTGATCAGAAAAAGATCATCAGATGGACAGAAGTTTTCATTTTAAAAGTGAGTCTGTTGTTATTTAAAAAATAATTTGGATTTGGCCCATCATACTTAAAAATATAATTATTAAAACGTATAATAAATATTGTGTTGTTATCCATCTTAAGCTTAGGAAAACTTTTTAGTTACTTTTTTTCCTGCCAGCTAGCTGCCTGGGCTATTGCCAGCAAGTTACTATTCTTTTTGTTATTTTGTACAAATCTTATCAAAAGTTAACAAATATGATATTTTACAAGCATTGATCTTAATTGTCCCATTACCAGTATTTAAATATTCATTTAGTTAAAATGTACTTATTTATATTTAAATTGTGAGCGACAAATCCACTTACATATTTTTTCCATTTAGAGTGAAGAAGGTAGCAAAGCAACCGACCCGCTTGATATCAGCAGAGTGTCAGAGTCGATAGCTTCAGCCACGTGCATGGCACTCGTACCAATGTTGGATTCACTTGCCGATGCCAATCTCACGCCCCTTGCCATCAGGGCAACGATACATCCTGAAAACGTAAGTCATTCTTTCTATACTTTTGAGACAGACCTAATGTTTACCATTTCAGGTTGGCTACGAGGCCGGAAGCTGCGGTGCCAAACTGCCCTCGGTGTATATGAACCGGCTAGACGAAGAGCTCATCCGAGTGCTCCACCAGGCGGCTATGTCATCACATGATTCTCCAGCTGTTCTTGAACTCGTCTTCAGGATAATGAACCATCCCCAGCAGTAAAATTATTTTCTAAGCCGTAGATTAAGATTCTAACTGTTAATAATGTGATATTCATTACTTATTGATTTTATTTCAGTGAGAGATGTACTCAATTTTTTATTCCATTTATCTCTAGAAAAGAAATTAGTATTACTAACAAAAATAATAGGGTTTTTATTAAAATCACAGATTTAATTTTCAAGATTAATATATTTCTTGATCCCAAAAAGCCTTATTTTAAGAAAAATTATTTAACTATTATAAATAAATTATTTTAATTGATATATTTAAAGCACTACAGGAATTTGCATGTTTATTTTTGTATTGCTTTTATAAATTAACTTTATTTGTACCCACTAAAAACTGGCAATTGAAATAGTATTATATAGCGGTTTAAAGTTCTATATTTTAAAATTCTTTTTAGTCCCTTGAATAAAGATCAGTATATAAAAACTCAAAAACTAATTTGCTAGTAGGTATTTAATCCCTCACCTCACTAAGACTTACGATGTACAACTAGAATGGGTTTTCGTTTTTGGTTCAAAGCTAAATCTAGAATATTTAAGAAATTAAATCATTGAGGATATATGTAAATTTAAAATTTTTCACAATATCGGTTTTGATTTTGTAATTTCTACCATGTAAAATGTAGTTACACAATCAATTATCGCTTTAAAGTGTATATGATCTGTGTATGATTTTTATATATATAAAAAATTATGGTGTAAATATTAAATTATTAGTGAATCTGTGCAATGAAGGTTTTACAGGAAGGGGCTTACAAAATATAAATAATAATAATGACCTTCTTTACAATGAAGTGATGTGATTAAAAATTGAAAGTGTTTTGAAAAAAAAATTACTGGAGCTTTATATTTGTTAATATTGTTATTATAATCTAAGTACTCTTAATTGTCTTTATTTAATACCTTTTTTTAATTTCTTTTAAAACTTACTTGAGTGCTAAAGGTGGCACATGAAATTTAGTGTTAGATGGGTTATTTGTGCTCATACGCATGGCCAAAATACCATATAACCAAAAAAGTTTGATGTTGTGATTTGTAATTTGTTATTGTTTTAAAACTGTTAATCAACATTTCTATTTATGTGTGTTTCTTTGTGACCTGTTGTCTCATAATTTGTTTTAAGTCGTGAGGAGCGGTCAAGAAAGGTAGTTTAGAAAAACGTCTTAATTTACCCAGGCCCTGAACATGACCAAGGTCGAAGCGCCGGCAAAAAAATGAAAAAGGTTTTTCTAAACTACCCCATTCTTGACCGCCTCTCACGATTCGAACAAATTATTTCTATTTACATAGGAAGTTGTAAGGTACTCTTCGTTTGCATCATATGTAATACCAGGAGGATAATGCATCAGTGAAGAAAAAATCACGACAAATCACTACATATAAAATGTTTTTTTCCTCATGGTTTCAAAACCCATAATCCGTACAATTATTGTATGAATTTAAGCTCAGTACTAGGGTGGCCGAGGCAGTACTTGCCACGTTAGAGGTCCTGGGATCAAATCCCAGCATGCCCATAGCATAGGAAGAAAGTATTGTTAAGCGGTTTAATTTCTTGTCCGTTCCGCCCACAGGGTATATTAAGCTATCCTGTACAAGATTTACTTATTCTTATAATATAAATAAAAGTCAAATAAGGACTAATATTTTCATGAACCAGTACTTTTCTAACAATTACTTTACTGTTACTTATAAATATTTTGATTACATACATTTTACTAAAAATACCTTTTTTCATCTGAGGAGGGGTAGAAGGAAAGGAGAGCAAAAAAACTCGAATACTGTGAATCCATTTATCTGTAAAAGTTCTATACAATATTTACAAACTTTACAGGAGATTTAATTTAATCTCATTAAATCTAAAATTATCTTATACACAAAATTATCATAAATTAATTTGTACAATTAAAAATGTCTATAAATGACAAACACTGAGATCGACTCATTCATCACAACCTTAATTAATTTTTTTTAATAAGTTTAAATTTTTTGTTTAAATTGATGAAATTTTATTTTTGAAATTAATAACGATTTCTCCTTGACATCAATTATTAAAGTTCATATTACATCCAGACTGATGAAAAATTTCATTGATTTCATAATTCCAAGGATCCATAGTAATTTATCAAAATTGAAACACCTAGTGGAATTATTATCATTAATTAATTTTTTTTATAATGGTAATATATGGTTTGGCTGTTCAATTTTTTTATGTAACATAAAATTAGGAACTCTACTACATGCTCTCTCAAAGAGGACCTCAATTGTGACTATTATAGTTACAAACATACAAAACAGTGATTGAAATAGTACACTAACACTCTCTAATATGGGGAGGACAAAGAGAAAACTATTACAAACTGTTTGGACAATTTGCAAAAAAAAATTTTTAACAAAAACTATGGCTTTTTGAGAAGGCACTATGATATTCAGGAATATTCATTATTAAGCAGGAAAGCTGCCATTTCCAAGTACTGAATATACATTTAAGTACAATTTTTTTTTTGAATATTTACAAATATATTTATTAAGGAAGCCGTACATGCTGAACCTAAAAATTCAATTAGAGAAAACAAAGACTAGATTATGAATATTATTAATTGGAATGGAAAAGAACGGTAAACAAAAAAAGAAAACAAAAGAGAATATTACAACCCTTAATTATAGAAAAATAACTTAAAAACATGTTATTATGTACCTATTAAATAAATATAATTTTTATCTTCCCAATACAAAAAAATATATATACCATTTCTTACTTTGCCTAATTGCTATTTGGGGAATGTTAGATGCACAGAATTATCATTTTTCTTTGTTTTTTGCCTAAGGGAGTTAAATTGCTGTTCAAGATTACGGTTCACATTACTACAACAACAACAAAAATCTTTGTTAAATTATTTACTGAGATTTTTCAGGAAATAATAAAACAATAAAAGTCCAGCATGAGATAAAAAGTTTTCTTGGCTAAATGGTAAGATATTTGCTGTTTTATTTACTTATTTTGTTATATAGCAAAACGAACTTTTATCTTGCTTAATTTATGCAAATTGACTTTTGACTACCTCAATCATTCATTGTGAGGCCAAAAAGAAGGACACTGATTTTGAAAGGCACTTCAATTTTCATCAAAAGGGAACAAATGAGCAATAAATACGAAAACCCATAAAATTGGGCATAAAAACAAAATGAAAAAAAACAAAGAGAGCAATTAAAAATATATACAGCCCTAATTGAATAATAAATTCAACATGGAAAATTGATTGTGATTGAAATAACATTTTCTTGTTTTAATTTAGTTCCTCAGGATATATTCAAGAAATGAAGTTTTACAAAATTTCCATTTGAGTTAGAATCCCTTTAAAGGGTTCAAACCTATCACACAACACCAAAACTTCAAATTCATTTCCGTAGAAAAATAGCACCAGCTTACAAAGACAAAATTAAAGCTTGTTTTGAAGAAAGTAGTAGCAAGTGCCCCATTCAAGTTTTAAGATGACTGACATATCAGGTACTTGGTGACAAATTTATAATTTTGTCTTCAATAATATTAAACACTGAAGTTATCTCAACCACAAATGACATTTCCATTTAAAATAAATAATTAAATAATAAATTTGAATCGAGCAATGTTTCCAGCTTTATTTCATTTTGTTTCATTCCATACATAAATTTTAACTGAAGTAGGCATATAAAAATTAGCTTATTTTTTCTAAAAAATCAATCTGATGTTGGACAAGTAGATATATGTTTGTATGCCATAAAACATGAATTTAATTTTTTTTAAACTAATTGACTTATAATCAGAATTGAAAATTTTAAATAATACATGAAGCTATAAATTTGTTCATTTTAGCTTTCATGTCCTTGCAGGACATTTATATAAGTTCTCGAAGATGCTTATGAGTTATAAGCATTAATTTTAATTGCTCTCTTTCAAAAAATAAATAGTAAAAACGAAAGAAATAAATAAATTCTACAACAAAAATAAAACCTAAAAACTTTTACAATGAAGAAAAAAGTTTTCCCTCTTCAAAAAATAAAACATTACAAATGTTTTATACAGATAATCATTATATATAGGGAAATTTAAATATAATGCTACTTTAGCTTTAAAACTCTTAATTTACCAATTATTTCCAAAAAATTTTTACCCCTTGAAGCAAAATCCTAACAATAAATACCATTTTCCTTGTTGAGAAAAAAAATACTGTTTTGGTCTTGATGTGACAAAAATGTAAAAAAATTGCACTCGAGCTCCTGATTACTATGAGTTTTTCACCGATATATCATCCAATGGCTCAGTCCTCTGAAGATTCAGTATGCTGTCAATAGCACATTGCACTTGCGCGTTGATTTCTTCATCATCAGGGCAGTGCTTTTTGGAATCGCCGTTGTCAAATTCATCCCTCTCCCTCTTCACATTCACTGAAATATAAAACGATGTGTTACAAAAAAAATCTATCAAGACTGAACAGGCTAAGAAATCAATGTTTACTTGATGATTGAGAGCATGTAGTAGTTGAGGAGGTAGTTGTTATCGTTGTCATAGTAGTCGTAGTAGTTGTAGTAGTGGTGGTGGTGGTTGTATTTGTGGAAGAAGCTGCTAACAGATTTGCTTCTTCCTTGATTTGTTCCAGCCTGGCTGTTTCATCATTGACAAATAACCTCTCTAGCAAAACAAGCTCACTTGTTTTCTGCAACCTCTGCAAAACAAAAGAAGGAATGACATTTAAAGTTAATTTAAAGAGTTTGCTCTATTATTTTGTAGGTTCTTTTTTTAAATATTTTAATTTCTTTAGACTCTTTCCATGAGGCTATGGGTTTTTTCCATTGAAAACTAAGGAAATTTGGATTAAACCGAAAAACATACGTACAAACAATAAGATAATATAAAGAAGAAATATAATAAATTAAAGCAAAGTAATAATAAAATAGAAAAAACTTACCATGCTTTCCTTCAAAATGAGAAAGGAGAATTTGTTATACATGTTTGTTTTCTTATCTAATAAGTGCTTCGCTGTTTGTTCAAAAAGTTCATCAGCTTTATCAAGATCTTTCTCGCTCAAAACAGGTTCATTCATTGTATGGTATCGAATTAGTCTTTTAACCGCATCGCTTTTGCTCAAAAACGGAGTTGTTGTATCTGGGACCAGGGCACCTTGTCTGTCAGCCTGCATTTGCTGTTCTATCCTGTAAACACAAAAAAAGTTATAAATTTAAAATTGTAGTTATAAAATATATAATCATTCGCTTACATTGATGCCCTCTTGGCCTTGGAAAATATTGGCTGCGGAGGTGGAGGAAGGGGAGTTTGAGTCGATACCTGTTGCTGAAATAACCAATTGTTAACTTTGTGCCAATTCGCCGTAGTTAAGTAAAAATTACCTGTAGCGGTATTGGCGAGGTAGCCTTGTTCGCATGTGTCACCACAGGTGGTGACGGCTGGGAATGCTGTGGCGACGAAAGTACAGGTTGAGGTGGAGTTGACTGTGTTGGCGAAGGAGCCTCAGACTGAGTTGAATTGGACACCCTTGAAGGGGTTGAAACAGGTAGAAGTCTCACTGAAGTCCCTCCACCAGGATTTACCTAAATAAATAATTAAATTAATATGCCAATTACAAAATGCAAATAAAAATTATAATTCATTGCTGCACCAAAGAACTACTAGAAAATAAATTACTTTTCAAGAGTTTCATTAAAATACTATAATTTTTGTACATTTTTCATTAACATGCAATGTATATTATTGCAAAATAACTTTATTAACTTTTACTTTTATACACTTATCAAAAATACAATTTTACATGATATGCGTTACGTTTTAATCGTAAAAATTATTTGTACTTACAAAAGCAAGTCCCTGGGCATGTTGCCCTGGAACCGTTGGTATGAGTTTCCCACCAAGAAGAATTTTGTGCTGTTCAGAAATCAGTCTTTGTAATGTAGCTTGCTCAGTTGGCGACCTTGTCTTGTTTCCACTGAGTGCTGTAACTTGTGCTTGTATTTGTTTTAATTGCTGAAAAATGACACCATGTTGTAAATACATCATTTGATATTTGAATTAACTAAATTTAATAATGTAATTACCTGCTGTTTTAAAGGTGTGAGTTGTACAGTCTGCACCCTGGATACTACGGGAGGAACATGGTCAGTGGTAACATTAATAGGTATCAAATTAGGTGGGTCCTCTTTTTCCATTACAGTTCTGTCTTCAGCCATCATTGGTTTTACTAAAGCAGCTTTTTTCACAGGTTTCTTCACTTTCATCACTTTTGCACAAGAGATAGCAGTGGGAGATTTGTTTATCACAAGATTTGGGTGAGCTTGAGCTATACTATCTAAGAAAGCATTGTCATAAGTCCTCCTGTTGGCCTGAGTTGTTTTAACTGGGGTTGTATTTGAGTCAACTTTGGTGATGGTGTTCACTTGGGTCGACATGACGTTCGTTTGGACGCTGTTAACATGCGTCTGCTCATGCCTTTGCGGCTGAGTGACGACGGTTAGATTAGGCCTGTTGTTGAATGCAGTAGGAGGTGGAGAGTTGATCGGGCTCGGCGAAATGAACTGAGCGGGTGATTTTGCCATTTTTGGTGAGGTCTCTTGTGGTTGGGCGTATACTATTTGCTGGGGAGGTTGTTGCTGGTGTTGTTGTTGCATATGATGTTGAAGTTGTTGCTGTTGTTGATGATGTAGCTGATTTCTAACTTGGTTTAATGCAGCTATTACAGATGTATGGTTATTAGCACCTACTATTTGTACCCTTCCTTCTTCCCCACTTGAAACATACTGCAATCGAGAAGGAACTTCAGTTTGAATTAAATGGTTATCACTAGAGGAACTTAATTTAACATCTTCTCTCTCTTCGTTTTTTATCGTTTCCTTATCCTTTTGATGATGGATAAGTTGTGGGGTTAACCTGACTTCAGAAGGTTTAACATATTGTTGAAATTTGTAATTATTGCCAGAATTCCGCATATTGTTTTCATTTGTAGAATTTAAAAGTTTTTCGTTATTAATGAGGGCAGACACTACTTGAACGTTACTGTGCTCTTCGCCGTGATATCCTGACAGTAGGTTCTTTTGTTTAAGATCACCACTGTTTGCAGTTGTACTTGTAACAATATGGACTTTGTTCCGGTTGTCATGAAACATTGAGTTTGAAGTCGGCAAACTGGTTACCACTTGGACTTTATTATGATCGGCTATATTTATAGTGTTAGGCAGAGATGTGACGATCTGCAGCCGTTGGTTTGAATCGTGTAAATTAATTGAATTGCTATTAAGAGACGAAAAATGTATTTTATTTTGTTCGTGCTGAGAACTAGGTAAACTTGTAACAATATGTACATGATTCTGATCTGAAAAAGGGAATGAGGCAGAGACAGGCACACTTGCCATATTTCCCATATTTGAAACATTTGCCACAAGTTGTACCCTATTCTGTTCTGATAACGATATGGAGTTGGAACTGGGAATGCTATTGACGAAATGAAGTCTGTTTTGATCTCCTAGTGTGGAAGTAGGCACACTAGTAACTATTTGTAGCCTATTTTGTTCCTCTGATAAAGATATATTAGAATTGACAATCTGTACTAAATTTTGCTTTTCAGAAAGGGACAAAGTGTTTGCATTAGGCATATTAGAAACTATATGAACCCGATTTTGTTCAGAAAGAGAAAGAGTGTTTGAATTTGGGACGCCGGAAACAATCTGCAGTCGATTCTGCTGTTCAGTGAGGGAGCTCTGAACACCAGACATTATTTGTACTCTATTTTGTTCCAAGGCCATTGTGCCAGCACTTTGGCCCCCTGAAAGAATCTGCACCCTGTTCTGTTGTTCCAACGACATGTTCGATTGGACCCCAGATACAATGACTCTGTTCTGTTGCTCGGTCAGAGAATTTTGGATTCCAGATACGATCTGTAGTCTGTTCTGTTCAGTTAAGGACATATTTGAATTGGGCACGCCCGAGAGGATCTGCAGCCTATTCTGCTGGTCGAGAGACATGTTGTTTGGAACATTTGACACTATAACACGATTCTGTTCAGTTAAAGACACTGCACTATTAGTACTAGTCACTATCTGCACTCTATTTTGGTGTTGTTCGAGGGAACCAGTTGATACAAGGACTCGCCCTTGTTGAGCGAGCATTGCATTAGGTGTCCCAGTTGAGACGATTATACGGTTTTGCTGTTGCTCCAATGACAGGGCTGTAGAAGTCGGTACTCCGGTGACAATCTGTACTCTGTTTTGCTCAAGTACAGCGGGTGCAATGCCCGACACAATCAAACGATTGTGTTCTGTCAATGAAGCTGTGCTTGCTTGCTGAAGATGTCCGTTGAGGTCAGCCACTAACCTTACACCATTTTGTTGAATGGTAGGAGTGACAACAACAGGTGTTCTTCGTAAACCTCCACTACCTGTTGTGTTTACAACTACAGGGGTTTGATTTAGGTTCCCTTTTAACACAACACCTTCAGGACCAGATCCTGCTAGATGAAGAACCGCAGTCTATAATGAAAAAAATATATTGTTAAAAAATTGAACATTTTGTTCAATAAAATGATATTTTAAAAAAAATCTTACTTGAAGAGATTGCATAAATGCAGTTTCTTTTGTAGTGTTGTTAGCAGCAAGGCTGGCATTAGTCTAACAAATTAAAAAATAGTATCATCAGAAATGTTTTGTATAATAAAATTTGTATTAATAAAATATTACGTTAAAACAAATTTAAATAAATAAATAAATAATAATAGAAAATATACCTGCAGGATTTGCCCACCGTGTTCAGCAATCAACTGCGCTAACTGACTCTGTGCCGCTGCAGCAATACTTGGGGTAACAGTAGGCTGAAAAAACATTAAATTTAATTTTAAATACTAAAAACGGCCACATGGTCTATCTGGTTCTCAATAGCTGTTTGTCAAATGTGATTTAACGTTTCACCAACTTCAATGGTTATTTTATCATTTTTACAAATTTATCAAAAGAATTCATTGACAAAATAATAACAGGTAATGATGATTCTTTAATTTTTATTACATGGCTAACACACATATGTGTTATTTTTATAAGCATTATATGTATTTTGGAAAATACTGATAAATTTTTGTTTGCATTAAAAAATATTTAAACAAGTGCTGCATATTGCTAATCTACTAGTGTCAATTTGCTCCGAATAAGTTTTCATCCTAGTAAAAACCAGAATGCCGGGTTTTTTAAGACTGGTTGATACTCGGAACTTCTACTGGTTTATCTTATTCACCATCCATGTCATCTGTTTCAGTTAAAATTTCATCGTCGTTAAGCATTCCAGTAACTGCAATACTGCAAACGTCTTCGTCAAAATTAATAGTTCTTAAGGCTAGTACATACTAGTAGGCAAATTGCCGATTTTATCTGTACACTGTTGCAGAACAAAGCCAAGATGATCTAGAACCTTGCCATTCATGCACAGATCAGTTAAACTAGTTACTGCGATAACAGCGGCTTTGCTGCTTGTGCAGTTTTAATTTTTGATCAAAAAAGGAAAATTAATTGTAAATGTTGGTGAGCAAGTAACTTTTAGTAGGCGGTCCTACATTTAGATTGACTTCTAAAAAGTAAAATTAGAAGATAGTTCAGATTTCAGAAATTTCACTCAGCTAGCCACCACATACATAAAATTTGCTACTTATGGTTGGAAATAAAATATGGAAGCAAGAAACAAGATTCAGAGAAAACATTCCAGCCTCTATATTGTTGATGTTGCGCAACTTATCTCAAGTTTTCCATCCGAACTGGGAGGCCGGAGACTTGCAATTTTTGTCTACAGACAATCACAGAACTTTGTCTATAGACACGAGTTGCACGATTTTGCCTATGAGCCTTTAAAAGTGATCTCTTCAATTTGTGTCAAGATGCCATCTGATGGAGCTTGAATTTTATTTTCTAGTTCCATGGTCTATGTATCCTCCTTTAAGAAACCACTAATTCTGAAGGAATCTTTTATTGTGATTCATTACTTTTTCCAACCAAGCTTGGTCCAACCTTACAAGAATACAAGACTCTAGTCATATATTTAATCGGGATTTCAATGCTAAAATACAAATTATAAGACATTTTGTTGACCTCGAAGGTGGAAAAAAACATACATTACTCTGAGGGGGCTGAAAATGCATGGTTTTATTCTATTTAACGAGACTTTTTCAAGAGAGCAGCACATTCTTATGATATATCAGCATACAAAGTACAGTAGAAATCTGTTTATCTGGACTTGTACGGATGATTGAAAGTCCGGATAATCCAAAAATTTGTAATTTTATTAATATCGTGTCATAAAAACGGGAAAAAACTCATAAGAAAGTGAACACTTTTATTCATATTTCAAGTAACATTTAAAGTAATAGATAGTTTTATTTTTGTATAAGTCCGGACACACACATTTCTCAAAAAATTTATATGTAAAAAATACCTAATAAAAGTATGCATAACAAAAAACCTTTTCAATGGAAGCCAATATACGAACAACACGAGTAAAATAGTATTCCCTTTTTATTTATTTATTTTTATTTTATTTATTTATTTATTTTTTAAACAAAAATGTGCCTCCCGGCCTCTTCGATCGTGTGACTAGTGGAAGAGCGAATTGTTGGCCTTTACAAATTTCGAACGACAAATTAAAGGTCCTATAGTTGAATTATGAATTTTTAAAAATTAACATACATACATTGAGAATTATGAAAAATTTATAAAAAATGTGTGGTGTTTAGTGACCATTAATTAATGATTATTTGGAGATCGTGGGACTATAGCAGACCACATCTCATGATTTCCAATTAATTTATAAAAAATATTTTAACAAACGGGTCCGGATAATCTGGAAGTCCAGGTTTCCACTGTATGAGATTTACTGTATAACGGTATAATAGCAATATATGACGCTAACCTGTTCTGCTTGATGAACAACCATAGTACCATCTTCCCCCACAGACAGCCTTAAGCCTCCTCCAACCTTCAAGAAAACAATTTATAAATTTACAAATTTACTAATTCCTATAAAACTAAAAAAAATTAACAAACCTGGGCTGGAGTCTGTAATTGTGCTAAAAGTTGGGACGGGTTTATCTGTTTCTGAATTTGAGACTGAAGCTGATTGTGTTGGACCTGTTGTTGCAACTGCTGTTGTTGCTGTATAGCGTGTTGTTGTATTTGTGCTTGCTGTAACTGCTGTTTCGGAGTAGAAGGCCTTGGTGAAGTTGAAGTAGTTTTATTTTGAGTCGATGCCTGCCCTTGTACAACCACAGGGCTAACGTCTTCTTCATCAATGCCTGAAATTGAAATACGAGTTTATTCATGGAAGTTTGAGCATATTTTAAAAACTGTTAATAAACATTTAAATAATCGCCCCCTTGTAATCCTTTATGAGACCATGTACTAGACTTTGATGTCAGCTTTCCCAAAGTATTATTTTATTCATATATAAACACCTGGCATTTTTACGAGTGTACATGAGCACAATTGGAAAATAAAACAACTCATAAAAACTCTGAATAGAAACTATTCTCAGCTACACTACATGCCAATATTTGATTGCGGGAGAGACCACTTCAAAAATGCTTTTTATTTTATAAATAAGGAAAAACCAAGTCATTTGAGAACATGCAAATCCAACTGCACGATTTTCCATGCACATTATGCGCATAATAACAAGGGAATATTTATTTAAGAACAAATCACAAACAAGTACTGCCTGTGAATTAGTCTGATTGAAATACTTTTTCAGATAAAAAGCTCCTTTTTCAACATCAATAATTTCATCATACCATTTAATAGAAGTTTCGACTGCATTGAATCTACAATAATAATGTTTTTTAAAAAATAACCGCCTTTTATAATATTGACAAATTTCTCTGAACAGTGTAATTTCAATTCTTTTGTAAGCATGAATTGAATAAACTACAATTGATAAAGGACCATAAATTTGATTGTATTAATTACGTTCATCTGCATGCACCCCTACACGCACAAAGCATACCCATACTTTTTTTATTAACACTTTCACTGCCTCTGCTTAAGAGAATCGCTAAGTTTAAACAGGTTTGATGTAGTTGTTTTAAATTATTTTACAGATTGAATAGCAATATATTAAATCTTGTTTTTGTTAAGTCATTAAGAGTAGTACAAACATTAAAAGGTTTATGTAAGCCTAAACAAAGCCACATCTCTACGTTAGTGAATTAGGCTATGGCCACATTAAACGTATGATTTATTACATAAAAATGTTAAGCATATGCGAAATAAAGCATTATCTAGTTGGACATAACATGCACAAAAATAGTTTTTTAAACATGTTAAAAAAAAAAGAAAAAAAAAAAGACAAGCAGCTAAAAGTAAAAAGGTGGAACCCAATTATTTACCCACCAAGCAAACAACACAGTAATAATATAGGTGCCCTTTATTATCCTTTTTAATATAATTCTAATATTTTACAAACAAAATTAATAACTGTGCTCACATTTATTTTGGTTTTATATACCTAGCACTGAGATAGGGGATACTAGTTCTTTACCTTTATTTCGCCATGCGGCTGTGACCCGAAAATAAAATGGAAAACTATTTAAGTCACTTACAAAAATGAACCTCATCTGCACCATCCAAGGCCAAGTGCAACTAATTGACAAATGGGTAATTATAAAAGAAATGCCATTGACTTAATTTAGCTGAAGAAGTCGAAACTCGACGACTCAGCATCAACAGGAAAGCTCTTTTATGTGGAAACTAAATTTTAACTAATCTCGTAAAATATAGTTTATATACTTCAATTAATTTTTATTATAGGTTTTTACTGTTGCATGTGTAAATTGAGCCACCAAATGTAAACAGAATTTGTAAGAATTGTAATATTGATTGCAATTGGCCTTAGACTGTCTAAAGAAAAATCCAACAAGTCCAAACAAGCAGAAAAACGTACCTGAAATTTTGATGAGATTGGCAAGGTCCAGCCTAGTGGGCTCATCTTCCTTTTTCTTCTTCTTTTTGATCTTTTTCTGCGCCAGTGCAAGGGGGCTGGGCTGAGACGGAGTCGCCGTCCTGGGAGGAGCTGGCGAAGGTACAGCAATGATAGTCGGACCGGATGAAGTTTGAATCTGCTGCAGCTGCACTTGACTAGGCACGAACCTCAACACCTACAAATTCAAAACTAATCAGTGAATGGTAGGTAAATGGTGACCATCACTCAGACTGTGAGCAGATATATTATTTTTAACAATTGATTATGGTGACTATCTGTACAAAAATGCTCTAGTTATAAACACAAATCGTACATGCAGCATCTATCAAAGGTTGGTCACGCAAGTTAATTCCATTAAAGCACAACCCAAAGAAAGAGACTGCCACTGTAAATAACTTCTTCAAAATCCAAATGATTAACATTACATCAAAAAAATTGATGCTTGAAATACCATTTAATGGTGCAATCCTTATGGAAAAAGGTCAAGGAGTTGCCAGGGAAGAAGCTTTCTTCTCTGGCAGACTTCTTGACTAACAATCAACAAAAAAGCAATCTAATACTTCCAACAAAAACAACATTAAACAGTCATGATTGAAAAGAATGTAAATTTACAGAATTTTTTCTCCCAACAAATATGTTTGCCTTTAAATAAAATATTAAGTCACAGGCAGGATGTTTATACCTGATGTGCTTGTGTCCTTCCTTGGACTATGACTGCTTGAGGCTGAATCCCTCCATTCGCCAAGACTAACCCCGGTTTTCCCTGACTTTGAGGCGGAGGCGATTTTAAAATCAGTTGCACTCCACTGCTCGTCTGTTGCTGCACAAGCACAGCACCATTTGGAAGCACCTGGACCGAAAAAAGTCAGATTAAGACCAAATTCGATACTAATGAAGAATTAAGAAGCGAACGAAGATCAAGTCCAGAAATAAACCAAGGACTTACTTGATTGAGCAATAAAGTTCCTTGTTGGGGAATTTGGTTTTGTTGTGGTGCAACAGTTTGGGCAGACTTTGTGACTGTGTTGGAAGCTGTCAAACTCCCACCACTACCGGGAGGCTTGGGAAGTATTTGAGGGGGCTGTTTCGCCTTTATTGCAGCCTGGGCTGCAACACTGTTTTGAACTGAAAAGGATAAATCGTATCAATAGATAAAACAACAATTGTATATTGTATTATATACTAGATTCATTACATCAACTGATCTGACTTAATTCATTTATAAGAAACATCTTAATGCTCTTACCAGCATTGCGTGTTGTAGCCTGTTGGTGAAAGAGCTGAAGAACAGGGGGTTGAGGAGTGACAACCCTTTGGGTCGGAGAAGGGGAAGGGGTGAGTGAACGGGGTGAAAAGGGCGATGTTGGTGTTCCAACGCTCGTAACAGGGGAACCGACTGCCTTATCACTGCAGTTCCGAAGTTCACCTGTATTAGTAACCTACAACACAGAAAAAAAAATCATTTGTTAGAAAATATTTACATTAAAATAATTAACAATAACGAATGAACCAAACCTGGGTAGTATGTGTCGCAGGGAGTTGAAGACTCGACTGCAAAATGCTAGCTTGCCGTACATGGCTAATACTGCTTTGTAGTACATGCTGAATACTAGTATGACCAATTTGTTGTGATGTATGCAAAATATGTTCTGCAGTTGGTTGACCTGACCCCCCTCCAGCTGTCAAGAAACCCTGAGGAGCCAGTACCAACTGGGGCGCCACCCCACTACCTCCCTAAAATTAACATGGTTTTAATTAAAATTTTCAAATATCTTGTTAAATAAAATAAACTTGTGCTCATTTTAAAAGTTATAATGATGATTTTCTTCTCGTAAATTGTGATATTGTCGAAATTATCATTTACCTGCTGTAGTGTGAGGGTTAAGGCACCTCCCGCCTGCTCCTGAGCAACTTGAAATCTTTGCAGTTGCTGCAACTAAAAATTATAATTGAGTTAAAATTTCACAATGTCGGACAATGATATTTTTGACTTACTTGTTGTGGAGTTAGGAGTAGAGAGCCGGAGGGACGCCCCTCTAACAGAGCTTGAGATAAAGAGTCCACGATGCCTTCCGTTACCAAAACCTCTGTTGAAATAGAAAACATGACATTAAGAAAACGTACGACACAAAATATACAAATAATTAAGCTATAAATTAACAGTAACAATGAAATTTACTAGTTGTATCAACATTTCATGTTAGCATATAGTGTCTCAATGTATATCATAAATAGCAGATTTTCATAAAGAAAAAAATTTTAATTTTGGACAAATTGAAAACAACAATGAAAACCACCTCAAACCAAACGTTTTGGTGAAATTCTATAATTTTCGACCAACAATAATCACATCTAAGTATAATTTCATTGATTATATATAATATTGAGCAATATGCAAAACCTTGGTCTGATCAAAGTTAACACATTTGTTTAGAACCATAATTAAATAACAACTTTAAATTTTATACATTGTCTTGTATAACATAGACAATGGACAAATTGAACGAAAGGCCATTAAAAAACTGGGCAAATTGAACATTTATATTCACAAAATATTTCAGTTCGATTTCAGCCAATTTACAAAACTGGTGAACCAAAAAAATCTGTTAAGTACATTTATTCTGAACCAATCCAACCATCCCGTTTCACATCATGAAAGCAGTCAACAAAAACCGTGACAGTTTAATATCAAATTGTACAGGAGAAATTCCATAAATTCTAATCGAGCTTTATTGGACATATTCAAAATGGATAAGGAAACCACAACACTGGATAAATTTAAAATTTATATGGAAGCCACCAACAAAAGATTTTCACATAATTTTGACCAATTTACAACGTACCAAAATGGTTGGATAATGGTATACACATTTATTTTGAATCCTTATCTAAAACAATTACATCTATTGGGTTGTCCGGAAAATAATGCAGGATTTTGGTATTAAACAAAAAAAAGAAACTAGTTACTTTAAAGCAATGTTCTTTAATCAAAATAATTTCCCATACTNGTAATCCTGTAAACGTAAACAGAATATTTTATATAGATTTTTTTTAATGAAAACTTAAAATCCTGCATTATTTTCCGGACAACCCAATAGTTTCACATGATGCTTCTTACATCTGCATTAAAGCAACTGGTCAAATTGAAAATTTATACGGAAGCAATCATACAAAAGATTTTAGTATCATTTCAGGCAATTTTCGGTGAAATAAGAGGATTTGATGCCTCCATTATTTTGAACCCTTAATTAAAGAAAATTCTGCCAGTTTCATATGATGCTTCTTATGTCATAAAAGCAGAAAGAAAAAACCATGGTTTAATATCAAATTGTGCATAAATTCTAATCAGGCCTTCTTGTTATTAAATATATTAAAAGTAAATACAAAAGCCATAAAATAAAGATCATTTGCGTAGTATTCACATGATGCTTCTAATGTCACCCAAGCAGACAACAAAAACCATCATGGTTTAATATCAAATTGTACAACCGAAATTCCAATCGAGCCTTCTTATCATTGGATATGTTAAAAATTGATTTGGAAGCCGTATCGCCAAGTTCTTTTATGTAAACCAAGATCCGCCATTTTCAAACTGACAACAGACCGTGCAAATTGAAAATTTAGATGGAAGCCATCACACCAAAGATTTTTGTATGATTTAAGCCAATTTTTGGAGAACCAAGAGGATCTTTAATTTCGAACCTTTAACTAAAACAAATTCTGCCAGTTTCACATCATGCTTTGAACGATTTAATAGAAAAGGATGGTGGAAACTCGCATTTTGCAATGATACAGAATTTCAACAAGCAATAATCACATCTTGTTATAACTTCATTAATGTGTAATGTTAGGCAATATACAAAAGTGGTGAACCTAGAGTCTAATCAATATTTGTTTTGAACTATAAACAAAAAATAGCTTTAAATTTTACACACTGTCTAGCACAGTAGCATACACATGGACAAATTGGATGACAGAAAGCCATCTATAAAAATTTTTAGGCCGATTCACAAGATTAGTGAACCGTGATGGTCTGACGGTATGCACATTTGTTTAGAACAGGAATCTAAAACAATGTCATCCAATTTTAGCTGATATTTCTAACATCATGCAAACAGAAAAAAACAGAGAATTTGTTTAGACCCATAATCAAAAACTAACATGTTTTCTTTCCTGCACAATAGTGAACACACCGAGCAAACTGGACGAAGCCATTCAGCTTACCATGATCTAAAATAATTGCATGCTTCTGAAAAATGCATACGTACAAAACGACGAAGGCTTTGAATGAATCGCGAAGACCGTTGTTGTCACCGGACATGACAAAAATTTAAATGAAATCTTTATCACTAATTGTTCCGATAATGTTTTTGGTTTGTCGAACAATATGCAAAATTGTCAGAATGCAAAATGGTCTTATCAAGTTACACATGTTTAGGGCCATAATGAAAATCCACCTTTGTTAAATTATTATAACACACGTTAGGAATGTTTTTTTTTTCAACGTAAATTTGTATAAAAATGCTTCTACATTCTCGAGAACGAAATGTGATATTGAAAAATAGATTTCACCATCGATTTCATCGTCAAATAAACAGGTTTGGTATCACCTGACAGATACACTCTTGACCATTTATGTCAAGAAAGTCGTCGAAAGACAAAGTTAAAAAGAGAAACATAATCGATAAAAATAAAAACACAAATGGTCAATTTTTGACACGATTCTAGTTAACAACGATCGAGGTTGTTAAATGTATAAAAAAAATATAGTTCATGCTGGGAGTAATGGTAAAGTTGGTATATTACAGTGCATATTTTTTAAATTTTTTTAAGATTTAAAGTTTGATAATAGTAGCCTGTTTTTGTTTACGAGTGTAGAAAGCATTCTAGTGTTTATGGGGAAAAGTTAGTGTTGTTGTTTAGGCGATTTCAATACCGATGTTTAAAACTGATCGTGTAAATTCGAAAAAAGTGAAAATTTGTGTGTTCATGATAAAGATGCAAAAATGGTACTTACAGCTCCAGCAGTGGACGGCGGCGATACTGGAGCCAGAAATTGCTGGAAAACGATTATTTCTTGTTTTAAAAAAATCGACGATTACGACGTACAACTTGGGAAAAGTGTTAATTTCCAGTTTGGTTCCCGCTGGATTAAAATCCACCACAAATATCGAAATGGAGTGAGGAAAAAAAGAGAAAAACGATCCAGAATAAAAAAAAATCAGAAACGCTATCCTTTTGCGCCTTTTTTTCTTACTTTTTCTACATACCGCTTTTGTTTTCTTTCAACGCGTTTTATTCATTGTGTTTTAAAAATGGTAAAACACGTTGACATGTCGCCTAGGTCGAAAATCGTCCCGCGAGATCGAAACCGATCCGTCGACAACAAACAAATATCGGCGAAGGATGGTCGGGCATCGCGAAACCTTTCCGTTCCCGTCAAAAGCGGACCGGACAAAACAAAAGCACGCGCTTAGAAAGCGATGGCCCGCGGTCCAAATCGTAAAACAATCGTCGAACGACAAACGAGACGATAAACCGTCGAAAGATTTCGACCTTTTTATGTTTTGTTCTCGAAATTACGGTAAACGGCCATTTCCATTTACTAATACAATGTTACCACCACCCCCCTCGACAAATCCCGGACTCCTTTTAAAAGATAAACACTTTTGCCAACCTCCCTAATCGCTGCGCCGTCCACGACAGTTTTGTCGTATTACGATCTTTATCGCCTTTTAATCGCTTTTTCCTTTCAAAACGATTCCTTTTTAGAAAGAGTTTCGATTTTGTTGACTTTCGTTTTCAATAAAGAAATAAAAGAGAAGTTTTTGTTTTTTGTTTCATCAGGTTTGATTGTTTTTCGATAGAGCCCGGATCCGGAAAAGGCTTAAAAAAACAAAGTGTCGCTTAAGACGTCACACTTGGAAAATCAATAACACCTGAATGGCCAATTAGGGCTTAAAAGTTCTTTTTTGAGTTTTTTTAATCTCGTTTTCCGATTTGATTTCTGATTTGATAGACGAACCGTCTCGATGGGGGAAAAAAGAAAAAGGGGGACGTTCTTACTTTTAAAGGCTTACAGCTTATATCCGAAAGCCGCTTTTTTCCCCCCACGGATGGTGAGAGGGGGGGCATTTGGAAAAGCTCAAAATTTGATCGTTCCCCGGCACAATTTCACCCCCACTACACTAGGCAGGATTTTTTTTAGAAATAAAATGCAAAGGGCGGACGATAGGAAGGAAAGCGAAGAGAAGGGGAATGGAACGGAGAGACCGGGGATAAACGAGAGTGGAATGGGAGGTGGAGGAGCGGGGGTTGGGGCGAGGGAGAGAGAATGGGGGGGATGGAATTCGCCGATTCCCTTCTCCGCCACTTCCACCCGGCGTCAACGGTACGCCACTTTTTGTAAAAAGCTCTCCTCCCGAGTCGAGGAACCGAGCGAGGCAGAGGCGAAAAAGGTTATCGGGCGAAAAGTCCCCCGGCCCAGGGTCGGATCGGGTTAACCTCGGCGCTCGGAGTTACGCCTCGGCCGGTCCGCATTTCGATTGGAATCCCTTTGTCTTTCGACTCCGGGGCCGAGCGACGCGTCGCGCCACTACGACGGCCGGGAAGAAAAAACTGATGCGTTTCACTTACCGAGACGTCCGAGCGACCGATATCCGGCGGGGATCGTTCCATGTAAATACACCGAGGAAACACACCATTGGCTCTGACGTCATTAGATCCAATCCATAACTTAATAGTGGGGGGATGGGGGTTATTAAATTTGCCATCTCTCAAAAAGTCAAATTCTCAAACCGTACTTATCGACCCTCGACAAAACTTTTAACACACTCGAGAAAATTTAATAGTTCCTGTGGAAAGAATAACCGAAGGAAACATCCAAAGATTGAGATAAAGGCAAGGGGAAACGGAAAAACAAAGGGGTCAAGGTCGTCGGTTCCTTTTTTTCCACCGGGGACTTTTCGAAACGACGTTCATTTCGGCGTGTGGCGTGTCGTGAACTGCATTTTCCCCAGCGTGACAGCCGTTTTCATTATCATTTATTTTCGACTCTCCCTCGGTTTAAAGAGGATCCTATTATAAGAAACGTAAATAAAACGGAGCCGAGCCTGCGCCGTGGGAGAGACGCCGGCCAATCGCCGTCCTCCGTGGGCGTGGTTTCGGATAAAAGGCACTTAACTTGCCACCAAAATATATTATCACCAATCATCTGGGCGCAGGCGCTCACCAAAACTTTTCCACCGGCACCACCACCAACAGTCAACACGAACGATATGTTTGAGAACGTGGGAACTCAGTCGACGCTCCGACTAACATTTCCATAAATTAGAAAAAGAAAAATTCTCAAATATAAGTACATAAAATTTTAAAAAGTTACTTTAAGTAAATTTATTGCATCTGGGTATAAAATTGGGCAGAATATTGACCAAGAAACTATAAATTAAAAAGTGATTTAATACTGATTCATATAAACTCAAATTAGCACATACACATGTGTACATAGGAGATAGGGATAAAAGAGGCTGCCACTGGCCGTCTACCTTGACCTGAGTAGATTTATTGTGTTCCCTGTTGATTATAACTCGCTGGCAAGTTTCAGGTGTTAATCAACCTCCATAGTCTTACCAGTGTTCCATTATGTAGGATCTTGCCTGTGGTTTTTCTTGCCCTAGTTGCAAGAACCTGCACCTACATAAACGACAGAAACAAAATGTGTTCTGTGGTCTCACTTTCTGGCAGTTTCTGCGCAGTGTTTCTTCTGTCTGTAATCCTATCCGGTGCGTGTGCTTTCTTAAGTGGCACTGCCCTGTCAGGAGTACAATCAGAATCCTGGTTCGGTTTCGGATGTCTTCCAGTAATTCCTTTGAAAGTTCGGAAGATAGTCCTATGAATCTCTTAACGTGCCTTATACCTGCGGTATTGTTCCACCAGGTTTCGGACTCATTAAGAATCCATTTTAAGATGAATCCTCTTTTGTGGCAAGATGCTAAGCCACAGTTCAGGACCTAATAGTCCATGTTGGCTCCCTCTTTGACCAACATATCAACCTTTTTGCCCTGAATGCCCACGGACCCATGGCAATACAGGGATAGACCTTGTTTACAAAAAGCGAGATCATTTCAGCCCCCAAAACATGCTGTTTTTTCCATATTTTGAAATTTCACTCAAGTATGGTAATACTTTTATACCCAACACCCTATACTACTCTTCTTTCAGTCTGGGGCCACATCAATCCAGACACCGAGGTTGGGCTCCAGGTACAATCAACTGCTAGGTCATTTCACCCCCAACAGTTTAATAGATGTTTCTAAAGTTCAGATTTGACATTTTGTGAGATTTGCGTAACTTCAGTTTTGAATTGGGACTTTGACATGTTGAAATATCTATGTGAGGTTGAAGCGGATTTATTATTCAGAAAGCTCAGGGAATAAAATAATAAAAGGCATAATTTCTTATTTAGAAGTGGACATTAAATCCTTTATATTTCATGGTCCGATTGACCAAATAAATTCTTTTAATTAATTCATCTTTTTATGCAAGGTATTGATTGAAATGAAAAAGTTAGTGCCACGAGCAGGATTTGAACCCATGAGAGCTCAAGTGGTTAAAGCAGCGGTGAATTGAGCCGAAGGTCGTTATTTTTAGTATTAACACTCGGAATACAGACGTAAGAAGACGTATCAGAGAAACGACCATCTATTTTTCCAGTTACATTATAAATCAAGGGACCATTATATATTTACATTTAAATATCAACATTAAGGGCTTAACTTGATTATGTGTTAGTATAAAGTAAAAAAAATTGTGACACTTCTTTGAATAAATGAATTTTTAAATACATTTCGCTTTCATTTCACCTTTGGTTTTGTTTAATATTATATTAGAATATTTATAAACTTTTGTCCACTGTTATGCCATTTTTGTCCATTCTGGCTTGTTCTCTTGTAGGTTTATAAATAACATGGATGGTTTAAAAATACTCATTTTGTTATTGAATCACAGCATCAAAATATTTTCTCTACTTAAATCCTGAGTAAAAAAGTCTCAAAATTTTGTATTTCGCTGCTTTGCAAATTTTATTACTAATAAAACTTTAAATTATACTTTTTTTTACAAAAACACATTAAAACTTAAAAGGGATAACTCAAAAATAAAAATCACAGGGTGGGGTGTAAAATTTGCAAATAATTATGCAATCCTCTAAAAACATTAACATATAATCCTTGTTTATTTATTTATTTTTTTAAACAACTTTTTACATCTATTAGTATTTACATAAGCATATCTCTGTAGAAATAAATAACAATAAAAATATAAAATACTAAGTCACTTAAAATATCTATTGTGCATAAGTACTTCAATATAATTTTTTAAATTAAAACTAATTATTTATGAACTGAAATATTTAAATAAATATACAACATAATATATGATAAATAACAACTGAAGGGCAAATCTTTACACAAAAATATAAATTATAAGGGTTTTCTTTTTTGAAAAGTGTTAAACTATTTTGATTTGATGTCTTTAAAATTAATTTCACAGCTCTTTGGATATATGACCTTATGAGGATAAGGTCCTTCGATTTATATTTTCTCTTATATACTCACTAAATGTGCCTGAGTGATAAAATTAAAATTAGACATAAATTAAAACCTGAATGTTACAATTTGCATTTTGTGTCAGGACTATGCCACCTTTTTTTTTAATATGTTTTGCCACGTTATATACTAACTAATAGCACCTGAGCGCATTCAGCCAGGTTTTCCTAAAAATTGATTTCAAGAAGCAATTAGTTATTAATTTACGATTGTCCTTTTTACCATACTTTAAAACAGATGGATCAAATAATCCAATTTTCCTGACAAAATGCTGTAAAACAGAGTTACGGTCACACAGGGTTTCCACTCCAGCCTTTAAAATACTGCACCATAATTTTTTTTTTATAATTTACATAAATCACTTTTGAAATTTGACATCAATCTAAAGGAACTTAAAAATCCATATTTACACAATGTTCTGCTTAGTTAATGCTAAATATAAATTTATCTACAGTTAATAACATTTAAGTGCACTTGTACAATTGCAACTAAATTACCAAATTTGAAATAAAACCTTTTACTCTGTTTCGCCATGGTAGAGAAGTAGTAATAACTATTTTTTTAAATGCACTACTCGGGTAATTTTCCATTCCCATATCACACTCATTGATAAGGTGTTGCAGAACTTACATTAATCACCTCATTTGTGCTGGAAATGAGAAAAATAAATACATTAGTTTTATGTGAAGTTCATACCAAATATTTTCAGAGGTCAACAGTGATCAAGAAGAAGAAAGTTCTTCAGATACTTCTGACTAATAAGCCTGTGTTGGCAGGATTGAAGATTCAGTGAAAAATTTTGACAGAACTTTTGTTTTTATTAGTTTGTACAATATTCAATATTTCTAAGCTGATGATGTACATTCATGCTTATTTCTTTTAAAGGCTTTACTTAACTCCTAATAATCTGTCTACTAGGAACATTATGTTAAAATTTAAGAACTATTGCCAATAGTTACCTTTTGCCACACTTTACATGTATTATCAAAAATATTATTCCAAGAAGTAGGCATATTCCACCAACGACAACATAAGCAATGCCTAAAAATGGATTTTTACCGCCAAGCATGGATGTTGTAGATATGATTATTCTTTTAGTTCCTTCAAACGCACTGACTCCATAATCTTGAGAAAAACAAATTTATAAAATTATTTATTACAATATAATTACGGTTAGAAACAATAAAAAAAAAATTGGTGTTAAAAATGTAAATTCTTACGGTAATCAATGAATAGAGTGTATTCTCCTATAGGCAACCCTGCACGGTATGGTTCTATTGAATGATCGACTCTTCTGTAGAGCTTTCGGAAATTTGGAAGCGCCGCGGTCCTCATCCAAACTATAAGATCTTCATTCTGGAAGCCGTTGTTGCTGTCGTCGGTGTCCAACTCCCAAACATTTTTCTTCCAATTTTTTGGCTTGTCAAATCCTTTGAACGCTGCAAGAGTGAAGTGTTATTTTTTTAAGTAGGACCTCAGTTAAAATTTAATATCTTACCTTCTTTCAGTGTCTTTCCGGGGGGATTACGGAACTTTACCTTTTTGTCTGATTCCCAAGCAATTCCTGTTTTTAAAAGAGGAACTTCATCGTTTCCTTTAAAAAGCCGAATCGTATCTAGTAAAAAAAAATTAAAATTAAAAAAAAAATAATACATTTTTTTAAATGAATTTTTATATGAATATAATACCATTAAATAACGAATTTGCAATAGCACCACATGGTGCTATAGGGTGCATATTGGCAGATTTTCTAAAAGGATCACAGTCGTTTGACGGATCGTCATCAAGTTTTCCAAGTAGCTGACTGTCATCTCTTGATTTTACATATCGTCGATGATTTTGGTAGAAGTTTGTTAAGCCATAATAAATAAAAACATTTCCCTAAAATGAGATGTAAGGTAATGTAAGAAGTAATTCAACGTAAATTTAAAGAGATTAAAAAATCAACACAATTGAGATATTATTGGTAATACGGACCTTGTACAACTCATTCAAAGAAAATGTGACATTACATGAACAAGGCTGGTCCGGAGTAGTTTTCAGAACTTCTTCACAAGTCTTTGTTGGTGACAAGGCATTCATGCATTTTGTATATTCTATCGTCTTCTCTTGGACCTAATTACATGTCGTGTTAGTAAATTCTTAAAACATAAATGATACAACTTTTTGCTCACCCCGTCTGAAAAATATAAAAGTCCAACTCCTATAGGAATAAACGCTATACCAATGACGAAAAAAGTAGGAAGTACTGTCCCAGCTGTGAGGATTGGTTGCCAAGCAGGAAGCCGTTGCTGCTTAAAAGCACTATCTGAAAATCAAACAAGTTTTTTAAATTAAATGGCATAAAATAAATAAGAATTTCAGGCTTAGAATTATTATATAATGTGTGGAGTTTTAGGGCCGATGAACATCTAAGGTCATTGCCAGCCCTCTGCTTGTTTATACTTCTTTTTCTAGTTGTTTACGCATATTTTTCAACCTGCAGCCATTTAAACATCTTGAACTATTGCTCACACTCTGCTTTTACATGAAAACTAAGACAATATTCTAAAATGCTAGCCTCTTTTACCTCAGGTTGTCTAAATAAAGAATATAAACATCACATACAATTTAATTTATTTGTACATCACCACCCTATAGACATACTCGACCCCACAATACTCAATATTCTTCTGGTGGTTGAACCCATCTATACTTGTTAATAACTCATTTTTACTCTCCAGAAGGCATACACTCATCCAATGATTTTATCTTGAATGGTAGGGAGTGGCAAATGAATGTAGCTCGTTTTTTCATCAAGGTTCATGTTTGGAATTGATACAGTTTGAAACTGCAGTAGAAGGGTTGAACTGACTGTGATAATCAACCTCAGAACTGTGGGGTGAAGACAATACTAGAACTACAAGGAAAGAGGAAAATTAACTTCTGTATTAAAAGTTAATAAGTTCAGGAGTGGAGGGCTTACGTGAATCAGACTCCTCGCTTGTTACAATTTTTCTTATTATGTGGTGAGAGTTTTGTGGAAGGAAGTGATGGGTGTCGTGGAAATCGTTATCAAGGAAAGATGGAACAAGGGGAAAAGTTTTACATTAAAATATTTAGGAATAATTGCAAGAATGTTACAGGATATTGGATGAGAGTTTGTTACAAGTGTGAACAATTTGCACAGTTGTTGATTTGACAAAAACCGCTTCATGTGAGCTTGCCGAGTTTGATGTTACATTCAATCTTGTTGTTAAGGATAGTAATATTGCATAATTAGCTCATATTTAAAATTAATGGATTGATGTGGATGTCTGAGGTTGCATAATGGCAGACTGGATCAAAATTTTGCCGACTGAGAATAATAAACATTCATCAGAAGCCTTTATAACTCTGAAGCCTAGTTGCATTTTACTAAAGAAATTACTGAAATGACACCTAGGCAAGTGCTCAAGTTCCTAAAATACAGTTCTGCATGAAGGTATGGAGATGTTTTGCATAATAATTACTCCAATACTAGTTTTTATTTCTTGAAAGCTTTCGGGCCAGGTCAAGCCCCTCCTCAGTCTTCTGCCATGTCGGAACATTTAACAATACACCTAATTGAGTAAAGTCAGGGTAAATTTGAATAATGTTAAATTCTCCTTCTGTGGCATAGGAATCCACACTATTAACGAATATCTCAGACAGAAGGACAAAAAGAAAATGAAGGAACAATGGAATTCACTCATTGGACATAGACAATCCAAGAATCTTCTAACCAATTTTGGTAGGAAAGAAATCACAGAATGTGTCAAAGGAAGCAGGAACAGACTGCGAATCCTAACAGGACACTGCAGATTAAATGGACACTTAAAGAAAATTGGAACAATCCAAGATGGCACATGCAGATTCTGCAAAGAAGCAGAAGAGACACCAACACATTTACTAACAAACTGCGGAGCTACATGAGCCCGCAGGAGGAAATGTTTTGGGATGTATAATGTGACCATAGAAGAGCTTCAACCACTGAAACCGGGCCTATTAATCAAATTTCTTGATGAAATAGGACTCGCCAATGTGCTTTAGGCAGAGAACGGGGGATACAATAGCTCTTAAAGGGCGCAGTGTACCATACCCTGAAAAAAATTACATCTACATTCTCCCCGGACTGAAGACGGGTCGCGACCTGGCCTGAAGGCTTTCAATAAATAAAAACGGGTTTAACAGTTCAGAAAAATAAATTACTAATTAAAGTATAGTGCGCTTTTGTACATAAAGTAAAATCTTAAATAAATACGGAAGTTCATTGAATCACGGTTGACCTAATAACATGATATATTATAAAATTAAAACTTTTCAAATTCCATTGTAAATTCCATTGAGCATTTGATCAATCACACTTCTTCTGTGGTTCATTGATTCTATTAATAATGACACAATTTGATTATAATAAAACAATCATCAAGATATCTTTTTTAGCCTTGTGAAAATCACATTAACCATACACTTTAAGGGCAAAACGCAAAGGCAGCCTGCGACTGGCAGCCCCACCCACACCGCCTCCGAAGCAGATACAAGGCCCTTAACTTCTTCTATTCCTCTTTCTTACAATGGAGTGGATAAAACCCTTTATATAACGTTTATGTCCCTTATACTAACCAGGACTCAAAGCACCCAGCACACCAAGAAACTCACCCCTATAAGGCTATCTCTAGACCACCTCATTCACCCGCTAAATTCCCACTTTATTAGTCACAATGAAACCATATACAACATATCTGATTTGAGGTTTATTTGTTGCTTAAAATATTACTTTTGTTAGTCAATAACAGGCAACTTTTCACAACAGCAGAATTCAGAAAGGTTTTTTCAAAAGTAAAGGCACAGAACAAAAGAATCTTCGAACGGTCATGGTCACTCATACATTGAGCTGTTTTATACCGATTTTATGGCAGTTGTCAAGATATCAGGAAGATAAGCTTTCTTTAAACACAATATGGTACATGAATATAGGTGTAATAAGCTTTTTATGACTAATATTTTCACTTTTTTTTTTAAAGAATAATTTTACTAATCTTTCAACTCGATTTTATTTTCTATAAATGTCTTTAAAGCGAGTTTTAAAGGTAAATGTGGGCAACACCTAACCAAGCAGAGGATAAAAATGCTTTATTTCTAATATTATTACACAGTTGAGAATAGTATTTTTATTATAGCGTTTAGCTTCTTTTAATTAGCCAAATGACTTTATGTTACACTACATATGTTTTATGTCAAAAACGACATCAAGGAAACGAGATGGGTGTAAATTGTGTTTAATATATAAAATCCAATTATAATTTACCTGCTGGACGTTTTGACCCCGGAGAAGAAATCGAGTCCATCTTCCCCGTCTCTCAGAAAAGGAAAAGGCGAAATTCAATCGAATTATTGATCCTTAAACTCTGATGAAGAATTTGCCATTTACTGTATCAATAATTCCTTGATAAAGATAAACCGACGAGTGCCTAACTCAGCCACGAGGCTGCGGGAGTACTCAGCACTCGACTCAGCAGTCAGCACCAGTGAATGGCCTTCGAACGAGTCATTTTCAAAAATTACTATTACTTTTAAATTGTAATCGCCAGATTTGAAAGCTATGTGTTGCTATTTTTAGATTTTTGTGTGAATAGTGATGGCTTTTTTGTTTTACTTTATTTACTATTGTAAAAACTAATAAATACAGAAAGCCAATTTAAATTTAACTTGTGACGAAGCAAAATTAGTGGGTATCAACCCAAAATTTTTGAACAATAGATTTAAAAAAAACATTATTTTTAGAAAAATTATCCTTTATTTAAAACTACGATTGCAAGTTATGCATAAAGACAATTTGTGTAAAAATAGTACATTATTAACAAAATGCTTCCCTTATATTCTGTAAATAAAGTCTGCAAAGATAGACAATGATTTTTATTTATTTATTTATAACTCCAACAGAATGAATATAGAAAAAGAGTAGTCAAAAAAGCACATAATAACAAAAAGAAATAAATGATTAATTAAGCAATAATAACAAAATCTCAAGGCTTAAGGATTCGTGGCAATTTTAATTTAACTGAGTGCAAGGAAGCAATCTCATTTTCCTCGGTAGGGGGGAGTTTAGTCCATATTCTGTTTTGCAATGTGGGACAAAGAACAATTTATGGTTCCTTTGTGGTCGCTGAGGCACACATAGTGATAAATATAAGTTCTGGTTATCGAGGACCCCATATCACAATTTCCAACCCCAGATCAGCAGAAATACGGCGGGAAGCTAAGTGACTAGACCAAGCCAGTTCAATCTTTCCAAGTAATTCAGATTGGCAAGACCAAATTTAAAGGCCGTAATTCTGGTTGCATTCCTTTGTACTTTTTCTAAGTCGCTAATCTCGTAGTAAGGGGACCACACGACACTTGCATATTCCAGATGGCTACACACGAGGGATTTATAATATATTTTAACTGCCAAGACATTTTTAAAATCTCTAGAATACCCAGTAATAAAACTAAGATTGCATAGAGCCTTACCTCGAATTTGTTTGATATAAAGAAAAAATAAATAAAAAGTTAAAAACCTTGTTTTTTTTTTACCTCCAAGGTTAAAATATTAATTATTTATGTAAAGTATTTAGTAACTGTTAATAAATGATTATATGAGATGCAGTCTGGTGTGATGTAGGTTTAGAAAAATATTTTCTTTATCGTGCCAACGTTTCGATCTTTATTGAGATCATCTTCAGGGCCTGGTATTTAAAAACATTGTTTAAATTATACACATACATACAAGATATGATATGAATTTATACAATGATGTACACAATATAGAAATTTTAGGTTTAATCAAAGTATTGTACTCCTAAATAATTCACTCAAAGTATGTTCTATGTATGTGTTACTGTTGTGTGTTGTGTTATAAATCCCCCCCCCCCGCCCTGAAGATTATCTCAATAAAGATCAAAACATGGCATGATAAAGAAAATGTTTTTCTAAACCTACATCACACCAGACTGCATCTCATGATCTCTAAATAATCTTTAATTAATTACCGTGACACATGTAAATAATATTTTAGAACAATTGACACAACAATGTTGTGCTAAGAATTATTTATTAAATACAAATTTATTGTGAAAAGTTATTAAGTTATACAATGCATATTAAACAATACACTACATATAAGTGAAGCATGTTCAACCAAATTTAAAAATCTATTGGTTAGATTTATTGGTTCTTTTCGTTTTGTATTTGAACAATAGTTTTGACTATAAGTTGTGGCGGAGAAGAACATTCTGACTTAAGAACTTAAGCCAATGGTCCGCAGTGAACACAGCTGATCTATTTAGAATAGTTTTGGATCGAAACCAGTTCAGGCTACTGATCGCCAATGTTCTATGAGGACATGGCACTTGGAGAAGAAGATAAGTTGTGCTGAATGTAAATATACCATATTAGATTATACAGTATTAATTTGATAAAAATAAAAATTTCTTTGTTTGTCCCAGGTTGTTTTTTGAGGCCAGAGCTTTTATAACATTCATAATTATGGTAGTAAACTCCCAAGTACGGAGGATGCTGAGTCATAATAGAAAGTGAGTTTTTATATTTTTATTTTTAAATTTAGCCGTTATTTTACTGTTTTAGGTTAGATTTAAATTTTTTTATTCTGCATTCATACTGATTGAGGGATTTTCTTAAATAAATAAGGTATCCTGTAATTTAGGCATCTCTTATCATATTTTTTACTTGGTGTATATAAGTTTCTCGTTGATTTAATTTTTTCATTGTATTTCCTACAAACTAGTTCCCCTTGAACATTACAATAATTTTTATCACATGATATAGTTTGGGAGTAAGAGTTTGACGTATATTTGAAATATACATTTGAAAATAAAACACAAATTTTGTGAAAATTCTGTTATATATTATTATACTTACCGCTATTTTCAATTATTTTTGCAGGTACAAATAAAGTGGGATATTCAATTTGACATTATTTTTATAACAGTGATCCTTTATAAGGCCTGAAATAAACCAAATTTAATTAATTAATTTAGGATTAAATTATCCATATTAGAAAAAGGAACAACTTGGTAATGGAGGGGGGAGTAATTTATGTCAATTAGATAGTCTTTTATGATGAATAATTCAAAAATTCACCTTTTTCCATAGTTAACATGAATATATAAACAGAAAGCGCCAAATAGTACACACGCCAGTCCAGTTAAAACAAAATAAATACCAAGGAATGGATTTTTTCCTCCAAGGAGTGACATGGTAGAAAAGATCACTCTTTTACGAAAATCCTTATGATGAACGGCAAAGTCTGAAACATATTTTTATAAATTTTTTCAATATATTATATGATAGTGCAAAAAAAGAATATGCTCACTGTATTCTATTTGCAGTTCATAATCGCCTTTTTTGAGACCTTTAATTATTCTGTAAAGCTTACGAAAATTGGGCAGAGCAGATGTCCTCATCCATACTATTAAATCTTCATTTTCCAATCCATTATTTTGTGGGTCATCTGGATCTAGCTCCCAAATACTCTTTTGCCAAAAAATCGGTTTGTCAAATTCTAACCCTGAACCAGAGCATAGTGTATATTTTGAAGGAAATAAAACACGAGAGAGAGAGAGAGAGAGAGAGAGAGAGAGAGAGAGAGAGAGAGAGAGAGAGATCTAGGGAAGGACCTACCTTTTAATGAATTATTATCAGGGTTTTTAAATTTGGTTTTTTTATCCCAATCCCAAACTCTTCCTTTCTTTTCAAGATTGATTTCCTGAGTCTCATTAAAAAGTTTTATTGTGTCTAAAAATTAATTACCAAATTTTTTAGAAGTGCCATTAATTTTTAAGTGTTATTACAATATAAACTTCATCAACCATTAAATAAAGAATTTGCAATCGCCCCACAAGGAAGAATAGGTTTGTTTGAATTTGAAAATTTAAACGGTTCACAATCGCTTGAAGGAACTTTACTCAATTTTCCTACTAACTGTTTATCATCTCTTGATTTGACATACTTCCTATGATTTTGAAAAAAATGATGCAACGAATAATACATGAAAATTTTTCCCTGAAAAATATCAAGCAATGTCAAGCAAAGTTTAGTCTGACTCAGGCAGCCAAGTCACATATTTACTCCTATATCCTCCTTCAGAGAAAAATTCATTTTACAATTGCAGGTTGCATTACCACTCTTTATATCATCTATGCATTTAGTATTAGCAGAACTTTGGCAGTTTGTGTAGTCGATTACTATTTCTTGAACCTGTAATGATCGAATTAAATACCAATAGAATATTAATATTAAATATCAACAATATTTACCATTTCTGAGAAATAAATACAAATCATGCCAATTGGTATTAATACAATACCAACTATAAAAAATATTTTGAGTGTTGATTCGGCTGTAAGCCACAATTGCCAAGTATGTAGTGATTGCTGATAAAATGGATTTGCTGTAAAGTAATTTAATTGTTACATTAGGACAATTTTATAATGAAACAGTTTATTACCTTTAGGCCTTTTCTTTCCTAAACTTGTTTTTCCTAAATCCAATTGGAAAAAATAAATAATATCAAAGACAAACTTTGTATTAACATCTAATTTACTATTTTGAAAATAGAAAGAGTTTATGCTTAAAACATCCCGTTTGAAAGTGTTTTCTTTAAGGCAGACTTTAACAAATTCAATTTTCAAAATAATTTTCATTTTGTAATTTCTCTTACTTTTTGTTAATGACTTTTCACTTTCACTTCTTTTTTGCTGCGAAGTAGATTGAACATCCTGTTTTGTGTTTTTGTTATGCCCGGTTTGCAACTGCTTTAAACCATGTTGGGATAATAATTCTCTTCTTATATTTGATTTTCCTACACCCTGTTAAATTTGAGGAAATAGAATTTTCAATTTGACCCATTCCTCGATTATTTATTTTATTGTTATAGGAAGTTCCTAAAACCACTGGTTATTAATGACTGATAAAAACTTTTATTTCACTTACACTTGTGTCCTTTTTGTGTTGTCCCTTTTTGTCCTGTTCCATGGGGGTTCTTGAAGAGTATGACTCTTTTTTCGCTGATGATTTCATTCTAGGAAGAATATTTTTCAGTTGTTGGAATTTTAATGAAACCTTATACACATTTAAATAAAATGTCTTTATTTTCTATAACTGGGCACGTTGGTTTTTAGTTAACAAATGAAACTTTCAAGTCTTATTTGTATCCAATTATGTTTGATTTAACCTTTTTCATCTTAAATCTCTTTATTTGAATTATCTCACAATAAAAGAATTTCTTTGTAGTTGTACGCATTTGAATTTAAGAGCTCTGCATTTTAATACTTTTAGGAATATAGCACAGTTAATATAAACATCATATACCTGTTCTATTATATACAAGTGACAAATATGTCGCTTAAAATTCTTATACAAATAATACAAATAAGTCTCATTTCAGAATACTTGCAAATCTACTTTTGAAAATGCCCCAAGTTTTGTCAGCTGTTCCCTTTCGAAATTACAGTTAATAGTACAGATGGAATTTATTACAATTAATTCATTAGAAATTTTGTGCATTTCGAAAAGAAAAGCCTTCGTTATTTAGGTAATAAGTAAAAAAAAATTAATTAATTAAATCAATAATTTCTTTAACATTTGTTTATTTATGATATAAAGGTTTATAATAAATAACAAAAAATAAAAACAAAGCCTCTTGGAATAACAACCAAAATATTAAAGTTAATATTTATAATACAATTTTAGACATCTTCTTCTGATGAATCATAATCATTGGCCACCAGAGAAGATGGAGGCGGAGGGATTTTTAATCTGATGCCCAAGTCAGGCTTTGGCTTCTCGAGACTTTTAGGAATTATAAGGCTCTTTTGGATTTTTTTCATTTTTAGATTCAATTTCTCGTTGGCACCTGTGTTTATGAGAAAGAAAGTGTAAAACTTGTGTAAACGTACATCTCAATAAAACTTTATACATACTTGTCGAAGGTTGTAGCTTTAAGAGGGAGGCAAGCTTGATGTCATCCTCATTCTCAGGGAGAAGTGCTATACTCAGACTTGACTTTTTTAAAAGTATATTATCCACTTTCTCTTTTGCTTTCAGCTCTTTTTTCTTTTTCTAAAATTTTCCATACATATTGTAAATATAATTAATAAATGTAGAGTAAATTCATCTGCATTAGAGCAATTCCCAAAGTCTGATGAACATATTATTAAGGATTTAACTGGACAGCATAAATATTGCCAAGAAATAAGTTACTTATAGAATAATTAAGCTATCACTAATAAAACTCATTATATCCTTTAAAACAGTATAAATTAAAGATTTAAATTAAGTTGATTTGAAAATAATGACTTGAATTTAAACATAGTGGTCTGGTGAGTGGACATTGACTGCATAAGGTGCAACATGTGAATCATGCCAACTGTCCTTCTGGGTGTGGTGGACGCAGATTATACATTTATACTCTTCCTCCACGATTCCATTAAAAATCCCTAGGACCATCTCAGAAAGAGCAAACATGTCACAGGCTGTGGTCATTTCAATTTTTTTTTTTTTACTTGAGATTTTTTATTGATTGATGGGATGATGATAAGAATAGAAGTTATTGGGTGGGAAGTAAAGTGTCTTTTCCACATTTGGCATTAACTTTTGATTTTTTTTTATATATAAAAAAACCACCAAACTACTTTATTTTAAAAAAGTCACTGAAGATGGTCTATATTAGGCTGAAACACATCGGAAAAAGTTTTAGGGATGGTTAGGGTTGCTTTTCTGTGTATATGTTTGGTTATTTTAATTGATTATTTACCCATTTTGTATGATTTTGTAAAATAAAGTAAAACTTATTATTGAAAGTTGAAACAACTTTTATTCAGCTTCATACCCAAATTGATCTAATGTTTTGTGGGTTGCCTACTTCATTTACTTAGCGCTAAATGGGGCACAACTGTTATATGTTATGATTTATAGCACTTATATGAACGTTATTAAAATGAAAACATCATTTACCATATTTTTAAGTTCCAGAGAGCAATTGGGTTCTACCTTGGACAGCCAAATTGGCCAAGGATAGGACACAGCCAATGTTAAAACTTCAGCCAGTTTGGGAGTTGCTTTTATGAAAATGTCTAATACTCACACGAAATTGTGCTCTCAGCATCATGTTGGCCTGGAAGTCATTTTTCCATTTTGAATCGTTTTGACTAATTAATTTATTGAGGACTGGATTTATTTTTGCACTATGTTCTTTGTCGTCTGTCCCATGTTCTAGTTTAAACATGGCATCATCAAAAAGTCTTTTGGAAGTCTCTTTGTCTTCAGGGACAACCTGGCCGTTTTCGGTCGGGTCCCAGCGGTTTTCCTGTCTCCTTGCTCCACTGACAACAATATATTCCAGGTTCTTAAAAAAAAAAAAAGTTCAATAAATTATGCATATATAATAAATTGGAGTATTAATATATTTAGCCAAACTTACAGCAGGATCAGTTTTTATTTCAAAATGGTTATCACATAAATGGCACTTCATCCTGAACTGGTAAACTGGAGTTGTATAGTACATTCCGATTTTCTTCTTCTCTGCATTGTACCTGAATACAAAGTCCGAATTAAATCGCGATAGTAAGGGTTTGGATTAAATTGAGTAATAATTACCTAACGCCCATTCCGATGTGATTTTTACAGCCTTCGCACCATATATTGAAGGGCATTTCAAAACGTATTATTAAGATGCCCATGTGGAGCTTCCTCGCCCGCTCCCTGAGAGCATGAGTCCCAAGAAATTTGTTCAGCCCACCTTTGGCTGGGTTGTAATCAGGTGGATAGTATTTGTTTGTTCCTTTTCGCTCACCCATTTTGCCGGATTTTACTTACACCTCTGTAAATCCAATTGGGAGAAAAAAAAGAAAATTTTAGAATATATAACATGCTCTCTGACCAACACCATTAGGCTTTTGCACAAAACCGTTAAAAACAAATTAACTTAATTATTAAACTTAATAAAATACTATGTAGATTATTATCTTCAGGATTCTAATGATCAAAACTGACTTGTGGTCTTAAAACATGCTTTTTAACTACTAAATTTTGTTAAAAAGAAAATGCTTTTGTAGGTAACATTATTTCAACTGTTTGTTGAAGGAACGTGGTATAAATATTAATATACACTCACATTTTATCTATGATTAAAGAATCTCATAAATTATTTGATGACTAATAACATCATCTAAATTACTAGTAATAAAAAAAGCCCAGCAGCCCAGTCTGATGATAGCAGAGTTAACACAAGGAAATATTCATTTGTTACATAAAATTATCAGCTATCTACTTTTTGCAACTAGGTGTTGAGTCTAGTTTCTGGGAATCTAAGTAAGCAGTAAAGTTGCATATCTCCTACTCTGGCCCACAGCCCGTAGGACATTAATTCAATAAAGTTGTGTGAGTGAAATAAAAAAGGAATTTTTACCTATCGCATTTCATCGTTGTGGTGAGTGAGAATGTTTACAAAATATTTTGCGCTCGTTTTTAGAATAGATAACAAAATGAGTACTATTTGGTTAATTTTCCATTTTACAGTCAAAAGTCATCATTTATGTACTACATTACAAGAAACTTTAATATTAACTTAGCCACGAACAATCATGTATAGCACAAATTTGCACATCATGGCCCCATAAATTATTTTTTAAAAAGTAGGAACCGCTGGGTTTTTCTTAAAAATTGATTATATAATTGTGGATCGGGTTTCTTTATTATTAATTAACAACCAATTTTATTTTAAAAAAAGTAATATTTTGGGACTGGGGCTCCCACGTCCCCTCCTCAGCAACAACTTGAATCTGGAAGAATGCAAAGAAAGAATTACACTCTTCCAGACTAAGGGAAGGTTGTCGCGAAGAAAGTAAAGTATTAAGTTGTACAGTAAAGGTACACCTTAAATTTAAATTTGCAATTCAATTCTATCCTACGTTTTCCTGAGGAAGATTGCATAGATGGTAGATAGCTTGAACAAAAGGAAGCAATAGAAATGATGGTGAGGTATGTAGATTCACTTTTTGATTTCACTTTTTTCTACTCACACTATTTGTTGTAAAAAACAAATCTGTGGGTGAAACCATCATTTACAAAAAAAAGAGGAAACAATAGCAAACAAATATAACAATTTTTCAAAGACTATTCACTTCTTTGACTGACGTTTTTGCCTCTATAGAAGAGTAAAGACTCAAAACCAGGCAAAATGTAGGGAAAAGAAATTAATTGTTTTATCTTTTCTTCTACATCTACATAATATGTAAACTATATATACTCCTGACCGACACCCGGGCAATTCTGGCTAATGAACCATTCATGGTCATCCTTAACAAAAATAAATATGTTTATTCAACACTTGTTGTTTTATTATTAATGCCAACCTTAAAAGTTATACATACAAGGTTGAGGCAGTTCATGATTTCTTTAGCAAACCAAATCCAAGAAACAATCACCTAAAATGGAGAAGAGAATTTGTTGATGATTTAGTTATCACATGAAGAAACTGAAAAGGAGGTGTCGAGGTTGCCACCCAACCGTCTGCGCCACAATGCCTCTAGTGTCCCGTAGGACCCCTAACTGTGTGAGAGCTGCCTTGGAGGTGTCGAGGTTGCCACCCAACCATCTGCGCCACAATGCCTCTAGTATCCCGTAGGACCCCTAAATGTGTGAGTGCTGCCTTCATTGGGGACACCAAGGTAATATAGCAGCAGTGCCAGAGGGTGGTCCACACAGATGACTCCCCACTGCGGCTATGGAATGAGGAGAGAGCAACATGTACTACAGCCTGGTACGCCAGACAAGGTACTGCTCAAGTGCCTGAACAGGAAATCCGAGAAGAGGGAAATTCAGGGGGATGGAATCTTGGAGCTCCCAGAAGATTGTGCAGCTGCGTCATCTGACCGGCTACTCTCAATGTCGATGAAGAGCTGACCTACCAGGAACTGCAGCAGAGGATTAACCTATTGCATGGCACCCGCAACCGAAGGAGACAGTTGTGGATAAGCAGCATGTGTTCCCTGAGGTTCTAATCGTCGGGACAGTCATCGGAATAGGGCTGTGGAAGAGGAGATCCCGTGTCTAGATCACGATGACCACCACGCCTGCAAGTGAGGAGACACCATATTTGCCGAAGACCGTTCAAGACGCTGGGCACTAACGCCAATTAAAGGACAGTTTTGTAGTTCTAAGTTCGTATGCAAGAACCATATTGTAAAGGGAGGAAGTATACAGGGTATGCACACTTCTGGGAAAGAGGAGGTAATGTGAAGATTCCAGAAAGGAATCTTAAACAGATTTTTTCTATTAATTACATTTAATGTAAATATTAAGACTGGAAGTTTGAATATTTCAGCTAATTGTTGGGAGAGCGTATTGTGTAAAATTGGGTTATCGGAAGTGTCCTTGAATCTAGGGAGCCGACCGACCTTGCCTTTCACGAAAACCCCAGACATAGCTAAATAAAGCTGGCAAAATGATAACAGCTGGGTGTTTGTGACTGAGAAATATGGGTCGATCCTGGGCAATCGCTCCAGAAATGTATACTGTTATGCTGACAAGTGGCCTTATTGCACAATCCCTAGGACTAGCTAATGCCCGGATTCGTCTGGAAAAGCTCAATGACCTGAGGAAGACCAGGGGACTCGGGTCACCAGGTAGCATAGCAGTATTTTGTAAGCTTGACGGGTTCCCCACCTCCTCCCCGACTAATTGGCTTAAATACTATCCCTAGGGGCCAGTCAAGAGGGCAGGCTCGAGTAAGACTTGGTCAGAGTCTGAGAGAAGGACAGGTGTGGTCATGACAGCTGGCATAGAGAAGAGTCAGCTGGAGTCATAAAGGACAGCAAGAGGGAGGAAGGTGAACTAGTGCGGCTCAGCATAGTTTGCGGAATCTGATCCACCCAACAGTCGAGACAGATGCTGGCATTCCAGTTCTGTGAATACTAGATTTGTCAATCAGTTGGCAGGAGAGTTAGAGAACAGTTGGGGGCAATTTCGAGGCTGCAGCCTAATCTTGAATAATGCATTCTTCATGAATTAAGCTGATAGAAATAAAAAATTTGTTGGCTTGGGGTATCTATTTGTATATAGAAGTGTAGGTTTAATTTATAAGTAGTATTGTTTAATTATTTAGAATTAAGAGACTTGTGTATAAGAATAGAGAATTGTTTGTTAAATTGTATTAGTCGGGGGATTGTTCAGTCTTTTTGAATAAAGAGACTTGAATGTTCTACCCTAATAGTTGTGCTTTTCCAAACCTACCCCTGCAGTTAACTAGAAAATGGTGGGCACTCACCCGTCAGGCAGGGCAACCTGACTCACCCTAGCTAAAAGCTTGACGGGGCTGGAGTAGATCACTATTCACTTCTGGGTCAAAGCCCACCTAAGTGTTCGGCATGTATAGAAAAGTTGCCCAATGCATCCCACTTAAATTGAAGGTTGGCATTCCTACCCCCTCTCTATACGGAGCCAAGGAATATGAGAATCTAGGCAGCGAATCTTTGGATCCTCTATTCTGATTTTCAAAGAAACAGGACTGCACACCGATAAATATCATATTTTGTCCTTTTGGGTGCATAGAGTGTAAGTATATTATTAGCATGAATGTGCTGTGTATCAGACAGCTGATGGTAGAATATTGAATAACCTATCGACTTTCAATTGACGAAGAGAAAGAAAGGGGATAATTTATTGTTTGAAAATTTTAAAATGTTTATAAATTATTTTTTCAAAACAGTTGACAAAAATTGTCCTGAATTTGGTGCCAACAAAGCAAGAACAAATGTAGAAACTTAGAGTTAACAGAGGTATTATCCTCACACGATTAAGAATAGGCCATGCAAGGTTGACACTTACTTCTGGGCCAAAACCTTTGGATCCTCTGTTCCAACAGGACAGTAGTGACATCTCGTTTTGTTACCTTTTGGGTGGCCCTAAGAGGATTTGAATTTGTAGAAAAGGTATTATCCACACACGATTAAGAATAGGTTGACACACGGACACTTACTTCTGGCCAAAGCCCACCTAAGTGTCCAGCATGTATAGAAAAGCGGCTTGATGCATCCAACTTGAATGAAGTCATTCTTAGCTCCATATAGAAAGCTTGTAAGAATGCCAGCCAATATGAGATTTTGGGTAACTTTGGATCCGCTGTGACATCTCGTTTTATCTTTTGTGTACATTGGGCGTGAAGATATTCATTAGCATGAATGCGTAGTATGAGAGGGCTGATGGTGTTATATTGAATTCCCTATTGACTTTCCGTTGACAAGGAAACTGAAAGGAATGTATTGGCTAAAAATTTGATGATGTTTATAAATTAATTTTTTCGTACCAGTTGACAAAAATTTTCTACATTTGGTGCCAATGAACAAATGTAGAAGCTAAAAAATTTCATGGTCAGGAAGATAACATTTCTTAGTTCTGTTACAGCAATATACAGAAATAAAAACGGATTGCAGTGGTAAGGAGTACATGTTTACAATATTATTTGTATCGTTTTAAAATTATAGAATATTAAAAAAAAAGGCCTAACTACATTTAAAAAAACAGAATCACCTAAGATAAATAAATAATAATAAAAATATCATAATATTGTTGTTTTTCGGTTCAAAGGCTGTACGTGCTTTTGGAATACATTATATTATTTTTAATTTGTATATTTATAAATAAATAGCTTACCTATAAGAAAAAAAGAACAATTTATTTTGTGTTGTCACAAATTTAGTTTTCAACCAGTACAATATCGAAAGTTAGAAGTTGGGAATAGAACCTCTCACTGTAACGTAGGAATATATATTTTCGAAATAAGTGATAGTAAATTTAATTTAAAAAAAGGTTCTTCTTCCGATTCATAAGAAAGGGAAATTAAACAATTAAAATCTTGGAGTAAAGTTAATAAAGGGAAAAAATCTGTGACGAGGAAGAGGGCGCAGAAAACTGAGGACGTGATCCGTTTGCTCCTGGTAATGGCAATCGGTTTGGAACGCGAGTCGTAAGGCTATGTTTGACCGTCTTCAGTACCCTGTATCGCTCAATCCGAGTGTCAGTCCGAGTGAAGTTCGCTAAGTCCGAAAAGCCCGTATTATGCCGTCAAGCATATCCGTTAATATGCTCAACACGGATATAACGTGAGTCGTCGTCGGCCCGTCAAACTCGCGTGTTTTCACTCTGTTCCGAATCGGGGGTGGAAAATTGTGTCATATTGCAAGTTAAACTCGCCCTTTCGCAAACGTTTTACATCGGCTGTTTTGGGAGACGGGTTTCCTTTTTTCTCTCTCTGAAACGATCTCTCGAAAGACGAAACTAAGCCCGTTTCTTGTGAAATCACGAGTAAGAGCACGGCCAAGTCCCCGAGTGCACCCGTCAAGTGCCGTCGCTCAGGTTTTGTTTACATCCGCTTGTAAACATTAATCAATTTCCAAATCAAGTTTCACTTTTTTTTGTTTATTGGCCGATTTGTGAATTGTCGTTTTTAAAATGGATTCTAAGCCGGGAGTGCCTAAAATACAGGTCTTCAGGCCGACTTACGAAGAATTCAAAAATTTCTCGAAGTACGTCGACTTTATCGAAGAACAGGGCGCTCACAAAGCTGGGCTCGCTAAAGTAAGAGAATTTTTTTATTATTAATTTTATGTTCTTTTCAATTAAATTAGCTTTACAAATAAATAAATAATCCGAAAGGCAGCTAACCTCAGTTACGGCTGATACTGGCACATAGTCATTTTTCCCTAACTTACAAGTATCTGTCAGTGTAAAAACAAGTTTGTTTTTTCTAGTTTTAGAAATTGTTAATCTCCAATTGTCAACCGGTTTTGGCATGCAACATGTACACGAGAGATTTGACACTGGCTACGACTTGTGGATTTAAAACGAAAAAAGTTAATTAATAGAAATTCGTCAAACACAAAACATTAACAAACGAAAATATCGGCACATCTTTCTCCATCCCATCTTAAAATGACATTCTGTCCAATGTCAACGATACACGTTTAGTCGTTCATATTTGAAGTAAAATTCCTCCAATATTTCATTAAAACGCGTTTATTATTTTATCATTTCAGTAATTAAAATTTTATGCATGAACCATGTAGCCTATCATGTTTCGCCCTCAATCCTCATTCGACAGAAAAAACCCTACACCCAAAATCAGAGAGTTTATTTAATAAAATATAAAAAATACACTTTTGTATTGAACAATGGGCACAGCATGCCTTGCATAAATCTCATTTAGGTGCCAGGGCATGGAGTTTATCAACTTAAAGCTCCTGGCTTAATGTAATGCTGCCAGAAGAACATTTCGGTTCACAACTCAATTGGGTAAACGATCAAATATTTGTTGACTATAAAAAAAGTTATGGCTTATAGAACAACGCGTATTCGTAGTGCCAAGTTTGTCTCCTTATGACAGTTTCAATCTAGGGCTACATGTTGGTGATCAACAGAGATTAGTGAAATAAAATCGGATTTTGGACATAATAATTCCCAAAATCAAACTTAATGTGATAAGCGTACTCATTCCTGAACTTTTGCTCGTGACACCTGTCAGAAAAGACCTGGCAGTAGCACACTTTGGAGATAATACAGCAGCACAAAGTACAACAGAATATGTTTTACATGTAACACTAGTGTTTGACATGAAGATTATCAGACGGAAATCTAGGAAATGGAGCACTGCAACCTTCTGGCTTATTATATTTTTCCATTTCATTATTTCAGTTGACTTGTGATCCTTCCCTTAAGAGGTATAAGCCGTTGCTTTTTCCCTGGATTTTCTTTTTATCCCAGGTTGTCCGGTGCGTCTCATTCATAAACGATATGGGTGGCTGTTTCTTCCAGTTGCATAACTACTATCTAAAAAAATGTGGGCAAAGTAGAGGATAGAAACATGCCGACTAGGTCGAAAAAAAAAACCCAGCTACATTGGTGCAAATCCTTTGTTAATGTGATTGAGAAGTGTGGTCTTTCCACTTTCCACAGTATGGTCCTAATCGTTGGGGTTGCACCATATATGTTGTAATAATGGTGATGAATATGGATACTAGGGAGTGGGTTTTTTGTTCCCCAGGCACTGCTGTGTTCTGTTTTATTTTCCTTTCCTAGTTCAATGTAATTGCCTCAATCTTTCTCAGGAAGTACTAGGTCATAGACTGTCGTTGCTTCAATTTCTTACCCTGGGTTTCTTTGTATCCCAGGTTGTGTCTCCATTGAGTGGTTGCTTTGCATAGAAGATGATATTTGGCCGTTTTTTCTCTTCCTCCCCATTGCATATCATACAAATGGGACCATTATCGCCACTTATCCTTGTTACATAAGAAAAACTAAGTTTGATTGAACATCTAATCTTGCTAATCTTAATCGAAAAACAGGGCACTGTCATCTGAAGAAGAAACCAGTACACATAAGACATAACCCTATCTTCAGACTTTAAATTCACAAATCCTCAAGCAAGAAATCCCCCACAATACTCTGAAACCTCTCACCGTACTTTTTTTAAACTAAAATACTCCATTTTCAATCTTATATCTTAACCCCACAAACTTTCTGTCACATATCCTTTTACAGACTCATCAGCCTTCTCCCAGTGATGTCTAAAATCCTCAAAAGACTTCTTAAAATGCTTCCTTTTCTAGTATTTTATAAAACCATTTCCATTTACCAATTCGGCTTCTGTCTTTGCTACTTCACAATACATCCTTGTTTTAAAGATGTAGATGCCATATCATCCGCATTAGGGAGTACTGCTTGGGGGTATTTTTAGTATCACAAGTGTTTGACATTCTGACATCCAGGAATTTCCTACAAAATAAAACAGTTCCTACCTAGTTATGACCTATTCCTGAAATCCTATCTAACCAATCGCTGCTTCAGAGTCAGGTGCGGCAATGAGTTTTCAGAGATAAAGCCGGCCAAGCCGGCAACCCACAAGGGAGCATCCTTGGTCCCATCCTGTACACAATTTATACAGCTGATCTGCCAATCCATTTCAATGTCTTAGGACTGTACCTAGACAGCAGACTGATGTGGAATCCACACACTAGACTGAAGCAATAAGAACAGAAGACTCGGACACTTAAGAAGACTAGACAAAAATCAGATATGACTGTAACAAACAACAATTTACAAAACAATAATTCGACCTTTTTGGTCAAACGGAGCAGATTTGGAGTAGTGTGAAGCCATCCTCAGAGCCAAGCTTATCCAAGCTCCCTACTACATCTCTAACTTCACCACAATGATTTCAACATTCCCTTCGTTCAAGATTTGATCTGCTTCTGCTTCCTGAAATTCCACTCTAACCTTTCTTCTCTCCTTAACCCTTCTGTTCAAACCCATTTTACTATCTCCAATGTCATAATAAACAACATTGGCTCAGAGACCTACTCGCCCCATAATCCCTCAGCAGCGAGAATGCCAGCCTAGGCCGGTTTCTCAAAACATGTTCCGGGAGCAATGCTGACCTTAGTGTCAGTGATGTGTTTGTAGAAAATCAGAAAACTTAATTTGTAAGATGTATAGATGTGTGTACAGGATACAAATAAAATAAAAATAAAAATCTTCCCACTTGATGGGAGAGAGAAAGGAATGTACTCCTACAACATCTTATGGATTGAATTAAGGAGTTACCTGTAGTTTGAGCTGTGGTGGCTAATTGTGACTGTTCTGCTCTTCCGCATACGGATTCTAACAGACCAGCAATAATGTTAAGCTTTTTACATCATTGTTGCAGCAGGTCTGATATAAGTTTAATATATATTTAATCTGATATTAGACTAAGATAACTAATTCTTTTGCCTGCCTTTTTCCTGTGGTGTTGATTTTTTCTTTCTTGCATTTGATCCCAAGGCTTTCTTATATTGCTATTTAGATCTTACTAACATGTATGAACTAGAAACAGTATTCTGTAAACAAAATGTTTATTTAATTTGTTTCCTAATATGTCTTTCAATGTTATTATTTATTATTGGTATGATTTTAATCCTTTACTGTGTTCAAAAATTTGTAAATATTATGACCATATTTTATGCTCAGTATTTGTATTCTTTTAATGGTTAGGAAAGGTTTAATGAAAATGTCATTGAGGTATAAAATTCTGATAATATTGCAAATTATTGTATAAGAAATTTTCCTATCTGCTAAAACTGCACGTTTGTTTGCGGGCGTAATGTATTTTAGATTGGGTGTAGGTGATTGAAAATTGGGTATACAAGCCTGCAAAAGGAACATTTTGTAGGACTCTATGAAAAGCTTGCCTTAATTCTTCTTGGAATGGGCTATATTCAGAACAACTTCAACATATGTACGAGGTTAAATTCACTAGTTTCGTGGTCCAATTAATATCTTTCAATTAATTAAGGTTTTTTTATCTCAACTAAAAACCTTAATTAATTGAAATATGTACGAGGTTTTGTGAAGGTGGTACCTGATTTTGATGGATTTTTTTATGAGGGTTCTTAACAGCAAAGTCATATCAACCCTGAGGGTGCTGGTTTTTAAAATAAAAGCCCATTTGTAACTCCTGTCGGTTTCGAATGCAGGGCTGTTGGATTCGAAGCCGGGATCTTTACCTTACAGTGTTGAACGGTGTGTCTAATGCAAAGGCCACCATCACCCTCCAATGACTTATTATTAAAAACTAATTTTTTTTAAAGAATTATCACTTCTGATAATCCACATCTTCCTGCTTTTACTGATTTTGTCTGTCACACAAATTTCAGCATTTTGCCATCTTCAGTATGATCAAAAGGTTTATCTTATTTTTGCATTGTACAGGAACTACATTTAATAATTTGTCTTTGGCCACATGATAAGAATTGTCTTTCTTTTGCAAAAATCCAACAAAAAATTTTCATTTCTTGATTTTATTTTAATGCATTTATCCTCTCATATTCTTACATTAACAGAACAGAAACATAAATCCATCTTTAAAAATAACCCCCCTCAAGGCTTTTCAAGCTTATTGCAGGCTAATTCTAATCTGCTTTTTATATTGATTGTACTAATGTAAGGCTTTTTATGTCTCTGATGAGAGTATTAAGATACAAATTTTATTGCATTGTGAAATATTTCAAGTGTTACAGTTATATCATAATTCTGTTGTATATCTGCAGAATGTAGAAGCACACTTGATTATTGTGAAAAAATTGCTTGCAAATTGTAGTTGTATATGCAATTTTTTGGTCCTTGTAAATTTTTCAGTTTGTAAGACGAAATGTTTGTTTGCACAATTGAGTAACCTCCAACAATTTTACCATTGTCCATTTGAGTCAAGATACACGTGCAGAAATGGAATGAGCCTATACGCTTATTTCCATTATCTATTATTTGTAAGGGCAGCACTTTGAAACTTGCAAAACAATTTTACATGAGTTTAAAAAAAAAAGTCAAGTAATTCAGCTTAACGTTCAATTACCCACCCTGTCAGTATCTAGAAGAAAGTATGGAAACTACAATGTGTTGAAAAATGTAATTTTTCAGAAGCAAAATAAAGAAAACAGCAGGGATCGACTGTAATATTCTAGTGATAAGTAAAAAAGTAATGTAATTCTGTCTGTTTTGTAGACGCCGGTGGGAGAAAGTATTGGATATCTACCCTCCAAGTCCGGCGCTACCAGGGATAGTTGTCGGCTGTTGCGTAAAGGATTTGATTGATAAAAAATAGTTTAAAACTTCGTTTGATAATTAAATATATTAATTCACAATTTATGACATAAATATGTAAATTAAAATCTGGCTAGAAACAAAACAAAGTTAATGAATTATATAGAAATATAGATAGAGAGAGAGAGATAAGTTGATACAAAAAATGGCAATGTTGAAGAAAAAGAATAAGGACGTTCGTACGTCTTGTCGACTCACGACAGTGAAGATCAAACGATTTTGTGTTTATCTTGATTGGAGTCTGGGAGCCACTCGCTGGATGAAGTCAAAGGTGCGTTCGTTCTTACCCGTCGGAAACCAGATAGCGACTGACTGAAGAAAGCTGATGTATGTTCGTGCATATAGGTCAAAGACCAGGGAGCGACTGGCTGAAGACAGCTGATGTACGTTCGTACGTACAGGTTGAAACCCAGGGAGTGACTGGCTGAAGACAGCTGATGTACGTTCGTGCGTACAGGTTGAAACCCAGGTAGCGACTGGCTGAAGACAACTGATGTACGTTCGTGCGTACAGGTTAAAACCCAGGGAGTGACTCACTGAAGACAGCTGATGTACTGATGCACGTTCGTGCGTACAGGTCGAAAGCCAGGGAGCGACTCACTGTTTTTACGACGTCTTACTGAAAATGACCTACTTCTCCCTCCAGCGTCTTGATCCTTACAAATTTTCCGTTTTCACAATTCTTCAAAATGATAAATTTAAAACACAATGATAAATTTAAATAACAAATGACAAGATTTCCCAACCAACCATTAATAAATAAAAATGTTAGCATAAACACTGTCAAACTACCCGTTGAGTGAGATGTACAGCAGGCCAAACCTCTTTACACAATACCTTTTTCATTCTACCATAGATTAAAAAACAGTTGGACACCATAACTACTCGGCCACTGCAGTCTGATTTTTTAAATATTTTTTTATTTAGTCATCGAACCGTATTCTTGTACTCATACGGTTTTTATTATTAACTCATTGTGTTTTTATTATTTTTACATTTTCATTTATATTTTGTTCAGATCATTGGGAACCTGAACACTTTTGCACAATTTGCTAAGCTTTGGTGAATGTGTAACTGTTATATTCATATAAAAAATCTTTTTGTGGAAATTTCTGTTGAATTGAAATAATGATTTTGTTTTAAATATAACAAATGGTTAACTAAATTGGTACTTATGCTACTAATTTATTTTCTCTTTTGTTTCTTGCAGATAATTCCTCCTCCTGAGTGGAAGCCAAGAGCAGAGGGTTATGATTTAAGTTCAATCCAATTGAAAATTCCAGCACCAATATGTCAAGTCGTAACTGGAAAGCAAGGGCTGTATCAACAGATCAACATACAGAAGAAGCCAATGTCAGTTGTCGAATATCAAAAGCTCGCTTCATCGGCAAAGTACTGCACGCCTCATTACAGCGATTTTGAAGACCTTGAGAGAAAATATTGGAAAAACATTACTTACAGTCCGCCTATTTATGGGGCCGATGTGAGTGGCACTCTGACAGATGATTCAGTAAATGTAAGTTTTTAATTATACCTGGTTAAAAACGGTATTCTAAATATTATTTTTGTGATTAGGAGTGGAACATCAACAGGCTTGGAACAATTTTGGACTATGTTAATGAGGACTATGGGATTTCGATCGAAGGTGTTAACACTGCGTACTTGTATTTTGGAATGTGGAAAACAACTTTTGCCTGGCACACTGAAGATATGGACCTGTACAGTATTAATTATTTACATTTTGGAGCTCCAAAAACATGGTAATTATTATTGATGTCATTCAATTTTTTGAATTTTATTTGTTTATTTGTACTATTTTTTTTTTTTTTTAAATTTGATTTTAGGTATTCGATACCACCAGAACATGGCAAACGTTTAGAAAGGCTGGCAAATGGATTTTTTCCAAGTTACAGCAAAACTTGTCCTGCGTTTTTGCGACATAAGATGACTATTATTTCCCCACATGTATTGAAGCAATATTCAATTCCTTTTAACAAGGTAATATATTATTTATTCAATATTGCATGAAATAACTGCAGGGTGAAGTTAATCCTCGTCCTTACATATTATTAGGTTAAAATGTCTGGCGCTGTTTTAATATAATTTGAATACTTCATTATTAGTTAATTGAAATACTTAATCTGATGATATTTTTTCTATAGATAACTCAGGAAGAGGGTGAAATCATGATTACTTTCCCATATGGATACCACGCTGGTTTTAATCATGGCTTCAATTGTGCAGAATCAACAAACTTTGCCACAAAGCGTTGGGTCGAGTACGGAAAGAGGGCGTTGCAATGCTTGTGCAGGTAAAATATAATTAACAATAGTTTTTTTAATAATTATATTTAATTAAAATTTTTGCCCCCAAGGCCAGACAATGTGAAAATATCCATGGACACATTTGTTAAGAGGTTCCAGCCTGAGAGGTACGATTTATGGCTACAGGGAAAAGATTTAGGTCCCCATCCTGAAGATCCCACACGAGTTTCTGTGGCACCTCCACCATCATCGCAGGAGATCCAATGCAACAAAAAGTAAGCTGTATTTCAAAATAATACATAAAAAATCATCCATTATTTGTTGCTTGAACCTAAATTGTTTAGTCATTAAAAAAAAAAAAAAAACACACAATGTATGGTATTATTAAAATTAAGTTTTGTCTTATTGTTATTTTCAGTAATAAGAATCCACAATTAATGGAAGGGAACAAACGTGTACCACCTCTGAAGAAATCAGAAAACGAGAGAGTTCTTCCGATACCAAATGAGCTTAAGCGAGTCATTGAAGAAATTGAACTGGAAGAAGATTCACCAGACGAAGAACAAATTCAGGTTCTTGAAGATATTTGGCTAAAAGCTGGTGAAATGGGTAAGCTGAGAATACTGTTTAATATTTAAATTAACTACTGATTTGTGTGGTCAATGATTATTCGGAAATCGTGAGATGCGGTCTGGTGTAACGTAGGTTTCAGAAAAACATTTTCTCTATCGTGCCAACGTTTTGATCTTTATTGAGATCATCTTCAGGGCCTGGGATTTACAAAGATTGTTTAAATTTAACAAAAACATGTAGGATGTGGAAAAAAGTAAAATTATACAATGCAAAAACATATTTTTTTGTATTCACTCAAAGTACTTCTACTCACTCAAAATGTTTGTTTTCTGTATAAGTGTGCCATTCTTGCGTGTTGTGTTGAGAGTGCCAGTAAGATATTGCTGTTTTATGTTTATATATGTTGGATTTTGAAGCGGTGGGAAAGGAAGTCGGTAATGGTTCGGCCAAATTATCCTTTCAGGATTATATAGACGGGGATAATTAGGAAAAGGAAAGCTAAATTGTTGAAAAATTAGAATATGTAAAAATGTTTGATGTAATGAATGTTTTATATGTTTATTATGTTTAGTGTGATGTGATGATATTTGTGTTATCGATATTGAATTTGATTAATGATATTGGCGTAGCTGCAACTGAGTTTACATGTGTCTGTTCTGTAATTGATGCTGTGTTTATCTCTGTTGATGTCAACCATTTCTAAAAAGTTACGTTTATGTTTGTTTTGTTCTGTGTTTAATATTTTTGGATTGTTGAAATCGAAATTGTGTTCATGTTCAAAATGGTGGGTGGGTAGCGTGTGTTGTAGGATTTTGCTTGGGTTTTTTTGCAATCATAGACATGTTGATTTACTCTCTTATCCAGATATTGGGATATAAGACCAATGTAAGAAGTTGCCAGACAGTTTAATCAAGTGATTTTGTAGATTTATTTGTTATTGGTTGTGGGAGCTTTAATTTTGGAAAAAAGTGTTTTAATTGTTTTATAGTTTTTGAAAGCTATTTTAAAGTTATCAGATAAGAGAAATGTGTTTAATTTATGTGATAGGTCGTGAATGAATGGCATGGAAATGTATGTTGGTTTTTTTGTATTTGATAGATTTCATGTAGTATTTTTAGTACTAGTGGATGGTGTTAGTGTTGAGTTTAGTTGTTGATTATTCTGTTGATTATGTGTTTAAGGTAGTGATTGTTATGGAGGATCTGTTTATACAGGGTGTCCCAGTTCCTCTGACGAAACTCAGGGAATTGATTCTACTCTTCGTTTGGAGCAAAAAATGTTCAGGAGAAAATTTTCGTAAAGTTCTCTATTTTGAAGATATTCGTCAATTTAGGTTTTATCAACTTTTCACTACCTTGCCACATAAAAACGCTTACAACTTCCAAAATGTTGAGACTACAACAAATCCAATTACACCATTTGAAATAATGCTAAATTTGCTGTAAGATACAATTTTTCAACTCTACTGTTTAAAAACCTGGATATATCAATGTAAAGCATATTAGATGAAGAAGTTTTTGTGTAATTTGACAAGCTGTAGGTATTTTTTTGTAACCTCAGTAGAACATGCAATGATGACCAAAATTTTAAATTTTGTAATTTTGACATGTTCCAACTGATATTGGCTAACATTTTATGTCATTCAGATTATTCCAAATAGAAGTATCTTACAGCAAATTTAGCGTTCTTTCAAATGGTGTAATTGAATTTATTGTAGTCTCAACATTTTAGAAGTTGTAAGCGTTTTTATGTGGTAAGGTAGTGAAAAGCTGAAAAAACCTAAATTGACGAATATCTTCAAAATAGAGAACTTTCCGAAAATTTTCTCCTGAGCATTTTTTGCTCATTTCGACAGAAGGAACTGGGACACCTTGTATATCTTTATGTTCTTATATATCTTTATGTATTCATGGCTTAGGGTAATAATTCTGTGAAGTAACCCTTTGGTCATGTTTATTATTGTATGAAGAGGATGGTGAGATGTAAAGTTGAGGTAGCGATCTGTGTTTCTTGGTTTTTGAAACCAATCTGTGATTAATGTACCATCTGGTAGTTTTATTACGAGTGTATCTAAAGTGGTATTATTTTGTTGTTTTCGATTTCATGTGTAAATTGTAGGCTTGGATGAAAGCTATTAAATGTATCTAATGTTGTTTGGATTTGATCTGTGAGAGCTGCTGTCAATATGTGATCTACGTATTTAGTGAGGAAGGGTAATGTGAAAGGAAGTTGTGGTATAACTGTGATATATATAATATAAAAAATATTTTTTTGCATTGTATGTATTCACTTTTTTTCCACATCCTACAGGTATTTGTTAAGTGTAAACAATGTTTGTAAATCCCAGGCCCTGAAGATGATCTCAATAAAGATCGAAATGTTGGTACGATAAAGAAAATGTTTTTCTGAAACCTACATCACACCAGACTGCATTTCACGATTTCCAAATAATCATTATTACTGATTACTGATTTATATAAACCGACACTGCATCTGGATGTGCATACATACACACTGGTGTAGAACTGAGCCTATCACTTCTTGAAGTCTGCCGGCAATTCCAGCTATTGTAATTTACAATAAATTACTGGCAGGCCTTGAGAATCACCCACGTAGGTGTTGGCAGCCCAGGAACAGACCTCAGTCTTATTTGCCCAGCCACAAAGGTTGGGCAAACCCATTCACACTCTCAATCACTTTTAAATACATTCTTTTTATTTACATAACATATCCTCAGGGTGGTGGAGTACTTGATATTCCTCCATCACATTCTACGCATATTAAATATAAATAAGTAATCTAATTGAGGGTTGATGAGGTACTTAATATTACGCCTCTTACACTGCTCATTCATGCTAATAAATACATTCAGTCTCAATATACACAAAGAAACACGAGATATCTGTAAAGTACTCTGTACAGTAAAGAAAGCCCAGTTTTCTCTCTAAATCAGACAGAGGACGCAGATACTCGCTGCCGTGCTCAAGCATAATTCTCATATCTGGTTTCATATCTACACGCTCTCTATATGGAGCTAAGGAATGACAAGTGGGACACATCAAGCAACCTCTCTCTAAATGGGCTTATGAACTTAAAAATGCCACATTTTACTGTTTAGTAGCAGTATATGTTCTGTTGAACCCACCCGCATACCCACATTTTGTTTTAAATTTTTTTTTTAGCTTTAGTACAGCTAAACTAAAACATTTATTTTTTAATATTTATGTGTGTATCTATATCTAGTAAATAGATCATTTTTCTTAATAAATCATTTAAATATGGGAAATTTAATTGATAAAATTGATCTAATTTAAATAATAATTATTTACAAAAATTGCAAAGATGCCACTTAGAAATATTTTAAAAAATCTAAGAAACATGAGCCTTGCGTTGTTATTGATTATCGAGTAAAAAACACCAGACAACTATTATCTGAAGCCTCCGATGCTACTGGTAGCACTTGCAGGAATTAAAATGGTCCCCAAGATCCATATTTGCGACAATTTGCAAATGTGTAACTCCTTAAAAAACCAGATTTTTGTTTCATCAACAAAAAGTAACACATAATATCATAAACACCAGGAAGTTTAGCTTGGGTAAGAAAGGATTGGCTAAAAAAGTCGTTTATATAAGTTAGGTGAAATTTCAAGGGCATGATTAATTTTAAGTTGGTTCCTGACAGTATGGCTATAAATTTGGTACTATTCGGTTAAACCTGAGATACTGGCTTTTTCTAGCCAAAATATTCATAAAGTTACAGACGTTTTCATTTCGTTTTAGACTTCTCAAAAATTAACTAACTGGAATTCGAACAACTCTTATACAACTCACTTCTTCAAATTACCGTTATTTATATCTCTACCTCACTTGTTAAAGATTCAAATATTCAGATTATAAAAGTAAAAGTGTTATGCCTAACATATAGTTAGTTATATACAATAAATACCTAAAATAAAATGAACATTTGTTATTTCCTAGTATGATTACATAAACAATTAATTATAAGTTTAATTATTACATAGTTTTTTCTACTTATGTACATTCAAAATTAATATAAGTAAGAATTGATATCATAGGCATAGAGATGCTGGCTAGTACTGGTTAAGTAAGGAGTTAGGGTTAAGTTTATAATCTGATATAAAATTAAGGTTAGTCTTAGAGATTGTGTGTGCTGCTAAAAAAGTAGTGTTATGTTTTAAATGATTCAAGTTAATTTAGAACCTCAATTTCCAGAAATTGTTATAGCAGGTTGTATTATAAAACAATTCTTTTGTTAAAAATTATGTTTTGTAATAATTGACATATTTTCTAATATTACCAATGATTTTTTTTTTTTCAGAATTAGAGGAAGCCTCAATTGTTGATGATGGGTATGAATTAAATGCAAAGAAGAAAAGGAAGAAACATGATAATAAACCATCAAGAAACAGAAAGAAGTATGTGAGTAGAAAAATAAAGTCAAGGGAATACATTGAGGTGAAGGAGTTGCAAGTGGAGCTTGAAAAATGCATAAGCGTTGAGCTGCCGGAGCCTAATCCCCAGCTGGAAACACAATACTTGAGAATTCCGTCTCCTCCTAGTTCTCCCCAAGTGAAAAAAATGGAAGAATCAGAACTGAACATTATGCCATCCCAGCCACCTCTACATAACTCTCCAACACTTCAACAGCTGGAATTTTCATCAATTCACCAGCAGGATCATTTTTCTCCCAATGGGCCATCGCATTGGAATATTGATAATAATTTGAAGAAAGTGAAAAAAGATTTGTTGATGAAAAAATCTTTAAGTCCCAGTAAGAAGCAGTTTAAAAAAGATAACAAAAAGCCTAAAAATTATATAAAAAGCCCTTATGACATCAACACTACTTATGATTTACCCACAGTGAAAGAAGAGAAATTCGACGAGTTTGCTTCATGCTATTTGACTGGAAACGGTGAACTAAATATGCCCATTAAAGCAGAGCCTGTTGATTTCAACTACGTACCTGAAAATCAGCAAGAAAATGAAATTTCTCAGGAAGGCTCTCTTAAATCCCTCATTCAAGTTACCAATAATGTTTCTGTTGTGCCAATTTCAACCCCAAGCCCTCCACGTTCACAATCACTGAGTCCGATAAAAAAGCCTGAGAGTGGTTCTAAAATTGGCAGTTCAAATACAGTCATGAGAAACATTATGGAACCTTCTTCGAGCAAGAGTTTCGATTATAACTACAAGAAATATTTGCCGAATGTTATGAACCAACCGCCAAAGGAAAAAAAAGAAGAGGAATTTTTAGTCTACAAATCATCAGAAGGAATTCCAGTTCAAGTGCAAAAAGATAGTTTCAATAATCGTACTTTAATTGTGAAGGTTCAGAAACAAAGGGTGAAACCACTGGTTTTCAAACCTTTACCATCTGATAAAATAGCCCAATTATGGCAAGATTCAAGTAACAGACAGTCTTCAGGGAATAAATCACTGCTACTTTCAAAACAACAAAATTATGATCATATTACATCTACTACAAATCCATCATCATTAACTAAATGCACATCACCAAATTCCCTGATTCAACAAACAATAATCAACTCGCTCAACAGCCCATTCATAAATGAAAGGATTTTCGCACCCAATGATTTGTCGATAACACTAGAAAATTCCAGTACGGCAAATGTTTCTTCAACAAATAATACATGCCCTGTCATCCCGGGACTCACTATCAAACCAATAACCAAGTCACCTCCAGAGTTGACCGTCCCGAGGTTCTCCGCTACAAAAAATAATTATTCTTCTACAAAATTTTCTACCACTGCATGTTTGCCTTGTCCTGTTAAGGAAACTTCTAGTCATGGAAACGAACGTAATTGTAATATGCGAGCGACATGCATTACCGATCAACTTAATCATCAAGGTTTGTGTTATGTAATTTAATTATGTTGTTCACAAGTTGATATTAATTTTAATGTCTTCATTCAAAACTTTAGAGATCACTATAAATTGATTTTTTTTAAATCCACCATAACATACTTGCATTAAAATTAAACTTTTCCTGTTCTCTCATATAAAATTAAATTTTCCATGATGTTCTAAAAGTAACCTTGATTAGTATTAACAGAGATTACGGTTTCAGGTTTATTATCTTCAAATAGTCTAGCAAATATTTCAAAATTTCTGAAGGCTCAAGACCTCAGTAAACTTATGCAGGACCTCCAGAATCCCATATTTGAAGAGGCTTATAACAAGTATTGGAGTCAGAAAGAGCCGTACTGTGCTCTCTGTGTATTTTTTGATGTAAAAGCACTAAATGAGGTAAGAACAATAAAGTGCCATATAACAGGCCGATGATTCATTATACACGTTTTAAAGGTTCAGCTGGGCATGACTCAAGATTGGCTAAATGAACTCATAGACCCGCCAATTCCCTCGAGAAGCAAAATCACAATGCCAAGTAGCATGTTCGAAAGAGATTCTACTGAGCCCCTTGCGATATTACTCGTTTGCGAGCAGTGTAAAGTCTGTATGCATGCAAAGTGCTATGCCGTCGACAGTAGTCGAATGTTCAACAAAAAATGGCTTTGTGATAAGTGTGAATCAAGCAGTCCATCCTACAAAGTAAATTGATTTTATAATTTATGAGTTTTACGTTACAAAATTAACCTGATTTCAATTTTAGAGTTGTCGTTTTTGCGGTCTTGGTGGTGGTGCTATGAAGAAAATGGTAGATTCACAATGGGTCCATGTTCAGTGTGCACTTTTCTTGCCCTCAACAAATCTCAAAGTGGAAAGGTATGTTCATTATTTTTCTTCACATTGTTGAAACAATAAATAAAAATTAAAACATGTCCACGTTTAAATTAAATGAATACTTTTATGTTTCTTGGGCACCTTGTGAAGGCCGACTGTGAAATCTCATGCCAGATGTTAGACATATTTAAATTTTATGCCAATACAATATATAAATCTGCATATTTCTTTCAAACTATTCCTGTGTGTAGTAAATTAAGTTTAAATTTGTAATTGTACCAAAATTTGCACTAATATGAATGTCATTAATGACCTATATATTATCCTGTTAACTGTTGTTATGCGAGATTTTCGATACCACGAGCAAGTAATTTACTATCAGTGAAAACGATAAATAAATAAATTGATGATTATTGAAGAAGTTGGAGAAAATTTTGTTTTCTGTTTGTGTTTGGAAAAAAGTTTTGTGTAAATAATTTGATGTCGCTTCAAATTAAAAACATTCAGTGTAAAAAAAATCTTCAAAAAATATACATTGATGGGTATCTTGCTGTTTGAGATAGTTAAGTTCCTTTCGTGGAGAGTTAGATCAAAACTTTTTGGTTCATGAGAAGCTAAAAAAAATTTTATAAAAAAAAAAAATCAAGAAAATACCTCAAAAATATAGATAGTGGAACAAAAGTTAAACTCATCTTGTATATATAGTATGCTTTAAAAAACATAATTTCCTTATTATTATGAAAAATCAAATAAAAATTGAATCTAAAAATAAAACATTCAATTTTCTATGTGGTACTATTTTATTCATTTTCATTTGAATTTACAGCTTAATGGACAAACCTATGCAACTAACCACGTTTAGAAGACCTGTAAGTTCTTTTCTTAAGTCATTCAATGTAAACAAAATTTGTAATTGTAATATTTACAAATTTTCTTTTTCATAGTGTTTCATCTGTGGAAGGGACACAGGAACAGTGCCTTGTTGTGATTCAAATTGCAATTTATGGTTTCATGTGACATGTGGTCAAGTCTGTGGAATTGGTGTGATTCCAAATCCGTGGTTCGGTGCAAAACTCCTGATAACATGCTTAAGGCATAGGCATTTTCACAGTATGGTAATGCAATTTTTTTTTTAAGTTGATTAAAATTAATTTATCAAATATTATTAATTGTTTAAATTTATTTGTACAGAATTGTGGGATTCAACCAGGTGTACAGGTCTGGGCTAAAAAACAACCCTCCAACAGATACTATAAGGGTGTTGTTTCTAAAATTTCTAAGGAAGAATATTGCACTTTGTCTCTTATCGATGATAGTCTGATTGTAGTACCAAAAAAACATGTAACTGTAAGTTGAATAATAAATAATCGATCTTATATATAACATAGGTTTTTCAATAGAAGTTTTGCATTATTGCAAATAGATATGATTTTGTTTTGATTATTCAACTGTAAATAATCTTTCAACCCAGCTTTAAATGTACATAATTATTAAATAATATAATAATATAATGGCAAATGTTTAAGATGATGGATGGTCGGGAGTCTCTTCAAAAGGACTGTAGGGTCACGTGTACGTTCAAGAATGAAAATCTCTCTGCAATTTATCTCAATTCAGGGCCAAAAATTGTATATACTGTAAGCCGATTGATATATCATGTTTAATTGCCCAATAAATGTAATTGTGATAATGTCAATAAATATTTTATTTTCAGGTTAATTTCCTTAATTTGACGACATCTGATGCCCTGCTTGAGGATATTTTGTGCATGGAAGAAAACAAATTGGGAAATGAATCAACCAGTAGGTAAATAAATATCTTTTTGTTTTAATTTTATTGTTTAATTTACATTTCATGGCTTCATTAAAATAAATATACATTACCTTCATTATATGATGGTATGGACAGAAGCAAAAGCCAATAAATATTCGAACTTGTAACTTCCTACAAAACTTCGAAAGTCTATGTAATAATTTTAATAATGCATTACAAAAATGAACAATTAATCTATTATTCTCAAAATTCTTCACAATGTGTGGTGGTTAGTGACCGTTAATCGATAATTATTCAGAAATCGTGAGATGCGATCTGGTGTGATGTAGGTTTCAGAAAAACATTTTCTTTATCGTGCCAACGTTACGATCTTTATTGAGATCATCTTCAGGGCCTGGGATTTACAAACATTGATTACATTTAACAAATACATGTAGGATGTGGAAAAAAGTGAATTTATACAATGCAAAATATATTTTTTTTATATTCAATCAAAGTATTTCTACTCACTCAAAGTGTTTGTCTTCTGTGTAATTGTGCCATTCTTGCGTGTCGTGTTGAGAGTGCCAATGACATATTGCTGTTTTGTGTTTATATATGTTGGATTTTGAACGGGTGGGGAAGGAAGTCAGAAAAGACATTTTGTATAAAGTGTCAGCTTCTTTGATGTGAAAAGAGCCGATGAAGGGGAAAAAAATGTTGGTAATGGTTCGGCTAGATTATCCTTTCAGGATTATATAGAAGGGGATAAATAGGAAAAGGAAAGCTAAATTGTTGAAAAATTAGACTATGTTTGATGTACGGAATGTGATGAGATGATATATGTATGTTATCTATGTTGAATTTGATTAATGATATTGGTGTAGCTATGACTGAGTTTACATGTATTTGTTCTGTAATTGGTGCTGTGTTTATCTCTGTTGATGTAAACCATTTCTAAAAAATTATGTTTATGTTTGTTTTGTTCTGTGTTTAATATTTTTGGATTGTTGAAGTCGAAATTGTGTTCGTGTTCAAAATGGTGGGTTGCGAGTGCTGTAGGATTTTGCTTGTGTTTTTTGCAATCATAGATATGTTGCTTAACTCTCTTGTCCAGATATTGGGATGTAAGAACGATGTAAGTTGCCGGACAGTTTAAACAGTTGATTTTGTAGATTATGTCAGATTTGTTTGTTATTGGTGTGGGATCTTTAATTTTGGAAAAAAGTGTTTTAATTGTTTTATAGTTTTTGAAAGCTATTTTAAAGTTATCGGATAAGAGAAATGTGTTTAATTTATGTGATAGGCCATGAATGAATGACATGGAAATGTACGTTGGTTTGTTTGTATTTGATAGATTTGATGTAGTATTATTAGTAATAGTGGATGGTGTTAGATTATTCTGTTAATTATGTGTTTAGGGTAGAGATTGTTATGGAGGATCTGTTTGTATATCTTTATGTTCTTGTGGTGAATGATTCATGGCTTAGGGTAATAATTCTGTGAAGTAACCCTTTGGCCGTATTTATTATTGTATGAAGGGGATGGTGAGATGTAAAGTTGAGGTAGTGATCTGTGTTTCTTGGTTTTTGATATCAATCTGTGATTAATGTGCCACCTAGTTGTTTTATTACAAGTGTATCTAAACATGGTATTTTATTTTTTTTTTTTATTTTTTATTTTAACGAGGGTTCGCAACAGCAGAGGTCATATAAACCCTCAGGGTGCCGGTGTTTTTGAAAAAAAGCCCATTTGTAAGTATGTCGGGTTCGAATGCAGGGCCGCTGGATTCGAACCCGGGACCTTTACCTTACAGTGATGAGCGCCGTGTCAACGACTAAACCTTGCGGCCACCGACGCCCCTAAACATGGTATTGTTTTGTTGTTTTCGATTTCATGTGTAAATTGTAGATGTGGGTGAAAGCTATTAAATGTATCTTGTATTAAATGTATCAAATTTAACTTATTACAATGACATATAGTAGAAGGACTTAATATTCAATTTCCAAAGTTGCTGATTAGTATAAAACAATCCTGATTTCAGTGAGTGTATAAAAGACATGAACACCCTTCTGTCTTTTTAATTTTAGTTCAACTTATTTAAATAACAGTTCACAGATCTATTTTTCTTAAACAGTTCACTTGCTTGTACTATTATTATTATTTTTTGTGTTATGCACTTCTAAAATTAGAACCACTCACAGTATCTGCAATAATTAGTGGATTAAAGCTGTGTTTCTTGTCTTGTTTGAGAATTTTTTTCACCTAAAAAACAAAAAACAAGTTTCTATTTTATATGTTTTATTTAAGGCCAACTTTGAAACAAATATTACACTTGTTAAGGCTGTCATTTTGGAACAATGCACTGAACTTTCCCCATATATGAACATCATTCCAGAACACCGCACCTCTTCTAGAAAACCCCTGTTTCAGTGTCACAGGCTTTTAGTATCGCTTTGTCAACATTACTGTAAAGACCATTTTTCAATTTGCCCTTTAAGCAGGGACACACTTACCCCGATACAACGCTACCCTGTGTGAACCGAAGCCACCCAATGCAAATCCAATATCCAATTTTCCATGAGATTGTATTATCCCTGTGCACCTCTGCCCGAAGCCACGCAACACTACCCTACTTATGCTAAGAGATGCAACCAAGTTCCCCACTGTCCAGATTTTAGTTGAGTAGCATCGAGTACAAAGACAAAAGAACCAGACACTCATATTTTTATTTCAAACTATATGTATTATTGTTATATTAATTACAACATACTTATTTTAATATAAACCAAATTAAGCCAAATCAAAAATTCATTAGTTTTTATTTTAAAAAAAATAATTTTAATGGTTTGGCAGAAAATTGTTCAAAACATCGGATTACCATTTTTTGATAGAATGAATTTAACTAACAATTTATTACATGGTTTTGCTCATAAAATTTAACTAACAATTTATTACATGATTTTGCTCATAAAATTTAACTAACAATTTATTACATGGTTTTGCTCATAAAATTTAACTAAAATTTATTACATGAATTTGCTCATAAAATTTAACTAACAATTTATTATATGGTTTTGCTCATAAAATCACACTGTTTCGTCAAGAAGCGTCAAAAGTGGACACTCATATTGTATTTGGATCCTGTTCCCTTCCCCAATACTTCTCTTTATCTCTTTAACAGTCAACCTTTTTTTTCTGTCCCACTGTCAAGAACCTTGGAATTGTCCTTAATCAGACCTTATCTTGGAAAACTCATATTTCTTAGATTTTCCGCTACTAATTTTTCACCCTTCATCAGTTCCTTCTGCCAGCCCCATTAGTACCTGTAAACTCCAAGTCTCCTTTCTTATTCTCCCCCTGATGTGTGGGGGACTCACTAGGGAGCTAGATGATAGACTTAAGTGTGTAATGAATTGTTTTGTACGCTTTATCTTTGACTCCTCAAGGAAATTCCATGTGATGATATATACTCTGGCTTGAAGTGGTTATACCCTTCCTATTACAGGCTGAAATTCCTTGGAATAATGATCTAACATTTAGGTCTTCAGTACACTATCACGCGTATATTTTGTAAACAGGTCCTTTTGTACAATATTTATGTTGGGCACGAGTCTAGATGCTCTTTTATGTAGTGTTATAATTTATATAGTGGGAGCTTTAAGCACAAGAATAGTTTTTTTTTTTTTTTTTTTTTTTTTAGGTTGTTTTTAATGTAATTCTTACAGCAGTTACTAATTTACACATACTGGATTAAATACGCAATTACTATGTAGTTTCTATAATTTAAAATTGTATTTATTTACATTATTCAAAAATAACTTTGTTTCCTGATATAGACTGTCTAGGAAAAGTAGGAAAAGTCAGTCTTGATCATCGTTAGTCATATCCCACAAGCAGAATGTTCTGGTCGTTGATTCTTATTTTTAAATTTGAACATTTTTAAATAAAATTGAATAAAATTATGCTATATTACTATTTCAGGGAGCTAAACACAAGCACTGGGGACGCATTCTCATTCAGTTTTAACAACAGTGTTTGAAAATTGCCAAATAAGTACGAGCACATTTGCAATTTTCATTGATTGTCAAACTCCTCGAGTATAACATATGGGAAACAGGTCCCAAGCAAGGCACATTAGAATTTATAAATATATCTTTTTTGTTTTAGTTGAATTGTAAATATAAAACCTTTCAAATTTTAACATTAAGTTAATTTTTTATTAGAATTTTTTTTATAGTGTTTGGATTTTATGAAACATTAAAATTTAAAAAAAAGACTAAATGTTACATAGGATGTGTAGTCAGATTGTAAGTTCTGCACATACATGTAGTGGAAGGCAATGTGTAATTAGATTTGTATTTTATTTTAATTAAACATCCCTTATAGTGGACTGAACTCAATGTGATCCTGTGCTTCAAAAACATTACACAAATTTAATGTTATCCTTTTTTTAAAATTTAGTGTTATTTAAAGTTTAATACTGTACATACAATAAATAAATAAAGAAAAAAGAAAAAAAATATATATACAGTTAAATTTTAATATTATATAGAAATTATTTTAGCACTAAAGTATCAACAAAGAATTATTCTATTGATAAATTTTAAATTTTATTTATTTAAATAATATTTTTTGATTTTTTTTCTGCATGGAAGTTAATTTATGTAATATAAGTTATTGAACAAAGTCATTAAACTTGTTTTTTCCTCTTTTTTTAAAATAAAGATTATATTAAAAGCAGTTTTGGAATTGAATTTTAAAATTTGATTCGCTTTATTTATTTCCAAAACTGACTTCAGTAAATAGAGTACCTTTATTATACATCAGTAAAAACACCTTGAAATTACAGAAATCATTGTTTTAGTAACTCAATATAAGTATGAACAATTATACACAGAAAAAGTGGATCTTTAATCTTTTTGTAAAAAATAAATAAATAAATGAAATTATACTTAATAATTTGTTATAATATATTACAATTATAGTTGTAAGCAGAGTAGGAGTATTCTTTTATTTGAATTTTTAATTTTGTAAAGACTGAATTATGAGTAAAATGACAAGACCCATATTTTTTTATAAAGCTGCAATAATTGCTTACACTTATAAAAGTATGTAATTGAGCTCATTTGAAATTGAAACAACAATGATTTATTTAACAAAAATATTAGGACTCTATTAACACATTGTTCCATGTTAAAGGCTACTAAGTGTAATATATAAATATATATATTTAAAAAAATGAGGCATGTCTTGCTGTAAATTGTTTCTCATTGTAAGAATTTGTTTTTGTGTGCTGATAGAAAAATTGAAAGATCTCATTAAAATGGTGTATTTCTTCAATACCTCCTTGCCAACTCCCTCTTCAGAAAAACTAATATTAAACCGCATAGAAGATAAAAAATTTTTTTTTGTCATAATGAAAAATACAAAACATAATAATAATAATAAGTTTTTAGTATTTGAAATTGAATAATAAAAAATTAGCATATAAATATATCAATAATTTATTTTTTCATTACAGCATGCTTTCCATAAGTTAGGATAACACGCTTTTTAGTATAAAACAAGTAAAAAATAATATTAATTTTAAAAAAAGATTGAGAAACTTTATTTTTTGAGTCAAGAATTTATGAATATATAAATTATTTTCTAACTGACAAAAGTTCTGAAATTACTGATTTATTATTATTTTTTATTTATTTTTTAAGTACCCTGTTATAAGAAAATGATACTATTAAGTTTATTTATTTTTGGTAAATCATGGAAATAGTTTAAGCTTATGTGATATAAGTCTAAAGATTTATGAAATAATTAAACATGACATCGAACATTTTAAAACTTTGAAATTCCTTGTATAACTATTTGGAGATCGTGAGATGCAGTCTGGACGTAGGTTTAGAAAAACATTTTCTTTATGGTGCCAATGCTTCGGTCTTTATTGAAATCATCGTCAGGGCTCAAAGTGTTTGTTTTCTGTGTAGATGTGTCGTGTTGAGAATCTCTGACAATACAAGATTAATAAGAGCGTCAGACCGTTATCTCCACCTTTCTTCAATTGCATCTTAGAACAGGTTTTTCAGAACTAGTGTAGGAAAAAGATATCAAACAAAGCATATACAGTAATACATTTTTCAATAAGCCATAGAACAAACAAGGCATTACCTACTTAAATGGGCTTGGGTGCATTTTTTTTAACTATATGTTAATTCCAACAAACAAAGTCATTCTGTACTTAAATATAATAAGCTACAGATGGGAAATGAAAATACTAAGTACTTCACTAACTTTAAAAAAAGTAATTATTATGCATGAACTTGAAGAAATATGAGGCATTTCAAGACTTTCTTTAAGCTGCAACACAGTAGCCCAATTGGGCATTAGTTGGACATTTTTAGTGACATTAGTAGTGACACGCTATCACATGTTTGAAATAGCATCCGCATAGAAAATCCAACAGGGCCTTGAGGTAGGTCTCGCTGCATCCCGCGGTGATCGTTTTGCAAGAGGAATCAAGATGGCAGGAATAAGAGGAAAACATTCACTTTCTTCACTCTGCTAATTTACTCCATTCAGAAAAAAGTTGTGAAAAGCAGAATTTCAGTGCAATTTGAATTTTTGGTCATCCTGTATTCACTGGGTTGGTCTATCAAGCATGTTTCGGCATGATTGCTGTGAAAGACCAAAATGATCAGTAATGACCAAATTAAAGATTTACCACTGCAGACCACACACAGAAATCTCATGGTGGTTTTAGTTTTGTTTTTAATTTCCATTATGCGAGTGATTAACAACTTCAAATCTGGTGGGAATTTGAAATTTTCATCAGTTTCTCACTGAAAATTGTGCGTTTGAGTAACATAAAAATGAATGCCGGTTCAACATGTATTCACTGACTTTCAGACCAACATCCACCATAAACTTAAATGTGAAATTTGTTCTAATTGAAAGTCACTACTAGCTAACAGTGAGGACTAAGCGAGAAGCGCCTATTAACTTTTTTCCCTGATGTGAGTTTCCATAGAAACTTTTTTCTATGGGGCCACCTAAGGTCTAAACTTCCATAGAAACTTTTTTCTATGGGGGCCACCTAAGGTCTAAACTTCCATAGAAACTTTTTTCTATGGGGCCACCTAAGGTCTAAAATTTACATAATTCCTTTTGACTTTCAAATCAAAAAACCATTGCAGCTGGCAAAAAATTTCTTTGTTTTGTGTGTATTGGGTTCATTCCTTCCCTGATGTGTTTCCATACAAAGTACGACTATAAATTAAACTACAACTATTGGCATGGCCGGGAAAAGTGACTTGGTGGTCCATCAGTCTTTTCGCTGAAACTGCAAGTGCTCTACAAGAATTGTTCAATTTAAATGAAGAAATCAACAAGCAAGATTAAAGATTAGCAAAGCAAAAACCTATGATGACCGATTGCAAAAAAAAGAAACCTTTTAATAACTTTCAAATACAATTAAAGAAAAATAATTACTGGAATAAAAAGCACTATAAAATGTCAGAATTTGGTATGGGGTAGAAAAGTCCAATTATTAATAAACATCTGCAACTGGACTCAAATATGCGTCCTTTGATTTAAAAATTTTAACAAATAAATTTTAAAATGTTACCTATTTAAGGAAATTAATCCATCATATTAATTACACAAAAGAAATAATTAATATTGTTCATTTAAGCTTCAATGAAATATCTAACCACACCCCGAAGAATTTCCACTACTCTGCAGTGAATGTGAACAGACTTCTGTATATGTATCAGGTGATGATGGGACACTGTGTTAGCAGTATTGAGTATTGCCGAGGCTGCAAGTCTGTGCTCTTCCGGGGCAGGGTGCCATGGTCGGTCTCTGGACTCTCAAAGAGAAGTTCTAGTATGTCTTGCTGTTAGATTACAACTTGAGTAGTGAGGATGTCAGTTGTAGTGTTCCAGTGCATCACTGAATGAACACAGCGTGATGGGAACTTATATGGATAATGTGGATGGTCGAACGATATTTCTTTCTCACTTCCTATGAGTGCAATCCAAATACTACAAAAAAAGTTACTAGCTGATTAGTTAAACCTGAACATAGCATGCCTGGTCTTTCTGAGCCCAACTTACTTTTAGTTCACATGCATGCCCCTTCATTGCCAGCATTTATACTTTTTACCTTTTATTTAGGTCTATTTTAACTGTTCTTGTTGTTTTAACCTAATTTATCTGTTAAATTGCATCTCAAATCTGGCTGATGGATTAATCCAAGCCATACAGTGGATTTTCAGGAAATCATTTTGTACTTTTTTGTGTGCAATAAAGTTACTACTACTACTGTTTGTTTTAATCTTGTATTTTATTCAACCATGTTTCTTTGAGTAATTTTTTACCTGCTTTTCTTCCAGGGGTCTCATCTCATTACAAAGAAACCATACAGAATGGCAAGAAGATTAATAAAATATTACATATGTATATATTTAATGGTATACACTGTTACTAATTGTAATAAGTTTCTTATATGTATATCTCATGTAAAACATTACATGCAATCGAATTGATCAACTATGGAAGGATTTTCAAATTGTAAGAATATTTATTTATAAGGCAGAAGTCTTTATTAAAATTACACATATTAAAAATGGAATAATTAAATAACACTTACAAAGCTAAAACAAAATAATGGCTTATAGAGTTAACAAAAGGGTATTTATGACTTAACTTTTAAATTTATTAGTAATTATTTATAATGAATAATCAAACTTATTAACTAGGATAATTATATTAAGATGACAGCTGTCCCTTGACCTCAGAGAAAAAATTCACTGGGGACCAAAATAAGACTAGACTATGAAATATTTTAGTACATTTCACTGTTTTGTTACGAACAAAATCAACCTTGTGACTGTTATCAAAGCACAAAACTACAAGAAAATATGAGTTATTAATTAAGACAAAATACAAAAAATAAAATAAAAAATGAAAATTAAAGTAAAAGATAAATAGAGGGAAAAATGCTTTCTAGCCATACGGTGTGAACAGTTCTTTCCAGCATAGGAAATTAAACAATGATGACAGCATTCAGCTTACTGAAGGGATCGTTTGTTATCGTTGGATGGACGCAGCGGTTGAGTGCATTTTGCCGAATCGGGGAACCTTTCCAAATATCTTCTTTCCCTTAAGTACTTGACAGTTACTAAGTTACCTGCAAAGAAAGAAAAAAATACTAATCAATCTTGAATTACTATATACATATAATAAATACAAAGAATGGATAATTGATAAGTTTGTAACTAAAAACTTGTGTTTAAAAGTAAAAAAAGAATATTAGGCTATTGCCGAATTTATTTAAAAAAAATAAATTGGAGTTTAGAAGTGAAGAATACTAAAGCTGTTCTAGTGAATTCTATGAAAAGCTTTTTTTCACATTGACAGTATTTTGTGTGAATCCAAACTTTTATGTATGGCGACATGTAGTTGAATGTCATTGCGTACACTCCATCTTGTCTCAATACTGGTAAATGTTTATTCTTTGGTAAATGAAAATTTTGTAGAAACCAAATCTTATTGCAAACATCACAAGCTATACGAAATTCATTATTGAGGAAATCTTTTTCAAAATGCTGCTAACTTGTCGACATTGACCCGTGTTATCCCATAACTGCTTTTTGTATATGAAATATTTATATTTTCTGACTCATCTGGATCATCTACATCCATTGGAATCAATTGATGACGTGAGATTGCAGTCATCAGCACTGGTCAATTTGGCCAAGCTGGTTCGAAATAGTTTTTCTTTTGCTTCTTTCTTTTCAATTGTCAAAGAGACATGATCTGAAATGCTTTTGGTTTGTCCCTCGTATTGTTCATTCTCGGCATTTTTTTTATTTTTTTAATTTATAATATTCTGCATAAGCATTATTATTAATTTATTATAGCATAAGCATGGCACGGCGTTAATCGAAATGAGGGGGTTTATAAGTTATTTTTAAATAGTCGCAGAATGGATCTACATGACGGTATTACTTATATATCCACAACTTTTAAAAGCACTGTGATCTGCCCAGTCGCAGACTTTTGTCATTAAGATACTTACTATCAAACCAGGACCCATGAAGCGCGCGGTATGCAATGCCTGCGTCCAAAGTGCTGGCACATTTCATGTAAACACAGCCATCGCGTGACTGGCGGTCGACAACAACGTGAAGTATCTTAGCCTTGCCGCATTTCTCTAAAATTGCATCTACAACAGTTGTCACCCAATCTTCGCCCTCTTCTCTGCAAAATCAATTTTTAAAAATTAATTTAATTTATTAAAGAGAGATTTAAAAAATATCGCTTACTGTTCAGCATCAAACATATGTCTTATCTTGAGGCATGCTGTTGGACTGTGTGGCAGAGAGTTGACACTGCCTTCCATTGTGTCAAAAGCCTGTCCTTGCCACATTTTTCTCTTACTACAATTTTAAAAAAATAATTAAAACTAACTTTTTTTTAAGACTATTTACAAGAAGACAAAATAAGTTCATTTGGCCTTAGCCTTTGCAAATTGGCTTGTACAATAAATAAATTGGAATTCATAAAAGAATGATTTTTTTTTTTTTTGGCGTTATGATCTATGCATATTAGCCATGGTGACAAATTCTTATATGTGTGTTCACATTGGGGGGGGGGGTTATCGTGAAAAAAGGGCCAGAGGTGACAGTGGGAATCGAACCCACGACCGCGGCGTGAGAGTCTCTCATGCTAACCACTCGGCTACCGCGGTCCCCAAAGAATGATCCATAAAACAGAAGCCTGTCATTCTAACCAAATAAAGGTCTTTCACTTAAAACAAGCTCACTCAGTAAAAATCTACCAGAAATGCCTTAAAACCGTGGGAAAAATAATTTGTATTATAACTATTATGAAGCAATATTTATTTGGATGGAGGCTTAAGATGCTTAAAAAAAAATAAAAATAATAATAATTCAAAAGTACAGCCATTAACCTAAGGCCCAATACACAGATGAGGTTTTTGCCAGCTGGTGCCGTTGAGGGCAAATAGCAACTGAACTGAAATGCTTCAAATACCACCAGTACACATATGTTGTATACAAAGAGTACATTTACAAATAAAATTTTCATCTTTAACCGTCAACATTTTAGAGGGTAATTTTTCTATTTCTTGTATTAATAACTCAACATCAATTTCATCAGCCAATACAAGCAGTTTTGACAGTAACGAGAACTCCAGAATTAATATTGGAAGCAGGAAGAATATGGCATTCAAAGTTAAACCAAATAACGACACCATTTTACAATACTAGGAAAAAAATGACCTCAAGTCAGAGTAGCATACGTAGTATAATCATGATACTCTGTACTTCAGTCCTCAACTGCAAGTGCGGATGGCAATAAACCACATAAATGCGTCAAACAATGCACTGCAAGGTCTTTTAACCAATCTTCGTTTGAATAAATAAAATTACATTTTAAAGTTGTTTTAAGTAATAAAAAATGTCTCACTTTGGGCTCAATGATGTTGAAGCAAGCCACCGCCAAACCATAAACTCCTCCCCCTCCACCTCCTGCACTTCGCGTCGAATTCTTGAATCAGTATCAAGCAGTGTCAGAGCATCTTTCCATAATTTAGCTTTCCCTGGAAAGAGCAAACAAAATCATTATACAAAATTAAACGTGTATACGTTTATAACATACGTGCACGGTCTTGAGGGGCTATTAACTGGTCCCGAATATGGTCTATCGCCACATAACCTTCAGGGCTTTGACACTTGGAGCTAACCAAATCGACAATGTTACTAACGAGTTTGTATACTTCATCCTTGTGCCTTGCTTCCCTTTTCATCCACCATTTTATCATCTTGTAAATGATGAATCCAATAGCAGTTACTAAAATTATCCAATTTTTTAATATTAAATTGAAAACTTCATGTAAGCTAAATGTTATAAGAAAATTACCAAAAAGAAACTTCAAGGTATAGTTGACCGCCTTAAGCAAGCTGCCAACGATCATACAGTAATATGTCACCGGTGGTTGTTCAAGTAAAAAACCGTCGAATGTGGCTTTTATCTTAAATCTGGGATTGTGGTCAACAAGGACTTTTAAGTTTTTAATATTTGGTTCAACTAAGTGCACATTCTGAAAAAAAAAAAAAAAAAGAAAAAAAAAAGTTTTTATCATAAAAAAAATTGCAAGGCAATAAAGTTAAATATGGAATTGCCCCCTCACCAGAGTTTTGTCCTTGTCTAATATCATCTGTATGATGTTTTCATCTGTAAATGAAATTGGTCCTTGTGATGAAGTGCAGGGCATACTCGCTAACTTTTCACTTATTTCTTTGTAAACAATCCCCAACAAACTGCGCGTCATATCTCTGTCCTTTTCATAAATGCAATTTTCCTATTGGACAAAAATTAAATAAATAATCTGTTTTGACATTTATTGGCAAATTAAAAAACTTACCCCAGGATTAGCATTTCCTACTTTTAGACAAGGAGGGAAATGTAAATCTGAAAAATATATCAAGAATACAATAATTCAATTTAAATTAATTAAAGTGATAATGATTACAATATTTTTTACTTAATTTTAATAATAAATTAATGTAAGATTTTTTTAAAAGACATTTAATTAAGTACCTGTGTTGAGAGCAAGACTCGTGTCTGTAAAATGCATGTTGACATAAGTAAAACCAATAAAAGTGAAAAAGGCAAGGAATATAAACAACAGCATGGCCGATATAGGAGAGTCGAGTGAGAACCACCCATCGTTTGATAGCACTCTTGCACTTCCTTTGCTATGCGTAATATCAAAACCTTTGAAAGACCTGATAAAACAAACACATAAAAATCATTTCAAACAAAATATTAAATAGGAAAATTTGATAAATTACCCCTGACTGAATTTGGTGTATACAGGCGTAGGGCCTGAATCTTCATCGTCGCTCTCTTTGATGTCCAACTTGGATACAGAGCTTAATGGCGAAAGCTGTGGTTCAGATCGTTCTGTAAAAATAACTAAATATTACAATAGATCTTGATAAATTGACATTAGTGTATATAATGTTTAAAATTATGATCATTCAATTGTGCTAGTGGCATGTTAGGGAAAATATAATTAGTTCATTCAGTCAACTGACGGTTCATTCAATGGTAACATCTCAATAAATTAAATTGTGATATCCTAAAATAATTATATTATTTTATGAATTTTTAAGTCTTTCCCACTGAACTCATTACACACTGGATTTTGTTTAACCCTTACCATTGTAGATACAATATAGTTTGTTATTGCTGTTTTATTTTAACTCTAACCCATTCAATAAATTTTTCTTGTGGTGTATTAATCTAACATTATAATATATATTATATCACTTCTTATAAGATGTCTGAAAAAAAGGAGAAACAGAAGTGACAAAAACTATGAAATTGGGAAATCACTTGAGTTTCCCTAAATGAAGCATTAACTTTTTTTTAAAATGAGGGTATTTCAACTACGAGGTTATTTGAACCCTTGGGGTGTTGATGTTTTTGAAAAGAAGCCCTTTGTACGTATGTCGGGTTCGAATGCAGGGCCGCTGAAGTCGAACCCAGGACCTTTACCTTACAGTGATGAGTGCTGTGCCAACGCCTAAACCGTTATGGCCACCAATGCCCCCACATTCAGACTTTAAATCATCTCTTAATAGAAAAAGAGTAATCATCCAAATAGCTGCATTGCTAGCATCCCTAATATATTACTGGGGATTAAATTGTTTTAAAGTCTATGGGACTTTCAAAATTGATCCAACTAGTTAAATCGTTTTATGAAACTGTTTAACAAATTGTCGAAACAGAGTATAGGGATACTGTTGACAATCAATAATTTAAAACACAATAGACCTCAAAAATAATTCAAATTATCAAGAGGAACAGAGTTGTGTTGAGTTTTAAGCATCAAAAAATCGGTAGCTGTGATACGTTCCATTCCTCCTGGTTCATTCTCATACTCGAGACAAGTGCGTTTACACGGAGAAAAACAAACAACATGAAACATTTTGATGCGCATTAAAAATCCGACAGCCGTTCGGCTCGCGCTGAAACATCCTTGCGCAAAGTACAGCGGTGGAAACCCAGCTTGACAGATTGAAGCTGTGATGGATGATCATGATACACAGTGATCACCCCAAAACAAAAAAGAAACAATTTACTACAGTGTGAAACTACTTCAGTAATTAAAGTTTATGAATATTTTTATACGATAACTGAAATAAAATAAATAATTGAGCTTACGAGATACTCTGCCAGCGGATAGCCGCTTCATGAAATCCGATGTGAAAGGCTGGTTCGAGGACGCGGGCGGAGAGAGGTCGGCCGTCCTCGCGGAAGAAGAGAAGAGAGACGGTGAGAAGAGACTCGTCGTCGGCGACCTGTAATCGCTCAGGAAGTCGGTCGACTGCATGTTGACCGAGGGGCGCAAATCCGCGATCTCCCTATCGGCGAACAAAGGCCTCTGCCTAATTTTGTTGAAGTACGACTCGACTTCAGGGACGTTGGAACGGACTTCGGCCCTGCTGGGCCGAGGCGGAGGCGGCGAGGGCGTGCGGTTGACGGCGGCCGGAAACGGTTCGGCAATCGTCGAGTTGGCCATAGGGGCGGCGATGGAGGCGCGCGAAGGAGATTTGCGCGACGGCGATCGCCCCGGGGACCTCGAAGGCGGCAAAGTTTTTCTCCGACTCCTCGTCGGCTCTTCAGCGACCGACGGCTCGTCCGTGAAAGAGGCCTCGCTCTCTAAAAGTGTCTTCAACTTTTTCAATAGGGTTTTTCTTGTCGTTTGAGTCACCGGGCCCACTGCGACGCCCAGCTCCTTGAACTTATGCCGTATTTCCTGGTCGGAGAGACTCTCTACGTCTACGGATGCCATTGCGACCGATGGCGATTTGACGAGTGACGAACTTTGTTATTATGCGCTTAGTTGGAAACTGAGTTAGGAGTGGTCACGCGGTCGCGGTTCTACAACCTGGCCGAAGGTTACGGCTTTACGACTTACGATTCATTCTCGTCCCGACGGGTTATTCGAGGATCGGTCACTATTTTAAAAACTCAACGATATGTTAAAAATGAGACCCAGCGGAAAAAGAAATTTAAGCACGGGTTTTATTAAGGTTAAACAAGCCAGTCGCGTCTCCCTTCTCAAAACGGTTAACAAAAAGAGAATCACAAAAAAAGAAACGAAACGAAAGCGGGAAACACGAACAAAAATAACGAACACAATCAGTCTGAACAACATTTATCTCGTTCATAACAAACGCTGTAAAAACAAAAACAATAACAAAAATCCTACATTTCAAAAAATTTCATTAATTATCTTTTATTAAAATATTTAAAATCTAGCGTTGTACTAAATCCATGAAATATATTAAAACGTAGCAAAAATTATGGGGGGGGCCTCAATATTTTTTCAAAAATCATAAATAATAAAAATAAATTTTAAACTGCCAACGACCATCAATCAACAGACAACAAAAATGAAATAATGTATATAAAATGTTAGAATTATTCCAACTTTAATATTTTAAAATACATATAAAATAAGTTGGTAAATAAATTGTCTTTTCCACTATAGGCATTGTGCATGCCATCCATGCCTATTGACAATTTATTCTCTACCCATCAACCTGTTATGGAGTTCCACAAAATGGGCACTACAAAAAAAAATAATAAAATAAATAAATAAAACAATACATTGATATCTTGAATAAGAATATCTCATAAACAAGTGAATTTATGTAAGTAACTTGTCATTTATTAACTAAATTTGTTAGCTTGGTAGAGGACAAATTGATGATTTTCCTATCTTATATGTAACTATTACAATAATTTATACAGATTATAAAGAAACCAATACATCCCATTTCTGCAACAATTAATTGCATTCATCATCCCCAATCATGGGTCTGGAGGGTGACAAAAAGGCAGACGAGGCTGCTAAGGCTGGGATGTCAACTTTCTCCTGGCCCTCTTATGCTAAAAATGTGATTAATAGCTGATTAAAAGGAAAGAAAAACTTCGGTAGGCTTGATTGGTAGGCTCTCGTGTATCAAGAGTTCGGTTGATAGGTGGCCTTCAGAGGATCTGAACAGATCATACCTGACAAAGAATAACATATGCGAGGTTTACTGACAATTGTTTTTGGGCCTTTCCTTGGCTATTAAAGACAGCTAGTCGGAATGCAATATGAGAGTAGTGGATCTTTGGGTGCCATGTTCCAATTTATTTTAGAAAATAGGGCTTTTATTATAGTATATAGTACTTGGTAGATATCTCGCTTTGGGTTATTGAGAGTGAATGTATTTATTAGAGTGTGTAGTTGAGACGGCTGATAGGCTTATGGCCTCAGCTTAAGGCTTTTTACCATAATCCAAAACTTATTCATGGCCATGTGTATACTTAAGGCCCAGGTTTATCCTCTCCCAGAAGTAGGAAGCTCAGTCTACATAAGCCTTCACTTCAACAGAGGACATGCCCCGCAATCTCTTCTTCTGACAATATCTGTCATTTTGAGTCTATACATATACCTCTGAAGTTTGCATTGTTCATTTAGCAGTCCTTCTATAATTGTAGTCTTAACATGTCTTAGATTTAGTAATTCAAGGTAGTAATTAAGAATTCAGGATCAAAGGTGTCTTCTTTGGACTTTCCTAGGTCAATTTATTGCTATCATTCAAGATGACATTTCAGAAGCATCAGTGATATTTGGTATAAACAAGTTCCTGTTGATCTGCTACGGCTAAATAAAACATATTGCATGCTCTCTCATACAATAAAAGCCCAAGAATCAAACATGCCTCTTCTTGATGCCATTTCAGAAAAGGTACAGTTCTGCTGTTAGTTTCTGCAAAGGAACTTTGATGAACTGTTTCACATGTCTATGTTTTGGGTCACATTCCCATTTAATGAAAGACTTTTAATCCATTATCTAACTGATTCACATGGTAGTTTGGTATACCACAAAAGGATTCACGGTCAATAGGTGTCTTCTTCAGACTTTCCCTAGTCAATTTATTGGCCTGTTGTTGCCCCCCCCCTTCCATAGTACCCAGACAAGAATAATTTTGTTGTCATCTCCAATGTCTGACAAGGCCTTAATGCAATTGCAAATGAATCTGGGCTTTATTACTGTGCTAATTAACCTCAGTGTTGTCTGGATATCCAAGTAGATGGCTATTCTTCTGTTAGAATACCTAGCCTTTTATCTGCTTGGCACAGTGTTCAATAGCCACAATCTTCACTTGAACGATAGTGACATATTGCCCAAGGCTTATATGAATTCTAGTCCTTGGTTTATTTCTATAAATACCAGCTTCTGACTCGTACTCGATTTTGGAGACTTTTAAGCGGAGATATAATTGGCATTAACTGAGATGCCTTTCCTCCAGTCTGCTTCACCAGGTATTTTACCTGGTCATGGCGTCAATAGCATCCGCAGAACCCAGTCTGCCTGAAGCTCCCCTGGTTGCTTTTCGTAATAGATATAGGCTATTGATGTCTGTCCCTGAGTTAGCCTATGAATCATGAACACTCAACCGATGGCAATACAATAAATATTTATATATTTTTTTTTACATGAGTACACTTATGAATAATAAACTCATACTCAGAATGTATATTATTTTCTTATATTTAAAATATTATTAAATTTGTTACAAGTTTAATTAAAAAAAAGTTAAACTATTCCTCTAATGCAAATCATACATTTATTTTAAAAATATTGCTTATGCTTGCAATTATGATAACCAGATTATCTTTATTTTATATAATTATAATAAAACCTTAATTCGAATGTTCAAAGTTCAAAATATAAATTTTAATTTTTTGAGGTTTTAAATATTCACATCTTATCGTAATAATCACATATTCAAACGTTCTCAACTGTGTCACTAAGAAAAAATAAGATTATTTTCAGTTCTTTTCATAATGTGTTGATACGGGCTATTAATAATTTTAAACAATTTAAATAACTATCTAAAACAAATTACATAGCAAGGAAAACTGAATGTAGATATTGCAAGATATGGATTTTGTTGATATTGATTTAGAAGTTTATAAAATATTTTGTATTAAATTATCAACAATCAAACGAGTTTGGTTCTTGAGAACAAGATCATTGCAAAAAATAAGATTACAGAAATAAAAAAACGGAACCTACTTGACTAATTTTAAGAGAAAAATTGACTGATAACAACCGTAAAGAAAAATTAAAATTTCCTTTATCTCCAGGGTCATTTATCTTGGGTCAATTACTTCTAATTCATCAGTGAGATTAATAAAATAGCGTTTTACTGAGAAACCAAAAGAGGTTAAAACACTATCAAAATTGTTTGGTTTTTGTTGTTAAAATTCACAAGTCTTTTCCTCTTTGGCAGCCATGAATGTTGGAAAATTTTGGGGAGGAACGAATAAATTTGTAAGTGATATTTATAATTTAATATTTACAATTTAAATTGATTGTTTAATCAACTAGGAATTCAACATTTGCATATAAAATAATTTGATCTTGATTACTTCAAAATTACTAATTAGAAGATTTGAATTTATTTTAATTAAGTTTAATTAGATCTTTTTTTAAGTTTAATAAGTAAAATAATATAAATTGAAAGAGTTGTGAGTACTTGTTTTGTATATTTGTAAATAGTTCATAATATTAGTTTGATTTATTTTTAGAGGAATATTTTGTTGAAAGTTACAATTTTACAATAAATTTAAAAATTACATTGTTTTAGTTAATAGTTATAAATGATTAACTATTTAATATTTTGTTAGAGGGGTAAAGTTATTGCACTGAGAAGAGAAGATCAATCAGTATGGGAAAGAAGAGCATCACTTGCTCCAGACAATGTGAGAAAGCTGACAAGGGCTGGAGTAAAAGTTATAGTCCAACCATCAAACAGGAGGGCTTATCCAACTCAAGTAAGTAAAACAAAAGTTAACTAACAACAGTTTTTAAAATTTTCCTTATTTTTCAGGCTTACTTAAGTGCAGGTGCTGTCATTCAAGATGACATTTCAGAAGCGTCAGTGATATTTGGTGTAAAACAAGTTCCTGTTGATCTGCTACTGCCAAACAAAACATACTGCATGTTCTCACATACAATAAAAGCCCAAGAATCAAACATGCCTCTTCTTGATGCCATTTTAGAAAAGGTACAGTTCAATTTTAAAAAGGCGTACTTTCTTTTAAAGAAAAATTTGACTAAATTATAAAAATGTTATACAGAATATAAGATTAATCGATTATGAAAAATTAGTCGATGAACAAGGCCAAAGAGTGGTTGCTTTTGGAAAATATGCAGGTGTTGCAGGAATGGTCAATATTCTGCACGGCCTCGGCTTAAGGTTGCTTGCACTAGGACATCACACACCTTTCATGGTAAAATTGACCATATTGTGACTTTAAAAATTAATTAATGATTGATCTTTTTAACAAACAAAAAGCACATAGGCCCGGCACACAATTACCGAAACTCTTCAATGGCAAGACAAGCGATAAGGGATGCCGGTTATGAAATAGCATTGGGAATGATGCCAAAATCAATAGGACCTCTAACATTTGTCTTTACAGGGTAAGTTATTTAAAAGTAAAATATCCCTGTGTTACAGTGTGTTAATGTATTGTTTTTCAGTTCGGGCAATGTTTCACAAGGGGCACAGGAAGTATTTCAAGAACTTCCACATGAATATGTACCACCAGACATGCTTCAAAAGGTGGCAGACCATGGAGGTAATTATAATAAAAAAACAACTTTTGAAAAATAGAATATTTGATTTAACATTCATAATTCACGATAATTTCCTCACTACTTCAAGTATTTATTCATGATTTCTCTTAATTAAGTTGATTAAAATTATATCAAAATTATATTATATTAAAATTATATCAACATAATTATAGATATTATTATCTTAAAGAAAACTTTATAAAAAAAACAAATGTACAATTGTTTAAAATTTAATCATATTGAAAATTGTGGGACACCTTTTGTTTGAAATTGTACTTCAAACGCTAGAATCCACTCAGGATAAGATAAGATATAATTTTAAAAAAACCTGTCATCGCTTGTAGATAAATTGTTCACTTCGCGAAAATCACATATAATCCGAAATTCATATCGATTTAGAGATTTTGGAACATTTAATACAAAAATTGTTTTTGATAGTTGGTTTGTGTTAATGAATTCAAAAATTCAATTATGGCATCCTTCAGAAAAAAAAGTGCATGCTCAAACTTGCAGAAAAGGGACACTGCATTGTAATCAAATACTATAGTACAAACTGAAAATAATGATTTTTTTCAGTTTATACAGTTTATTTTTCTACAATAATTAACAGCTTAAGCCTTTTACATAAATGAAAAAAACACACAAAACAGTCATGTTTCTAATACAAACTCATAGATAAAACTAAATGTGAGTTAAATATAAATAATAATTGATAAACATAAAAGAATAAATGAGATGGACTATATAATAAACAAGAATCTAAAGAAAAATTGCAATATAACTTTAAACAATAAGTTTTAAAATATTTAAAGAAGTATGAAAAATAACGATGCTACCAAGCAGTTTATTAAATATTTTTTTATGAATTAATTTAGGAGATATATGATGATTCACAGTACTTTAAAGTTTGCAGTTATTCATTCTATTGGTTTATTGTTTAAATAACCACAATTAAGTTTATTTTTTAAATTAAAGCTATGTTTGTTTTACTGGACAAAACCATTTGCTAAAACAGATTTTTATTTTATAGTAGAACTTATATGCTTTAAAAACAGAGAAGTTTTATTAGAAGGAACAACTCAAGACAATTTAGGATGTCTATGTTCCTAATTATTCATTTTGTTATTTATTTTGTTCTACTTCATACTTCATATTATTGTATGTATTAATATTATTTATAATTATATATTGTTATGATAATATTATATATAATAATCAAGTTTCAAGTTAAAACATTGTAAAATTTCTACTTTGTAGAGGTAAGAAAAAGAATAGTTTCTAAATATGAAGTTGATAGGTTTTGCATACCAAATTCTTGTCAACGTAAATTAAAAGAGGCTGTTTCAGTCAACACAAAAGTATATGCATGTGAGGTAAGGAGGCGGCATCATTTGGAGAGGAAAGACGGAGGAGGCTACGATCATGAAGAATATGACAAGTACCCTTCAAAATATGTGTCCACATTCAGTAAAAAGGTTAATATTATAAATAACATTTTTAAATATTGCATTTTAATCACTGCAAGTTCTAGATTGCTCCATATGCATCGGTTGTAATAAACGGCATATACTGGGCTGTGGACTCTCCCAAACTTCTTACCCTACCAGATGCAAAAGCTCTCCTTCGTCCTGCGAACACTCCCTGGCTCCCTTGTTCAGACGGTGCACCAGCGTTGCCGCACAGACTCTTAGCGATCTGCGATATCAGTGCTGACCCAGGCGGTTCAATTGAATTTATGAATGAATGCACTACAATTGACACCCCATTCTGTTTATATGATGCTGACAGCAACAAAGACACAAAGAGGTGATTTTTAATATTTAATTTACTTATTACTTTTTAATCTTAAATGTTAATAAAAATATGTTTAATTTGATTATTACAGTTTCAAAGGACCAGGAGTGCTCGTCTGTTCTATTGACAACATGCCTACTCAGTTGCCAAGGGAATCAACGGATTTTTTTGGTGATCTAGTACTTCCTTACGCTCTTGACATTTTGCAGTCAGACGCCACAAAGCCACTCGAGGAACACACTTTCTCACCTGCTGTTTATAATGTGCCAACATTTTTTTAAATGTTTTTAAAACTATAACTTATTTACTATTCAATGTATATTGCATTTTAGGCTATAATTGCCAGCAATGGGAAACTCACTCCTAATTATGAATACATTCAAGAATTGAGATCTCTCAATTTGTAAATATATATTTCATTTTAGCCTAAAAACAAGGATATTTACAATGAAGCTTTTATTAAATTACAGGAAATCAAAACACAAGGATGGAGGTGAAGCAACTGCTGATATGAAGAGAGTTCTTGTTCTCGGTGCGGGAAGAGTCTGCGCACCACTGGTTGAGTATTTAAACAGAGATCCAAATCTTCACATAACGCTTGGTAATTACACCATTATTTACTTCTTGTACATTTATTATGGATGGACACAACATTTTTTTGTTGAATTTTAGGGTCATCAGTACGAGACGAAGTAGACAGCATTTCAAGAGGGAAGAGAAGAATCGAACCTGTTCTTATTGACATCAAAGAAAGACCTGATCACCTTGCGTCCCTTGTAGGTTCGGCGGATGTTGTCGTTTCACTTCTACCGTACCAACTTCACCATATTGTTGCTGAAGTATGCATCAATAGAAACACAAACATGGTCACAGCTTCCTACCTTACTCCAGACATGGCGGCACTTCATGACAAGTTAGTTGCCTAGTGTATATTTTTAAACTATGATTTTTAAAATTTCATTGCATGCTCAGGGCCAAAGAAGCTGGGATTACAGTTGTAAATGAAGTTGGCCTCGATCCTGGCATTGACCATTTACTTGCAATGGAATGCATTGATGAAGTCCATCAAGCAGGAGGTATTGGGTCTCTTGTATTATAAACAAATGATCAATATTTAAATATCTTTCAAATAAAGGTAAAGTCGAGTCATTTGTCAGCTACTGTGGAGGGCTACCTGCACCAGAGTGTTCCGACAATCCTTTCAGATACAAATTTTCATGGTCTCCAAGAGGTGTTCTGCTAAACACCCTTGCCAATGCAAAATATTTAAGAGACTCGAAGGTATATTTCGATTAAAGCCTAGTAAAAAAACAAAAACTGGATACATAAATTTTTAGACAGTTGAAATAGAAGCAGGCGGAAGCTTAATGGAAAATGCCAAAGATCTTTTCTTTTTGCCTGGATTTGCTTTAGAAGGCTTCCCGAACAGGGATAGCATTCGTTATGCCCACCTATATGGCATTGCAGCAGAAGCGCATACTGTGTTTAGAGGAACTCTCAGGTTTAGAGGTAATTTTTATTATTATTTTTGCTTATTATTTAGTTTTTTATTATATAATTGATTGAATGTTTAAGGTTTTGTGAACACCATTGTTGGTTTACAAAAATTAGGATTGATGGATGTGAACCCACATCCTGCACTTCATCCCAATGGACCAGAAATAACCTGGGTATATCACTTTTTTTTGGAATATTTTTTAAAAACATAATTATTTGATAAAATAAAACAGATTAATGAATTAACTCAAAATTGGAGCTTAAAATGGCTTTCTTATTTTATTTCTTATTTCAATGTTAGATTATACTTTTTTTTATATCAGGGTTCAGAAATTGGCTGAAGAATATGTAAAAGTCAACAATGGTTGAATCTTTATGTTAAAGAAGTGATAACTGGACTTTTTGTTGCAGAGGGAATTCGTTTGCAATCTTGTTGGATTATCTACCTTGGATGTATTTTATGAAAACCTTAAAAATAAAGTCATTGAAAAAGTAGGAGAAGAAAAAACCAATTCAATTGAAAATTTGGGATTACTTGACGATGTGCCCATCACAAAGCTGACAACTCCATTGGACACTCTCTGCCAGTATCTTGTATGCAAATTAGCATTAGGTATTTTAAAGGTTATTTAAAAAAAATATCTCATTATATGTTATTATCATTGTAAAATTTAATTATAGGAGAGCGTGAGAGAGATGTAGTGGTTCTCAGACATGATGTAGGGATCCTCTGGCCTAATGGCAATCGAGAATTAAGAGGTATAACACTTGTCGAATATGGACAAATAAACGGACCAACTGCAATGGCAAGAACTGTTGGTCTTCCAGCTGCTATTACTGCAAAAATGGTCTTAGATGGTAAACGGCTATAATTAATAAGTAATTAGAATATTATGTGCTTAATCTTTTTTTTTTTAGGTGAAATACAGGAGAAAGGGATGGTATTGCCCTTCTCACCAGACATTTATCGCCCAATGTTAGCAAGACTGAGAAAAGAAGGAATCCAGGCTTCAGAGAATGTGACAACTCATTAAATCACATATTTATTTAAAAAAAGTTATTTTGAAATATTTTTATTTCATTTATTGTTACTGAGAAACACTATTGAATTATATTCAAATGGAATAATAATAAATAAAATATTTATAATTATATTACAATAATGTAAGCCTTTTGGGCACAGTTTATAATATAAAAAAATAAAGAAAAAAAAAAACAGAAAAATTTAAGTTTTGTTTAATAGGATGAAAATGTGCTTCTTACTTTATTGAAAACCATATGTGCCAATGTTTTCAAACCCAACATATGCCAGAATTTGATAAAGTATACTAGCCATTTCACTTCTTTTTCCACATCACATATTTGAAACGTTCATCAAAATTCACCAGTATGGTACTCTCAAGTCAGAAGACAGAACAGGTAAAGAAAAAAATAGGCAATTTCAACCTAAAAACGTCCAGCTTCTTCAATCGGGACTTCCCTGTACACATGTATGTCTCAGCATGCACCGGGCTGACTGTTGTCGTTGGAGAAGCTCAAAGTCCTAAAGTGTCTGCTTATTTAAATTTCGGTACGTATTTTTCTCTTAACTTGTCGTCAATTATAAACTCACTGTCATAACTCCAGTCACTAAAGCGAGCAACCACGACGGCCTTCCTTACATAGTCAAGCATATTGCTGCTCTCGGAAGTGAAATTTACCCTTATGAAGATTTTCTGGATTCAATTTCAAATAAGTTTCTCATTCTAGACTCAAATTCTTGGTTAGGTAAGTGAAGCTCTACAACAAAATGTGTCATGTGTCAAGACATATGTTTCTTCTATAACTACTATAAAACTTGCAATAAATTATAAAATATTTTTTACTGGTTACTTAAAAACAAAACAATATCAACTTTTTTCATTATCTATTTTTTGTTTTTCTCTTAGAATATGTAATTTATGTATAATTATATAATTAGAAATATATATGTTCACATAATTTTAAGTATATTTAATGGTTAAACAACATAAAATATATTTGAATGAAGTCACAATGTTCACAAGTTGAAAGTTTATTCAGGATTCAACATATAAGTCCAGTTCTTAGGCTTATTCTTAGTAACAAATAAATATAAAGTCTATGAAGTATAAAATTGTGAGATTTCTTGTTGAGGTCTATGATGAACCTACAGTCTTTCCTATCATCCTGGTCTGTATATCCTTGCTGGCACTCTTTTGGTATTTGACTATCTTTAGTGATGGTCTCAGACCAACCAAAACAGTACAACTTACCTGACATACAAAACATTATAATGATCAAATATGTTTTTGGCATTTTGCCATTATCAGCACAGTGGTTTGTCTAAGTTTGCATTGGGACACCCAATTAAGATTGCAAAATGCCAAAATGTAACAAACAGAAACAGTGAAAATAAACAGACCAGGACAATAAGAAATGACCAAATTTCAACAATAAAAATCACAATTGTTGACCACAATTCAAATGTTTTATACGTTCATCTAATTGTATGCAGTGTTATAATTAAACCTAATATTACCTTATAAAAGTATATATTTGCAAACTAAATTATGATTGTAACTTTCATTTTAGATATCGATCATACATGCTTTTCATTTACAACATTGTGTGAAGAAGGTTTATTGATGTTGCTTCCGATATATTTAGACCATTTGTTTTTCCCAAGCATAAATGTACGTTTGCTTTTACATAAAGTACAAGAGGGATCTTATAGCAAGTTATTATTTTAGAAATCCACTTTCGCCGCAGATATCAAACATATTTATGGAAAGGAGATTGACAAAACGGAAGAAATGCTCAAAATGTACTTGCTCCGTCTCATTTTCCCATCAAACTCGGGCTACAGGTTTTCACCTTATGGCGACAACAGGCGCATAAAGCTCAGCACCCTTTATGATAAAGTATGTTTAAAGATAACAAATATGATTTTTACTAACATCATTAAACATCAATTTGTTAGGTCAAAATTAATTAGACAAAAAAATTACAGCAGATTTTACTAAAAAAAAGTTCTAAAAGCAATACTAGAAGAATTATTGTTTGTGTTTTTGTGTAACATTATTGATTTAATTATTAACACACTTTAAATGCAATTACAATTAGTCAAAGAAAAAAATGGTTAAAAGTTAAAAATATTTTATGTTCTGATAATAAGATTTACAGTAGAATTTTTGGGTAAAAATTTGAAGAATCATAAAAAACAAAATGGTCAGTCATGTAATATTATTAGACTTATGTATGTTAGACTATTAATTAAATGTGTAGAAAATTGAATATTTATATAAAAAATGATCAGGTTATTTGATCAATACACTTTTTATTACAATTTAACTAGTTTTCTTATCCAGAATCTTTTAAAACTTGTATCTACATTTATTGTAGGTAATAAAATTTCATAGACATCTTTATCACCCAGAAAACTGTTATGTGATTGTGGCTGGTACAAGTGCAAATAAAGTGATTCCAGTACTCGACCAGCTTGAAAAAAAACTGTATAAGGTTTGTCAACAAATTGGTTATATATATTAGTTTTTAATTTGAAGTTAAATATTAATTTCACTTTATTAGAGCCAGAATCTCAGACCATCACTTATTAAACCTTGGACGTCCGACATCCCTCCTTTGGCATTGGAGGAAGACCTTGAAACAATAGTTTTCTTTCCTTGTGGAGAATGTCCAGATGGACACATTCAACTGGCTTGGAGGGGACCATCAATTTCAAACTATACAGAGTACGATGTCATTATATATACATTTTCATTTGTGTAATGAAAATATTGGTATTTTCAGAATAATTGCACCTTCCTTATTATTGAGATACCTAACTAAACCAAATGGAATATTAGAAAAAGAATTTGTTAAGTGTCCACAACCACAAGCTTCAAAAGTAATAATATAATTAATACAATACATTTAAATGTTTTGAAATAAGAACAGATTTTTTTCAGATCAATTTAAAAATTGAATTATTGAAAGAAGTCATATATATTATTGAGTTCTCTGGTGTCCCCATTAATAAAATCAGCTCTTTGAAAAATAATGTTATTCAATTTTTGGAGACGACAATTGAACAAGATTCGCAATTATTTTCAAAAGAGAGGATGGCGAATGTATTTATTGATGCAAAAGTCGACGTTTTTAAAGAGCTTGAAGATAATATATTCACATCTTTTGCAAAGGCTGTAATTAATTACCAGATTTACTGTCACAGAGACAAACAAGTAAATTTAACATTGATTATGTTAAATTTGTTCCTTTCAAACCATTAATTGTATATTAGTTTCAAGAAAGAATGAACTATTTATACGAAGTGGAATATTTAGAACAAAAGCCTCAAGAATTTTGGATGAACATGCTGAAGAACAGCTTCCTTAGCAATAATTGCATTTCTGTAAAAGCTATTCCATCCGAGAACAAAAAAGATGAGTTTAAAGAAATAATCGGTGACAGTAGCAAGTTAAATTTCGATAGTTTAGAAAGTTTGACATCGTTCTATAAATGTTTAAGAATGTATAAAAATGTACGTTCTTTTGTGTATTTGTAATGATTCATTAAATATCAATTTTGTTGTTCTTCTTTTTATAGAAATTCATTTTAAAAGATGTTTTAAAAATATTGCCAAATCCAATTTGTATGCATTTCCAATCACATACAGTCGTGAGTCACAATGATCAAAATGCAAGGGAAAGTAAATTCCGATTTGGAATTGTACCATGGAATATCCATGTTATTGACTCATATTCTAGCTACTTTGTTAATGTATGTATTAACTTTAATCTTGCGTTTGTTAGTGTATTTCTTTAACACAATGCAGAAAGTAATTAGTTTGTTTATTATTTTATTAGTTAAGCTTCTAACAATAGAACTTTTCAAAAACAACTTTCAGTTTTAAACAACAATAACATTGTTCTTTTTTAAATAGATTTTTACACTGATTGATACTACAAAATTGAACCCTCAATTTCAATTTCATACAACTCTTTTTATTGAAAGCTTAGTCAAGAGTTCATTTCATCAAAATGATTCTGTAATGTCGATGGAATTAGTTTCAATAAACCGGGAAGATGATCTCGTATATTTAACACAAGGAATAGGCATTAAACCTGCTACAAAATTCACTTGTTCATTGCCATCCAATATTATTTGCATTAGGATGAAGGTAATGTAAAGGGTTTTAATCTTGGGAAAAAATTGAAAGAATTACATGATTTCAGGTAGCTATTCCTAATTATGTCAAGGCTATAAGGGAGCTGAAAGATATTCTTTTCAATGCAAATTTTACGGAAGAAGATGTTACCAAAATAAATGACAGTCTTCTAGATGAGGCACTTGAGTTCAAACAAGATGGAAACGCGATGGTTTTTCAAGTAATGAAGGGAATTATCTATAACAATGGTAAGTGATTGATAAAATTATGAAATGTTTCGTTAAGGTCTGCAAGGTGTTGAACCTGTGGCTTGATCATTTCTGGTGATCATGGTTTGTCTCTTTAGTTTTTTTCTGTCAGACGTGTTTCAGTGTTTTACTATTTTGTCTGTCAGCCAAGTTCAAATCAAGATGACCACAGACGGTCAGGCTACAAATCGCTTTATTGTTTAAATTTCAATTAAACATATTTTACAGCAAACAATCATTTTAACATCAATGTATGTTTGCAAGAAGATTTTTTGAAAAGAAATAAACAGAATTTGGAAGAGTGTAGTCAGGATGTTTTGAACGAATTGAATATAATGAAAGAACAATTAATAAATCCTAAAAATGTGAGAATATTTATGGCTGTCAATTTGGACGTTCTTAGTGCTTGGTATCCAAACCCAGCTTGTTTCTGGGCTGATTTTTTCCCTAAGGAAAGAACTTGTAAACCGTAATTTCTGTTCCAAGAAACAAAAATTAAAATTTTAGTAGAATAAATACAATAAATTGCCTAGGTTAAATATTGCTTGTGAGCATGAATATATTCTGGAAAACCCACATAACTCATGTATCGTGGGTGCATGTGATGCTTGCTATTTTTGCCTATGCTCTCCGTGCGTTATAGACTCAGATGACTTGGCACCACTGATGGTTTGCATGGATTATATAACAAGATTTGAGGTATGTGAATCGAGCAAAAGAAAAAGTGTCATTACATTACACCGTCAATAAATAAACCAGGGAAAGCTCTTCAAGGAAATTCGAGCCAAAAATCTCGCTTACTTTTGCAGTGTTTTAATAAGGCCATATCAAAGGAAGTTGTATTATACAATTTACAAAGCATACAATCTAATCGAAGCATTTACTTATTCTAAAGAAATATTTGTAAGTTCATTTTATAATTAAGCTTTACTATAATGTTAACATCTGTAAAAATAAATCCATTTTATAATTAAGCTTACTGTAATGTTATTATTTGTAAAAATTAAGTATATATATCCTAGTTTCTTGAACAAAAAACATAAAAAAGTCATATCATAGTTGCTAAAATGTATTTTTCTCTTTTAATATTATTTAAGGGAGAATGTGCTACGGACGAAGCAACATGGGATATTGAAATTTTGAACGAAGTTAAAAATTCTTCTATAATGAAACTTTTTAAGTCTGCAAGCAATATTGATGAAGCACTGCAAGATTTAATTATTGATTTTTACTGCAATAATAAACAAGAAACAAACATTAAGTGTGTTTAAAATATTTACTCGGGTAAATGCATCTTAAATGGTGTTTAATTAACTTTTACTTTTCAGTATTTTAATAGAGAAGATTCATAATGTCACAATAGACGATTTGAAAAGCATTGCCAAAAAGATCATACCTCAAATGTTTGATTTTAATGTTTCAAGAATTGCAGTAGTCTGCAGCCAAGAGGAGCTTGATGAGATCCACAAAAATTTTGAAAAGTTCTTTCATTTTATAAATGTTGCATTAATGATATCATATTTATAAGTATTATTTACATTTCAGGTTGGGCATAGAAATTAATAAGTTTCCAAGTTTTCAGGAGTGCTTTGGCTTTTTATTTTAAAAGAACGTCAAAAAATTGCGTCTTCTTGTGAACACAGTTAACACTTTATTGTCTCAAAATAAAACTACACTTACACTTTTATTTACACTTTTTTTTCCATTTGCTAAGAAATAGTTTTGATTATTTTTATTAGTATCTGTATGAAATAATGTTCGCTTCTGTGTTAGATTTAAGTAGAAATTAATGCTATGTAAAAGTTATGAGATTTCCTCCTGTGGTTTTTGATGAACTTCTAATTTTAAAACTATATTGTCAAATTTATTTTTGTAATTTGGTCATTATCATCATGATCATATTAATTTGCCTACTATCCCCACTGGGTTAGTCTCTCAGATGTGTTTTGGCATAAACACACAGACAAGCTGAAGGCCAACTCAGCGAGGATAGACAACAAAATTTGGTAAGGATCAAATATATAAATTTAAAATTTAATTTATAGAAATTTAAAATAAGATAGTCGGTCTCTGTCGAGGTCTCTCTGTCTACGAGCAGAAAAAAAAGAAATTTTTTTTACTTTTTGTTCATAGACAGAGGACCTCAACAGAGGCCGACTATTTTATTTTGAATTTCACCCAATCAACTTTACTCCAAAAGAACTAGTCCATTAGCATAAAAAAAACACAACTATGACCGAAGAATCTATTCAAAAAGCACACAATGGTCCAAATGTTCTGTGAAATGGATAAAAATAGTCATCTTTTTCAAATATTTAACATATAATTCAGCAGCAGTGCTCCCCTGATGATGCGACTATATGTCGCGAAAGCTTGGCGAATTGTTGGCATAAATTTGTAACTTCATTCAAGGCTTACTATAAGAGTAGACCATGTTTTTTAAAACTAAATTACAACTAATTAAAATATTGGAGGCGTCAGTGGTAGTAATGGTGAAGGCATACTCATCACTGTAAGGTAAAGATATATGTTATGAAATACATATTGAATCATAAATGTCAAAATATTTTGATTTGTTGTTTTTGCTGTTAAGTGAATAGTGAAATCATCAGTTACTAATACTGTAATAAAACGCCTACTTTTACTTGATCTATTTTTCAAATTGTTAATTTAAACATGTGCTAAAAAAACACCAATTGTTTGTTATTAATCTTTGTGTTAATAGGGAGGGGAGCACTTGTTAAAACTTTTTTAGTTGCTTTGTTGTTTGAAAGTAATTGTTGTTACTTTAAAAAATGGTCTCGTCCTGTACCAACTGTGCCAACGGTGCCTCGGAAATTGGGGTGGGGATTTCCTCAAGAGTGAAGTGCAAAAAAACACAAAAAACTCAGGCAGAAGGCACTAATCATAGCATATCTGGTAAGTAAGTTATGTTATTTTGATTTCTCATGAATGGTAGCAAAGTTGTTTCAGATCCTGATAAAGAGCTGAAACATCCAGAGATTGAAATAAAGGATGAGGATAAATGCACCACTTTTTGCAGTTTATGTACATCAATGACGTAAGTGTTTTATGATTATAAACATACATTTTTTAAGCATAAAATCGCTTTAAAAAAATATGTTTGTAGGGGTATGGTGGTGAATTACTTTGCCCAAGAACTAACAGCAGATTTATGGAATATTTTAAGAAACTGTTAAAAGTTTATGCATGGTTATTTTTTTGTACTATTGAAATAAATATATAAAAAAGAAAAAATTGTTTATTCTTCATTTCTTATGTATTAAATTGTGTTAAGAGCATCAGATGGTACAGGCATTTATTCATACAAAAACACAATTTCACAAGCTTCACAACAGAACTACACAAAATGTTTGAGCTCAGCCAATTCAGAAAGAATTGCGAGGAGTTGGGAAATACAACATTCTTAACAACACACATTCCACTGGCGACACAAATATGCCAAAAAACAACAAAATCTGCAAATTGCACAGTGTCAAGGAAGTTTTGTGAGTTTGATTTTCTTTTTAACATGTGTGTATATGTTGAGTTTTTAAAAAATATAATCATTGGTAAAATTACTTCATCCTTTAACAGACTGATTGTGATTTTGTGCAATAACAATCAGTTTGTATTTTTAGCTTCAGTGACAGTTGTCCTTTAATATATATATCCAAATGAAAGTCTTTTTTATTGTCTCCAACCATCCAGGTCTACATATTCTAGCTCTCAAGCTATGAGCGTATCACCAAATAGACCAATATATAAAATTTCATAAAAAATGTATAGACTTTGTTATTAACATAAATTCTAAAACATCTACTAAATTATGTAACCATTAATAGTTAAATAAAGAAAATAAAATATACAAATATATATTTGAATTTTAAATTAAAGAAAAAATATTTCAGGTGGACCGAATAATTGTGTTTGTGTGACCACGATGGTCAAAAATTTTATCTATTCTTCGGTCGAAGAGGCAACAACCGGAAAGCCGTTGGTCAGTGAGTCCATTGAGATCCCGGCTCAGCTCAAAGCCTTTATAAATGGTAACAAACTCAATGACAATTTACCAAATCGTACATTCGGCCTACAGGATATTCCAGTATTCAACAAAAAGCACAGAAAGATATCTGTATCTCCAAAACAGGTTATAATACTTTACACAATACTTTGTACTTTGGGGGGTGCAATTGTATTTTAATTTAACAGTTGACAAGCCTATGTTGCCTTCTACAATTGCCAAATGATATAATAGTCTATTTGTAGTTAATAGTTAAAATTAAACAAAATAAAGTAAATTTCCTTAGACAGTTACTACGATGGTTTTAAATTTAAATATACATAAATATACGTACATCTCTTTCAAGAAGTGTTAAGATTATTTGTTGTTTTCTCATTAATATTGGCCAGGGGGGAAAATATAAGGTATATAAAATATACATATATATTATGTAGGTAGGTAATCAACATTTAGGTGTGGTTAAATAATTTTAATTTTATTTTAATAAGCTTTTAAAAGATTTCTGTTGTAGAAATTGTTTATGGATAGTGAAGATGAATCTTCTTCAGATTCTTCTATTAACTGTACTAATGCATTTGGGGTAAGTTAATCACAAATATTTATATATAATATTGTAATTGAACAATTAAAAAAATTGAATTTTTGTGATTGTTGTTTGCACCAGAAATTCAGTCTTGAAGACAAGATGGATAGTACCGACAATAAAAAGATGGATATTGAAAACAAATTGGTTAGTTGATTTTTAAATATGTAAATATGAATTGTTATTATTACAATTACAAAAGTTAACTGTAATGAATATATTCATGGCTTTGCGTTTTTATTCAGTGAGAAGCAATCAGGAAACTTTTATGAATGTATCTAGTACAGATTAGCAAAAGTTTAACATTAATTTATTATTGGTTAAAACAATTTATGCTTATGTCTATGATTTTCAAGGATCTAAAAACGAAGGAGTGTGAATCAGAGAATACCAACTTATATTCTTGTGTCTGTAAAGAAAGGGAAAGTGATTATAATTTTTACTCCTGTGTCTGCAAAACAAAGGTGATTTGAGTTAATGCCATTTAATATAGCAATTTTACAATTTTAAATTGAAATTGAATGTTTTTGTTTCGAGGACAAGACAAAATCAAAGCCTAAATCGACTTTTCAACAAGACTGTTCAAGTGAAGACCTGAGTGACTCATCTGATGACGAGTGTGGTAAAATTGATTATGTTTATGGTTGATAATTCAATAAAAGTAAAATTGTCAATATTTCAGATTAGAACATAAAAGAACTCAGCATAAATGTTGCTGTTATGCATGTATATTATGGGATACAGTTTTTTTAATTATAAGATTTTTGATTATTTGTGTACATTGTAGAGTTTCATTGTTATACATAAACCAAATATTTGTACTATTAAAAAATAAACATATATGTACTTTACAGTTTGAGAATAAATATATTTTTCTTGTGATTGAATTGATTTAGTTGATCATATTATTTTAAATTAGATAATACACTCTAGCATTTTCGAGCGCTTTGGGTCATTACGTGCTTAATACAAAGAAGATTTTAAATTTTAATCAGTTATAAAATTTTAAAAAGAAATAAAATAAAATATTAGTAATTTTAAATATCACATTTCAGCTTATCAGAACTTAATACTTACTATACATACTTAAAAGTGCTCTAATATGATTTGAAGTTTTGCACAATTCAAAATTATTTTGAATCTTGCAGGTTACTTTTTTGTTAAGAACAGTTACAACCAGTTGTCTTTTTAAAGTTTATGTATATTTCGAAGCAGCCCTGCTTCCTTTCGAATAAAACAGTTTTAAAAAAGTTATTTTTAATGTTTTTGCTCAAGAAGATCACGTATTCATTTTATTCAATTGTATTAAACAAATAACAGACAGTGGCCAAAATAATTTTATTTAAGCCTGTCCTATTGCAGTAAATATAAAATCCACTTTTCATCAGTTTCACAAAAAAAAAAAAAAAAATATTTGCAGTGGACAATCATGGGGTCTCCTTTCTATCATTAATATAAGGCTAATTTATCCAAAGTTATTTACTAGACTGATCTATTTCTATTCTCTCCTCATCATCAAAAATGCAACATTGTATTTGTCTTGGTTTAAAAAATTGAAAGAGCCTTCATAAGAACTGATTAATAATGATGTATGCAGTTCTTACTTGATGGGATAATCAATTAAATCATCACACTTATTTAACAAAGTTTAAGCACAATTGAAAGAAAATTATAACAATTAAATAAACTAATTGATTGTCATTCCTAATTTTATAAGTATATAAATTTATTTTGTTTCAGCCTGAAAAAGTTTCTTTTGAAAGCAAATGCTCGAACCGAACTAACTCGACAAACATGGACAATAAGGTTCTATACTTATTTATTTACTTTAAACTGAGCTTTGCAAATTGTTTCAATGTACGTTACACCTTTCAGAATGTTAGGATTTCAACTCAAAAGAGCATGTGTCAAACCAACAACCAAGGTTGTTATTCTGATCTGCCGAGTAGCAAGGTATGTTTTTAAAAATCCATATAATAACATAAATTTGCGTACAGAACACAGCATGAATGGTCCTACAATTATTGTTGTCTTAACATTAAAAAAATGCAAAAAATTAATTGTTACTCATATTTTCAGAATAATGAAGTTGTAAAAAGTAACATTACAAACTATGATTCACCAATGCAGTCAATTTGTCTTGATCGTTCTTTAGTGGTAAGCAATAAACAGGTTTGTGAATGAAACATTGTGCTTGATAAATAACTTTTTTTAGGTAAAAAATGATCAGCCTCGGGACTCAAACAAAATTGGAATTCTTGAAAGCGAAAACAATGTCAAGAATTGTGTAACAATTCAGGTATTGGTAAGTTTTGTGCGAGGAAGAGAACATGTTTATTTTTTGCATTTGTGCATTTCACCATCTTTAGTTGTCAGTTGTGCCTTTTTTAAATATACCAGCATGACAATTGCAATGCTGGCGAAATGCTGAATTTGACAGGCAAAAACACAACACAGCAATGTTAGACAGGCCAGGATATTGGAAAGAACAACCCTGCAAATATTTGTAACATAATCCTGTCTATTTTTGCTAGTTTGGACTTTCAAGTACATTTTGGCATTTTGACTGGTCTGATAGGTGGAAAAGCCAAAAAATGTCTGGCAATCAAGCTATGATTTCATCACTTAATATGCTTCATAATTTAATATTTTTTTGTTTTATAGAAAGAAGTAAGTACGCCTAAGGTGTGCACTTGCAATGTCTGTAAAAGCAACAATGCGACAAACAATGAGATTAAACCAATGGTGATTATTTAGAAGCAATTTAATTATTTATTGTCATATTGTATTGTGAAATATTGTCTGAATTATTTTTAAAGGTGCTTTCACACAGTGGGATAATGAAGAAACAGAAAATTCCTAAATCAATTTGTTGTTCAGTTGGTATAAACGAAAAGTCAAATATGTGCTTGTGTACCACAATGTACGAGTGTGATTTGATTTCAAAATCTCAAGATATGTTCCCAAACAAGGGGAAATTATTAAGTGAAGTTAATTTTGAAGAAAGTAGCAAAGAAATTAAGACAGATGAGGTAACCTTTGCCCATAAAAATGATATATCAGAATTTAAATTTTTTGAATGCTTTAAAAATGAAGACACCGATAGAAACAGAAACCAAGCCAACTCAATGGACATAACGAAAACTGTCAAAAATAGCACACTTATTGTTGATAAAGTTGAAAAAACATCCAAAGAAAATGTTAAGAAGGACAATGAAAATAAGTGTGTAGACAAAACATTAAAAAGGAATCAAGAAGATACTCAAGATTCTTCCAGGATCCGAATGCAAGAGGATAAGAACATGGATTTACAAGTGTCAAACCAAGGAAAAGATATTTCTGAAATGTACATAAAACAACTGAAACAAAGAACGAATTCATTGTCAGTAAATAGTTCCAAGAAAGAAGTTATTGAACAAAAATTACAAAAAATAAGCTGCGAAAACAATACTGAACCAATAGAAAAAGGAACGAATGTATTGATTGTTAGTGGTTCCAAGAAATCATTTTATGAAGAGATTGTAATTTCAAAGGAACTAAGCAATGATCAATTAAATACTGAAGATTGTTCATATACAAGAGTTGATAAAGTCAATGATTTAAATGTACCAGACAAACAGAAACAATATATTTGTACAAATAAAATTGAACAAATAAAACAAAGAATGAATGTGAAAAATGAAATGAATGTCCATAGTTCCAAGAATTCATCTAATGAAAATATTATAAATTCAAAGGAGAACAAAATAAGTGAGTGTTTCCTTACAGAACTGAGCAGTGAGGAATTAAATGCTGACGATTATTTTACCAGAATTGACAATGATTGTGATTATGATTTTAAAGTATCAGACAAAGGAAGAGGCTTTTGTCAAAATAAAATTGAACAATTAAAACAAAGAAGAAACATGTTGCTTGCAAAACATTCCAAGAAGAAGAAAAATGAGTGTGTGGTCAAAGAATTAAGCAAGGAACAAGTAAATACTAATGATCATTCCAATAAAATTAGTACGGACAATGATTGGAATGATGATTCAAAAGTACCAGACAAATGTGAAAAATATATTTTTACAAATAACATTGAACAATTAAAAAAAAGAATGTACGCATTACTTGTGAAACGTTCTAAGAAGGCATTTATTAAAAACATGGCAAATTCAAAGGTAATCAATGAAAAGAAATGTGTGGTCAAAGAATTAAGCAGGGGACAAATAAATGATTATTTCACCAGAAATTATACTGATGATGATTGCGATGATGATTTCAATGTACCAGACAAAGGAAAAAGCTATTGTAAATTTAGCATTGAACAATTAAAACAAAGAATGGAGAGTTTAAATCTAACAGATAAACGTCTAAATGTAAACTGCCCTAAATATGAATGTAAAAATAGAACAGGAAACAGCAAAAAACCTGTTGATGATGAACATCTTCAGGCAGAACCCACAATCAATAAGAGTGCTCAAGAATATAATACTGACATTGAAATTGTCTGCAAACAAAGTTCTGATGATAATGTTGAAGTGAGCGAGGAGCAACCTCACAGTCAAAATAAAAAACATAATCATCATAAGAAAAAGAAAAATTTGGAACACAAAACAAGTTGTAGTGTAAAGTTGCTATCTATGCCGGTATCATCATACTGCCAAGACAAGAAAAGTAAGATATCCTCTGTAAAATCTAAACCAAAAAAGTCAAGTGAATTCCTCGGAGAAATATCTGAATTAGAAAGAATAAAACGTTACCAGTGTAAAGTGGATGACCTGTACAACCAAATTTGGAAACATGTGAATTCAAGTCCCAAAGTTTCAAGACATAAATCCAAAATGTTCATTGAGACCGGAAAGAAGTCTATTCATAAAACCCATCACTCGGATAAGCTTGATGGAGGGATATGGGAAAAAATCCTGGAGGATGATGACTAAAGATATATTTTATGAATTGTTCAAATAGGACCTATTTATCCATGTATATTGTTGGTAAGATTTTCTAACAAATCTTTTATTTTATTTTATTTTTTTCACTTTACAATTTGTTATTGTTTTTAGGTTGGCAACGTGATTCGTTCAATTTTTCTAACAGTTGTTTTAAAGCTAATCATTTCATTGTGAGTTAAATAACCATTAAAGGAAAACTAAAATAAAAATAAAATAAAACAGTCAAATCAAAGTGATTTCTTAGATTTACTAGTAGAGTAAAGATGAGACTGATGGCAGGACTTTGATTCCAGTTAATTTTGTCTATGAGATTGTGAATTTCCACGATTCCAATGTATTCAAAATGTTGAACTAAATTGTTTCACAGTGCTAATGAAAAAAAAGGAGATTTAGATCATAACAAAACTTTAGACTCTACCATCATCATAATTCACCTGCTATACCCAACAGGTAGTTTATCATAATTGACAGGAATTACTTGCCATAATGCTGCCGATATGGCTGGTGCATCTTTGTTTATATTTTCATTTTTGTATATTATAAGAAGTGGATTGTTAAAAATACAATTTAGTTGATCATCAAAAAATTAAATTGAGAGGTTTGCAAGTTGGTCAACTTACAGCAAGGCAATGAGAAATTTTAAGAAATTTATTTTCTGACAGAACATAACTATAAAAACTATTATTGTCAAATCAAAAATTGAATCCAACATTGAAATATTGACACTTATGGAATTGAAATACTAACATAAAAGGCATAAAATTGTTTTCTTGTCAATACATTCTGCCTATTATAGCGGATTTTGTCTATCATTTTGCTATATCTAGTAGGCAGACTGTGCTATTTTGTCATTTAGTCATTTATTGTTTTGACATACAAACCAACACAGACCTCACCAAAATGCTTCACAATATGCCACATCCTTGATGCTAGGAAAGTTAAAACATTGAATTATGTTTAACTAGCCTATTTTTTAACTGGTTTGGTCTTCAGATATTTTAGACATTTTTGCCATAACCGGAGATCTAATAGTAGATGATCAAGCTACAGGTTCATCACTACCCTCATCTCACATTATCAGTAACTTTTTTTTTTTTTTAATGAATCCCATTGCTCTCAAATTGTTACAGTAAAGTAAAGCTGAACGGCAAAAAAGATCTCAAAACAAAATTTACAAAAAATTTATTCAAAACATCTGAGGCATGTGCTTGCTACAAGTAAAATTTCAAGTGGCTACATGTAAAAATAACTAATGACACGGCAACATTAACCGAAACTGTTCACATTTCCTTCTCATGATTGTTTTGGGGAGGCATGTTAAAGGAAATGGACATCACCTTCTGAACATGCTGATACAATAGCATGTATTACATGCAGGGAAACAGCTACAACTCAAATTACCACCATGGAAAGTAGCATCAAGGTAAAAAGCATCTTTCTCTCAGAATATCCCCAAAATAACAAAACTTACTCTCTTCAACGCGAATAACAATAATGAACACTTTAAAATTCATGTATATTAAATTTTTACATCATATGAAAAATGATTGGTTAATCAGACAATGTGACCATCAGAGATTCCACATATAAAAAGCAAATGAGTTCCAAATTCATAACTTTCTTCTAATTTTTTATATCCTACAATCAAAAACATCAAAATATTTATTATTACATTTTATAATAAACATATTTTTTAATTTTTAATTATTTAGATGCTTTGAAATTAATAAATATTTTGCATATAAAACAAGTTCCTGCTTTAATATCTCTACAAAGTCTGTGGAATAAATTAATTGTTGAAATTTTAATAAAAAATTATTATATTCAGTTGACTTAATAAAGACTAATATAAAAACGTAATGGAAAGACAGCTTTTCAATTTAGGAGTAAAATCAAACCAAAAAGAAGTTCATTATTTAATTTATTTAAATCATTATTGTATAATTACTACAGTTAGAATAAATTGCAATCGAGGGTAATTTAAAAAGCCTGTATTTGATTCATTTTTATATTTTAGCCAAAAACTAAGTTGGATCATGTTGATCAAGCATCTACCTGTGTTGTATACAAGGGCAAGGATACTGATATAAAAAAGCAAATCTACAATGGTACTCAACAGGTACAAAAACAAAAAATTCAGTCCATGATAATTGTAAAATTTCTGATTATTGATTTATATAAGCTTAAATCTGCACACAAATGTACATACATACGCACGAGTACCGACCTGATGAGACTATCACTAATCACCAGTAGGCTTCAAGAATCACCCTCTCTAGGGTTCTCACATTCATGCTAATAAATACATTCAGTCTCAATTTACACAACAAAACTAGGTGTCTAAAAAGTACTATAAATAGCAAAACTTTCCTATTTCCTCTAAAATCAGAACAGGGAACCCAGTGTTCAGGATTGACCTCTATCTCTCAAGGAACATCATGATTGTCAAATTACAAGCTATTTTAAATTGATTATTTTGTATAAATATTGTAATGCAATAAGCTATTAAATTTTTTTTTGTAAGCAACTTTTTTAAAAATTTAAATATTTTAGTTGCTAGATTTGGGTCCAAGCTCTACCAAAGCTGGTGTTGATGTAATCGAGCAATTCAGGAAGGATATTCAGGCATGAGGATTTTTTATTTTCTGTATTAATTCAGTCAATCTAACCATTGTAATATTTATTAAAACAGGATGATCATCTTACTGAGGTTTTTATAAGCAAAAACGACAAAATAAATAATGCAAGTACAACCAACAATGTTACTCTATTACATGAATTGTTACAATGACTTAGTTATTAAGTTAAAAGTATGCAATGGGTGGAGCTGTAGGAGTAGAAAAAAATTATAATTTTTAATAAATGTGTTTGATCGTATATTGAACTTAACATTCAGGGTTTTTGGTTTAATAAATATGTTTTAGTCGAAAACTAACTCATTTTGTGAAGATAGAGGCTCTAACAGCACTGATGACCAAAAGGCTGATGTTAGTTTGAAACGAATAACTAGTAAAGATAATCAGGTAATAAAAGGATAAAAATTCTGTCAGACAATTTCTACATCCACATTCATTATTTTATTTTAATCATTATAGTAAGAAAAAATATTTTAGTGTTTTATATCGGTAGTTCTTTTTGAGTTGACAAAATGTTTCAGTCGAAAACTGGCCTAGATCATGAAGACCAATGCTCTACCAGGACGGTTGACCAAAAGGCTGATAATTTAAAAGTTATTACCAGCAAGGATACTCAGGAGGTACAAAAATTGTTTGGTGGTTTGATTTTTCAATATCTTGTTTTATTTGTTTTGTTCTCCATTTTTACAATGGGAGAAAATTAATAAAATTTCAATAATACCAAAACTGTTTTCGTTTTTAAAATCAATTATTTCAGTCGAAAAGCTACTCAGATCGGGATGATCAAAGCTATGCCAGCACAAGTGATAAAAAGGCTCATCAATTAAATAGAACAACCAGCAAAGATAGACAGGTAAAGTAATTAAAATTAAGTAGTCATATTTTTTAATGATAATAACATTGTAAAATTAAGGTTTGAATTTGGGTTAGGGCACTTTTTTATTCAACAAAATGTTTCAGTCGGAAGCAGATTCAGATTGTGATGATCAAAGCTCAACCAGTGAAGGAGATAAAAAGGTTGATGATGATTTAATAAGGACAACCAGCAGGGTTACAAAGGTACAAATAAATAAAATAAGGCAATTTTTAAACCCAGCGTTAAACTGAGCCCAGATTTTCATTGCTAAATATATATTGTTCAATGAATGTATTAACATAAAATCAAATTTAGAACGACAAAATGTTTCAGTCGGAAGCTGACTCAGTTCATGATAATCAAAGCACTTCTAGTGGAGATGATAAAAAGGCTGATGATGATTTAAAAGGGACAATCAGAAAAAGTACTCAGGTATAAGATATGTTTTGTGTTTTTCATACGGTGGAAATCATTAAATGTTGCTATAAGACAATTTTTAAATTCAAGGTCAAAATAAAAACAATTGTCATTTTTATTAATTATTTTATTTTTGCTTGTTTATTATAATAATGAAGTTAGTACTGTTTTTAGTGCCTGTATTTATTTTTGTTTTTAGTCAGACACAGACTCATGCTCTACCAGTTCAGCTTTAATAGCAATTAGCAAGGATAGTCAGGTTAAAGATTTATGTTTTTTATATCTGTTGTACAGTATTAAGATTAGCTTTTTCAACTTAGCGCTTTATAATTTACAATTAAAATAAAACCACTTGAAAATTTGATTATTTTATATTAGTAATTCTAATAAAATAAATAATTTTGAGTTTTTATATCAAAACTTGTTTTGGATTCAATAATGCTTAAGTAAATTTAGAGAGGGAGAATTTCAAATTTGGACTTGCCAAAAACAATCAGGAGAAAGTCATAAATTGTTGCCTTTGTTATAATTATGATCTTGATCTTAGTCCTTACTGGAACTTTTTTTACCATAAAAAATTATTTGAATTTCCTTTGAAACTTGTACCAATTGATCAGAATATGAATATTTTTGCCTAGGATTGAGTAGTGGTTTGACTTTTTATTTATACTGTAATGTCATAGAACTGCTAATTGGTATATAAATGCCTGTTTTTGATTTTAAAAAAAATGTTTTAGTCATCTGACTCATCTCAGAATGATGAAAGCTCTTCCAGTATAGAAAATCAAAAGGCTGATGATGATTTAAAAGGGTCAACCATGGAAACTCAGGTATTGTTTGGTGTAATTAGTTTTTGCTTTATATAATATACTAGAAAAAGTGAGAATTAATGTATGATAGAGTTTTATTTTATTACTCGTGAACTATTCTTAATTCGATAAAAACAAATTTAAAAAATAAATGTTTTAGTCAAAAAGCAATGAGGCTCTTGATGTTCAACGTTCAGCTCGCATGGTGGACAAAAAGGCTGATGATTTAACAATGGTAAGCAAGGATAAGATGTTAACATTTTTTGTAAATGATATTACTACAATATTATGTAATATTTTTTTTATGTGTGGTAAATTTTTTTTTAAAAATTAGTCAACGTATTATTTTTAGGAAAACACTGATTTAAATCAAGATGTCCAAGGCTCAGCCGGTATAGTTGACAAAAACTCGGATTTGACAAAGCCAGCCAGCACTGTTAAGGTAAAATAATAAATTTTATTAATTTTTTTATGTACACTCACAATTTGGCAACAACCCTCCCTCCAAATGGAAAATAATGGATTAAATATTGTATTTATTTAAATTGGTGATTTTTTTTACTAGTTAAAGATAAAAACTGTCTCAGACTATAATGATCAAGCGTCTACCAGTATGTCTCAAAAAAAGGCTGATGATTTCATAAATTCCACCATTAAACATAGTCAGGTACAGAGATTATTTCATTGTTTTTGTATTTTTTATTATTATTATTATGTTGCACTTACAATAAGGTAAAGTTTAAAGAAAGAAAAGAAGGTATAAAAACAACAAAAGCATTATGGACATGGATCGTCTGATCCATCTGCCAGAGGTCATTGGTTAACAAATATATATGCATTTTAGAGAAGAAAGAGAGAGAAGAAAGTATATAGGGTATAAAAGAATATGTAAAAAATAAAATTAAAAATAAATAAGCAAAACAAGTATTAAAAATGAGGAGCTTAATAACAATGAAAGAATAAAACTTAAAAATAAAATTTCTGAATCAATTTGTATCTGTAGCTCTAATGCATACTGAATTAAGCACTGAGAATTTGAGCTATTCAAGAACTGCAATTGCTCACTTCTTGCAAGAGTAAAACAACCAAGATGTAAAGAGTTGAATGTCACCCAAAATCGAGCACTCTGCCGAAAAGAGAGACACACTCCCGACGTAATGAGAATTGCATAGGGAGCATATACCAAAGTTACCCCTATTCTACACAGCTGAATTTACACGCAAAACTTCACATCTCAGCTTAAAAGTCCATTTTAGTTCACGTAATGAAAGACTGTCAAAATTAGTCTTCTGGAAATCAAACATGGGAGAAGCTTCTAATTCCTTGTAAAGAGCCAAGAGAGTAGATGTTTGAACATTTAAGCAAACAGAAATGGACATAATTCTAGAAATCTGACAATCAATTGAATATTTCCAGTTAGAACAAGGAAATTTGGGTTATGATGACAACAAACACTCAACACTCACTTTCACTAACATTCGTACTCACTCAATCAATCACAGTTGTAGTCTGAAGAAAATGTAACATTAACATTAATCAAGATAAAATAATTAATTACACAATTAATAATATTTAAACAATTGTGGATTTATTTGTTTAATTCATTCGACGAATTTTTGACACATGCATTAATACATAGTCACTTTCACCAATAGTATTATTAATCCATTAGAGTTTGTGGTCCGATCGACCAAATAACTTTTTCAATTAATTAATCTTTATGTAAGGTATTGATTGAGATAAAAAAGTCAGTGTCACAAGCGGGATTCGAACCCATGACCTTCGGCTAAATACGCTGCTGCTCTAACGACTTGAGCTATCGTAACTTCGATCCAATCGGACACCAACTTCCCATCTCAACTAGTATTATTAATATTCAGCATTACAATATTTAATTAAATTGATTTATTAATTCTATTTTAGCAGCGTGCTGAAAAAGATGAAGTTTATGAAATAAATTTTGGCCTATGTCCTTATCCTTCACCCATGCTATCAGTGCCTATCAATTCCAGGGTATTATAATTTTTCATTTTGTCAATTAACGACTATTTTTAAAAATAAAACTTTTCAGGGATCCTTTAAAGGAGAGAAAAACGATTCAATATTTGCTCAGCCTGTTACACCTATAAATTATAATGTTAGGAATGTTTTATTTGAGTTAACTTGATCAGTTTTTATATTAATTTTTTAATAAATTTCCACTGTTAGAATGAAATACCTAACAATGTTGTAAATCAACAATCAAATTCTAAAAATGTTCCTAATAATATGTGTTCGATTGAGAAGGTAAAAACAATAGTAAAAGTTTGTTTTAAAATGTACCAATTGTAAATATTTGAATATAAAATGAAAAAATCAGGAACAAGAAAAACACAGTGATGGATTTCTGGAACGAATAAAAAAAAAGCGAGAGTTTATCAGGCATTCCTTATTTGATGAAAGTGACGACACCAAAGAAATGATGTTAAAAGTGAGCACAAGTAAAACCACAGGAAAGGTATTGATTGTAACTATTATAGTAAAAAGTTGTAATAGTAAATTTTTTAACAATGAAAAAATAGTTTTGATAGTAACAATTAGTATTTGTAAATCTAAAAGTATATTAATTTAATTTTTTAACAAAATGCCTTTATAAAACTGCAGAAAGATGGCATAGAAGTTATATATGGGCAAGACTCCACCAGAAATGAGGTCGGATAACTATATTTGATCTTTATTATAAATTAATATAAATTTATTATTGAACTGTTCCAGGCGTGCTGTGGAAATTGTGGTCAAACTCACAATAGCATACAGCCTTCACGAGAAATATTAAAGGTAGCAATATGTGTTGATTAGTGACCGTTAGTTGTTGATTATTCGGAAATCGTGAGATGCGGTGTGGTGTCACCAGACCGCATCTCACAATTTCCGAATAATTAAAGGTAGTATTACAAATTAACATTTTTGTGAGCTTTTAAGTCTAAACTTAATGAAAGCTTTTACTATCGAGTCAAGCTGTTGGAGATTCCCAAATTATAAAAGATAAGTGAAAAAAAATAAAAATAACCTAGGTATTCGGGAGCATGTTATAATTTAATAATAATATTAATTTTGTGTAATTAAGGATTCATCATTTTGGTCTGCCTATCCTCATTGGACCCAGACCCAACACTGAAAATGGTGAAATGTCAAACTGTGTCTGACAGGTAAACCCAGCGAGGATTGGCAGATTAAAATAAACAATAACAACATAAAATATTGTGGTTCAACTATAGTATGTTAATTAATTATGCTTTACTGGGGTTATTTATCTAATTTTGTATAAAATTAATGGGAATGATTAATGGGACAAAATAGATAATTACCCGTATTACAATCCTATTTCAGCGCATGATGCGAGATCATAACTTAAATTTCAAGATACCTCTTGTTTTCAACATGTTGGATCACACCGATTCACTCGGTGAAATCAATCCGGACACAAATTGTTGTACCTTCCCTGGGAAAAACGTTAAAGCTGAAGAACTTCTGGTCTACATGAAATTAAGTAAGTACAAAAAGGCTCTTCCACGGAAATTATAACAATGTAAATTCCATTTGCAGAAAGCGAGGTGTTGAAAGATTTAAGAAGCTCTTTTGATCATGCAGTAAGAAATAGTTTGAACAATTCGAGCCATCCAGGCACTCCAAATCAAGAACAAAACCAAAACATCTTATACATACAAAAAGAGCCTCAAAATTCAAAAAACACTAAAAGGGGGCAAGATAAAAATACATGATTTAAGGTGTTATATAATCAACATTTTTTCTTCTTTCAATAATAGAACAAATAGTAATTTTTAATGCAATATATGTATATATGAAATAGCAAATACCTATAAATACATTACTTTTATCCCTAATTGTGGAAACCAGAGGTTTGTTTTGAACAAATCAATTAATTTTATTAATGCATATTTTATTAATGTTCAATAAACAAAGATGATTAATATCATTTCTAAAACCCATATTATTGAATAATTTTTGTGATCATAAAGTGTCAGTTTTCTGCAATAGTTAGGAGTGAATTGAAACAAATGAAGACTTCTAACACAATTAATCATCCTGTAATAAAATGTAAAGTGATTTTTCTGTCAGCATAGAGGAAGTTTCATTAGATGCTCCTGCAATGAATGTTGGATGCTCCAATACGGAAAGTTGAGAGATTTTATTCGTACGAGCTCAATGGAGTTTAAAAAGTTCTATATCAAGAATTTCAGGGTTAATCCTGGCTATTTGGATAACCATAGATGTAGATTGCCTGAAAAAAAGCTTTAAAAAACTGAAAAGATCCAACTCATGTAATCAATGCTAATTGAAAGGATAATGAAACATAAGTTTATTAATTTAAGTTTATTTGGAGAATTTGAAGTTAAATTCACACAATAACATTGAAGAAATTTATTGGCATTGAAAATTGTTAAATAACATAAAATGAAATATTTTCACTTTATTAATTCTAATGATTATAAAATGTTATCAATGAATAACAGCATTTATTTTATAACGCAACAGTTTTACTTTTTAATTCAATTGTTTAGTGTGTAAAGTTATATTTCTTGTTAAATTCCAAAACCTGGATGATAAGGAAATTCGTTCTATAAATTTAAATAAAATTGTTTCTGTTAGTTAACAATCTAAAAGCTTTTTTCTTTAACAAAATAATCTGAAAAATGTATCATTTATTTAGTAGTGTTATAAATTGGTATAAATATAATCCACCAGAAATTAAATTATATTGCTCTTTATACAATAGTTGTATTTTCAACGAGATTCAAAAACATAAAAATAATAATAAAAAGTATTACATAACATGATATCAATTCTTTCGGAAATATTCAATTTTTGTGTACCAAAAACAACTGATTTATTTTTCAGTTCAATATCAATTTAAACGTCAATTTAAAAATTGACCTAAAATATTAAAATGCGATGAAAGATACAGGCACAATTTAGTTATTTAAAAAAAAAAAATATGTAGAAACATAAATAACAAAAACAATAAACATTGCAGAAAATGTTACCCCGACTAGTAAGAAAAAACAGATACATAAACTGTAAAGTTCAAATATATTACAAAAAGCATACTTTTTTAAAATTATGTATTAATTGTCTTTATATATATATTTACTATAAAATATACAGATTTTGGCAACATTTCAGAAGCTAAATTTTTTATATATATATTTTTTTTATATTTCAGTCGATCACTATATTTAATTACTGCACCAGTTTCTGGTGGCAAAAAAACATTTGTACCAACAAAATTTTCACACGCCACTTTTTGTTTGTTTGTCAAAAATCGGTACTGTAGTTACAGATTAAAATTGAACCACCTAAATTATACATTATATACATATTATAGTTAGTTATAATACAGTGTTAGGTGTCATTGAAAAACAACAATAATAATAAAACAACAAACAGGTCGATGCCCTGTTATAGTGGCGGAAGCGCCCAAAGAGTTGCTGTCTTGTCTGCGCTGGTGCTTAAGAATGAAAACTCGGTTGGATGCCACCTCCCAGATATTACTTTATCGGAGTGCTGAGCAACGACAACACTTGGCAAAGATGTGGTTAGATCACCTGCAAGAAAAAACAAAAAACAAATTAAATAAGAAATTAAATTAAAGCCATTATTTTCTATATTACACTAAATCTAATTTCAAAGATTGAAAATTAAATAAGTAACAATTTCCTGACATACCTTGAAGATCAGTGAGGACTAGCTTGTTGTCATAACCGGCTGTAAGCAGATAATAGGCACTGGGGGAGAACCTGATAGACCTGACATCTGAAGTATGCGGTTTGAAGCATTGGAGGCTCCTTCCTCCTCTTATGTCATACAGGACACATGCTGAATCTTCATGTCCAGAAACTAGAAGACGTCCTGATGGATCCACACAAACAGCTGCTACAGCATTTCCTTGCTAAACATACAGCACAACATTGAATGTTGATAATTATTTTCTAAATGTTAATTTGTTTAGTAAAAATAAAACAACATAAACAATTAGAATTAATAACAATTCAGTAATGATACTAACCCTGGATTGTGGTGAAGTGACAGGAGTAACAACATTGACACAGCCTCTTGTTCTTAAATCCCAAAATCGAACAGTCCTGTCTTGAGATCCACTTACAAACATGGCTCCGCCCCAGTTGTACAACGAAAGGACATGGCCAGCATGTCCGCTGAGTGCTTGGTATGCCTGTCCTGTGGCACAGTCCGTAACATAAATCTTGCAGTCTCCAGCTCCTCCGCTGATCAAAAGGGACGATTTGTTTGATGCGTCTTCTAAGAAGCAGACATCACGCACAGTGCCATCGTGCATCGTCAATTCAATTTCTTGACCTGAAACAATTACAAATGAGCAAAATATGTAACCAAAAACAAATTTAACTTAACATTAATGACATTTAATCAACTTTATCGCATTCACAATAAAATTTATTAATTATTTACTTAAAACAATAATAAAAATACAGATAGACATACACAATACATACATATAACAAACTTCAATCGAATGAACTTGCTATCCCTCCACTTGTATCAATTAAGTGAACCTAATTACCATCCCTAATCTTACTAAAATTAAACACTTTGTTACATATTTATAAACAATAATCTTTTTAGTAAATAAAGCTTAAAAATTATTTTAACTAGTTATTATACTATAAAAAAATCCCCAATAAATTTTCGGGGTTTCGGTATAACACAATTTCTACCAAATAACATAAAATACTTGCAAAATTGAGTAGTAACTTCAAAAAGTGATCAACTGTTTCTTTGTCCAGGAAGACATGCTGCTTTCGCTCTAAACACTGCATTTGAATATTAAACGTGATCTTAAATTTTTTTTACACGTATAAAATGAATGAAACATAAACATTAAATAGGGCTCATGATCCTATTGAAAGAATTTTATGTCATAAATATTATCTAATATAGAACCACTGAAACATTAGGTTATACTAATTAACATTAGGTTTGTAGGTGAGAGTATTACACGTAACTTAGATTGACAAATTTTTACCTTCCAAATTTGAAGTGTCTGAATTAAACCTCATCAATTTAACAGTTTTATCGTTGCTCCCCGTAGCCATGAGATCGCCAATTGGTGTCCAAGCCATACAGTAAATGGACCCTTTGTGGTGTCTGGTCCTTTTGAACAAAACTGTCGGTTGGTATGTCGTGTGATCCTCTCTGAAGAAAACCCAAAAGGAAAAAGTTCACACATTGTTCGCATATATTACAAAGATATAACTGATAAATAATCTTTTTACCTGAGGTCGGAAAGTTTTGGATAGGCACATATGCGTAGTGTTTTCGAGTTTGACCCGACAGCGTAGACGTTCCCGTGAGGGTGGAATTCCGCACATCTGACGGCTTGTACATCTTCGAGTGTGGTTACTGCAACAAATCTCGGCCTGTTGTCGTTCGGTTCCGGTTGTTGCCTTCCAGCCTGTAACAGAAAATCATTTATAGAGGAAATTGCCAAATAGTTAATTATTCTTGCATAAAGTCAAAGTGTTTCATGTAAATCATTATTCCAGGGATTTCTGGTTAAGGTTCAATGTAACTTTAATGAAGGTCTCTGGGCTCACATTAAAAACTATTAGCTATTATTTAAAAATAAAGTCAAGAAAGTTATGTGATATTCACAATTTTTTCAAGTTGAAAGGTATATAATTTGTGTATTATCGACACTTCTTACTGAAGGTGAGATTATTTTCAGACTTTTAAATATAATTCTTAAAAATTGTATATGTTTAAAACTTGCACTAAGGATATTATGAAAATTGAAAAATTAAATGCAAATTTGATATTTGTACAAAATGTTAACTTTTTGATTTGGTTCTTGAGAAACCAACATGTCGTTGTTCGTGTGAGAAATATTTTTCCCATCAATCTAAACCCACATTTTTATATGTTTGTCCTTGATTATAGCGAAAGATAGTTTATTAGGGAATACAAATAATTCTCTCAATTGAAAGCCCGACTGATAAATCACGGCATCTGTAACGGTGTTTTCCCAATGCTCATCTTCTGAAAGATAGTATTCTTTGCAACCTGCTTGATAAATGTCCTTTACTTTATCATTTATTGTGCACAACTTCATATCAAATTTAAACGGATTTTTATTTTTTTTAACAGTAAAAACTGTTGGGTGTAGGTTGGAGAGAATAGGTAAATCAAAACAAAAAACTATCAATATTTAGCTGCTTAGAAGTATGAAGTTAATTTTTTAACAACTTGAGGAAAATGCATGAAAATATAACTTGACAAAACTGTATCCAAAATGACATTTCAATTGTGTTTTACTCAATATTGCAAAATTTGATCAAGGGTGAAAGACCATTATGAAATGAATATAAGCTAAAGAGAAAAATGGTAGTCACAGGATTGTCTCCATAAGAATATGCCCTTTCAGGGTCAATAGATGGTCAATGTACAGTTCCCAACCATAAAATCTCAAAAATTGAGATGTCATGAGCATATCTAGCGATGTGTCACCATGACTACCACATATCACAATGATGTATGCAGTTTTAAACGTTATTGTGCGATTTCTTGTTGAGGTCTGCAAAAGGATGAAAAAACTGGGTCTTTCCGATTTCCTGTTCTGTCTCCCTTGCATCTTTGGTCTGTCATGAGCTAGAGAATTTTGTGTTCTTAACTAACAGCCATAGAACATAGAATTGCAAAGCATAACAATGGATTTTGGTATTCTAGGCATTCCTATTCATGGCATGTTAGAGGGTTGAAAACGATATATTGCAGGTAAAATAAACAAATAAACATATATTTCACATGCTTATCGTTTTGTGATATTTAATTGTAAACATAATTACAGGCCTGCTTGGCATAGGTTTTTAATTTATGAGTGACTTAATTAAATGGTTTGAATGGACAATTGAATGGCTATTCGCACGATTTCAGGGTAATGAGACGACTGGGATGAAAATCTTATGTAGATCACGTCAGTCCAGCTTTCGCCCCTCTATCGAGAAAGTACGGAGTATGAAATAAATTTGGCTAATGTAGAGTTCCGTTTCTTCCGGATCTCGCCCACGGGTGTCCGTTAATATTATATTATTTTTTCAAGTTATAGCGGCATATATTCCACAAATACTGGACAGTATCCAATTTTTCGACGATGAATTGCTCCCCTTATGCTATCGTTTAAGCCTGACTGAATCCAATTTTGAGCGATTTCCGGCCACCATTAAAAAAATGTAATAAATACAATTTATATAACAATAATAAATAGAAAACGTTTTTAAGCCTTGACCCTCCTCCCAACGGTGTTACGGTATTCTCTATCGTATCCCTGTGATGTTCCAACTGTACAAGCTCTTTAGGAAAACTGGTCCGTGAGAAATCGGACTTTCCCTAGAAGGAACCTCTTTGGGGCGATGAACACTCGTACAAAAATAATTTTTATCGCGGGACATAGAAAAATTGGAGAAAAAACAGCGAGTTTGAGACCGATTTGGAGATCAGAAAGTTCGTAAGGCGGCGAAAAGAAATTATTTACATCCGGCCTCCTATTTGTACACAAGTAGAAACTCGCCCAGGCAATTCGAGAATTGCAAACAATTCTCGGCGATTCGATACCGCCGACAATTGGACGAGACAGAAGGGAGATCATTTGGAGATTTCGAGAATAGGATGAAGGACAGTGAAAGTGGAAAGTACGGTAATTGGCGAGCTGAAGAAACCAGATCGGAATAAAAGACGAAGAGTGAAAAAAAGAAGGTAAGCGTCAAGGATCAGATCCAGTGCTACACGCTACTAGAAAAGACTTACTTTTCTAATAAAAAGTCTCTAATTTCTCTAAACAGGATACTTAACGTCGTGTTTTCCTTTAAGTTCACGAGTTTCTCAACTAAATTGCTAAAACTAGCTGTGAATAATAAATTCCATTGCAACGTAAAATAAAATTAAGCAGTGCATGTAATCTACAATATGATTTTCAACCTCTGATATAGCAAATGACTTATTACTGATAACCTTTTTCTTACGATCGTAATTGAATTTTTTTTAAGAGGGTTTGCAACAGCAGAGGTCATATAAACACTTCAGGATGCCCGATGTTTTTGATAATAAAAACCCATTTGTAGGTGGATTCGAACCCGGGACCTTTACCTTACAATGATGAGTGCCGTGTCAACGCCTAAACCGTTGCGGTCACCGACGCCCCCTGTTGAAATATTGTTAAATTATATAAAATTATAGACCATATTGATAGTTTTCTTTGAAATATGGACTAAACATTGTACAATAGAGTAAATATAGCAAATTGTAATTATAATTAAAATAAGAATATCCCTCGTTACGTAAAGTGATTAACTTGTAAATCATCTCTTTTTAACTGATACACCAGATTATAAAAAAATTACTACAACTACATATAAAGGAAGCCCAGGTTTAAATACAATATTATTCAATACAAAGATTTTTTTTACAGTCAAGGCTAAAAACTTTAAGTACCACAGATAAAATTACATTAAACATAATATGTTGAATATTTAAAATTTTACAAATGATTTAAATTGAAACCTTTGAGTTTTTTCATATTTAGTTTTATTTTCCCCTACAACTAAGGCCTAAAGTACAAGTTGCAGGCCTCTTTTTACAAATGTTTAATTAAAATAACACAAGTTATCCATGATTATTGTGAATGCCATGGTGAGGAGACAAGGATGTCTGTCGTGGCAAGTCCATGAGTAGATTCAAGTTTTTACAGAAACACATTGGTCGAACAGGCGGGGCAATTTGGCATTCCAAGAGAAGAAGTTTCACTTGTAAAACATGTAAAACCGCCGTTTTCAGGCTCTGTTTAGCAGGATCAGATTCAATTTCGGTCTGACGACGGGCATCCAGCACTGATACTTTCATCCATCATCTTCTCCTCAACTTTCACTCGTAGCTCCCGTATAAATCCGCGAACGGTCAGTTTTACCGGGTGGTGAAAAGCAATTTTCGACTCGTTCGTGATTTAGCATAAAGCACGAGCGATGTGGACAATATTGGTTGTACTTAAAACGGACCAACTAGCTACGAGCTTCGTCGGATATCAACTCTAAATGGAAATTTCCGCCTAGTCAAATTAAAACAAACTTACTATTCATTACTATTTACATACAAAAAAGGCATTAAGTTTCATGTAATTATGTTTCGTAAAATGTAATTCTCGCTAGTCGGAATAGGGCATTCTCGAACAGGCCCAATTTTAATAAGGACCAATTTAAATTATTCGAACCTTTCAAACATTCTCCTACTGACTCACACGGAAAGTAAACCTCCAAATTATTGTTTAAAGGACAGACTTTTTTTCTGACAGAAAGGTTGATTACATGTAAAACAGGAATGCCCGAAGGCACTTTCAAAAACTTTTGAAGCGGTTGGATAACACGTATCCTTCTCTTTTTCACTCTCTCCACCACGGGTAAATTCACACCTTTGGACATAAACGCGTGCACGATCTAAAAGTCCGAGATAATCCAATTTTTCGTTTTCGTTTTTATCCAAAAGGTTGAAAAACCCCAAGTTTTCCGTGGTTGAAATATTTTATTCATTTTGTCTATTATATGGCGATCCGGGGGATTACGGCCCATCATCAGTACATAAAAAAGGAAAACCTCATGGTACAATTGCCATCCGAAGATACACACATAAGTAATTAACAAAAAATAAATATACATGGACTATGCCATTTTGAGGGAGACATCTTCAAAATGGTTTAAAAACTGTAATAATGTATGTATATAACTGTAATATATTCTAAGTCATATTATATAATATTTATGCTTGAAATCTTTCTTACGATGTTTCTACGTTAACAAAATCCAGTCTAAAAATTTAATAAGAATAGAGTGACAGTAAATATTTAAGGATTGAAATGAAAAAAGGTCCCATTTTAGCAATGACATTAATGATTATTTGGAGATCATGAGATGCGGTCTGGTGTGACGTAGGTTTTTAGAAAAACATTTTCTTTATCGTGCCAACGTTTCGATCTTTACTGAGATCATCTTCAGGGCCTGGGGTTTATAAACGATGTTTAAATTTTACAAATACATACAGGATGTGGAAAAAAATGAATTTATACAATGCTAGAAATTTTAGATTCAATCAAGAATGACACATTTACCAGAAAACAAATTGTAAAATTTAAACAATGTATGGTGATTAATGACCGTTAGTCGATGATTAATTGAAAATCTTGAGATGCAAAAAAAAAAAATTGCGTTGTATAAATTCACTTTTTCCACATCCTATATGTATTTGTTAAATTTAAACAATGTTTGTAAATCCCAGGCCCTGAAGATGATCTCAATACAGATCGAAACGTTGGCACGATAAAGAAAATGTTTTTTTGAAACCTACGTAACATCAGACCGCATTTCACGATTTTCGCATAATCAATTTAAACAATGTTTATAAATCCCAGGCCCTGAAGATGATCTCAATAAAGATCGAAACGTTGGCACGATAAAGAAAATGTTTTTCTAAAACCTACGCCACACCAGACCGCATCTCACAATCTCCAAATAATCATTCGCTAACGGTCACTAAACACCACACAAATGACATTAATTTTTATGTTTGTACTTTCTGAACTAGTGAAATTTTTTTATTTAACAGCACATTAATTGGCCTGTACACTGTTTTTGGACTTGGAAATTTATGTTTATTCTGCAATAATCCTAACAAATTTATACAACCCTCTAGGAGTGAAAAGAATTTTGAGACTATTTCCTTGTGGAATAATAACCGCCTACATAGGAGCCGTTTTGTAACTATTTAGTTTATCCACAGGGGTCAGCAGGGTTTTTTTGCCTTTTCACAGCAGCGCTAATGGTAGTGACCTACTCCAGTTGGATGTATAACAGAATCATTGGTATTATACGAGAAGAAAGGTAAAAGCTAAACGGAATGGAGGTCTAATCATTTTAGACAACCGTACAGTGAAAAGCAACTATTGTCTCAACACACACATACACACGCCGACCCGGACATGTGCATAATTCTAATTATAAACAATCGACTCGTCCGGTACACAATGCTCCTTTTTTCCCTCCTTCAACGTAATTACACCCATTTTTTTTTCCACAAATTAGAATTCCCGCGCTACAGACTCTTTACCCATTTAATGGACATGGCCATTATTCGCATAATCAGAAATGGAAAACGGTCGAAAGAGGCCTGTCTTGATTTTTTTTTTATAGAGAGAAAATAGTTTTATTAATGATAAAGTTACGTAAGTCGTTATATGAATACTGTCATGTTTATTACATTCGGAAAAACAGTCGGGAGGAAGGGTATTGTGACGAACGGTTCCACTGGAGTGGCTATGTCGGTCTATTCAAATGAGCATGCACCTTTTCAAGTTTGTTGTTTTTATTTCTGTTTCTGTTTGATCTTCTAATTAGAATTGTCTCGCAGGTACAGTTAGTTGTTACATGTGACAAAATTCGTTAAAAAATGAAAAAGTTCCCGTTAAAAATTTTTTAAAACACAAAATAGTACTAATTGATGATTGGGATCAATGTGGTCCAAAATTAAATAGTCGTATCTTTTTTTACCAAGCTTTCGGCCTTTCATTAAGCCTTCCTCAGGGCTGGATACTTAGTTATAAATAAAAATAAAAATAACAGGAAGATTGTAACATCCTTTACAAAAATGCATCTAGTCACCGTTACGATTTAATGTAAATAGTATTTATTAATTAGATTATTTATTTAGTGTTATTTATTTGTTAACAAATAACATTTAACCTGTAAAAACTTAATATTGTATAAAGTAATAACCTAAGAACAATCGTCGTTTCAACCAAAACCTTACATAACGAGATTAATTAATTGAAAGAAATAATTTGGTCAATCGGACCACTAAATATAATGGATTTAATAAGAAAAACGAAGTATATCTTCACTAAAGCTCTCCTTGGACATTTCATTTATCGCTGAGAATCGAATCCTGATTTCACGACATTTGAAAAATGGCAAAAAGGAGGAAAACCTTACAAAAAAGATTAATAAATTCTAAAAACAAAAAATGACCTAAGTACTTGAACGAGTCGCTTTTATTTATGTTTTTATTTATATTTTTAATTAAGTATCCAGGAAGGCTTAATAAAAAGTGTATGGTGATTAGTGACCGTTAGTCGAAGATTATTAAAAAATCGTGAGATGCGGTCTGGTGTGATGTAGGTTTCAGAAAAACATTTTCTTTATCGTATGAACGTTTCGATCTTTATTGAGATCATCTTCAGGGCTCAAAGTGTTTGTTTTCTGTGAAATTGTGCCATTCTTGCGTGTCGTGTTGAGAATGACCACTGTCGCAGAATACAGGAAATCACACAATATAACGTTATATACACATTGGATCGAAGTCACGATAGCTTACGTGGTTAGAGCAGCGACTTATTTAGCCGAAAGTCGTGGGTTCGAATCTCGCTCGTGACACTAACTTTTTCATTTCAACCAATGCCTTACATAAATATTAATTAATTGAAAGAAGTTATTTGGTCAATCGGACAACGAAATGTAATGGATTTATAAGTAAAACGAAGTATATCTTCACTAAAGCTCGCTCTCCTTGGACATTTCATTTTCGTTGAGAATCGAATCCTGATTTCACGACATTTGAAAAATGGCACAAAGGAGGAAAGTTCGAAAGGTGGGTGAGATGGGAAGTTGGTGTCCGAGCGGATCAAAGTCACGATAGCTCAAGTGGTTCGAGCAGCGGCGTATTGAGCCGAAGGTCGTGAGTTCGAATCCCGCCCGTGACACTAACTTTTTCATTTCAACCAATGCCAATAAAATTAATTAATTGAAAGAAGTTATTTGGTCAATCGGACCACGAAATATAACGGGCTATATAAACAATACCACACAATAGTTTCGTTGAAAATAACAGATAAATAACAGTCTTAAATATTAACAAATTATTACCTATTATAAAAGTGTACTTAGTAAAACCTTTTTAAGAAAAAAGTTTAATGCTGCCATGCCAAACACATGTCGAAATATTTTCTATCATATTTTAACTGTTAAAAGAAAGCGAATGAAATGAAAAGTTTCACATTTGTTTCTACACTACGAAATTTCATTACATTATACATTGAAAAGAGTTTCAATTGTCAAACATTAAAAACTATTATTATATTTGCATATTTTGTCATGTAGCATTGAAAAATACATATTGGATGAATGTCCACATGTTATCCGAAGACTTAAATTTATAAGTTATTTTCAAAAAATTTAATGTCAGTTTGAAATATATATTAAATATCAAAATGTTGAGGTTGAAAACACTGACGAATACAATCCAAATAAATGAAAAATTAAATACTTTGAATCCCACAGATTTATCACTAGAAATACTTTATTTAATGGGGGGTAAACCGATCCAGAATATAGTCCGCATGGGACTTCAGAACGCGTTGAAACGAGCAATGGCGTTGATGAGACACCATCAATGGGTAAGCCAATTCTTGTACGTAGACTTAAAAACACTTTTCATATTGCTCATGACGGATTCAAATGATAACTTAGATGGGAAAATAAGCAACGTGTTGTTTAAGTTGAAGCCGATCCTCAATTTGCTGGAGACGATGTTCGCCAGGAATCTCAGACCGATGCCAGTGATGTTTGAGAATATGTTGAAGACGATCAGAGAAAAATATCCCGACAGGCCTTTCTATGCCACGTACGAGAGAAGGATGGCTTCAGGGTCCATAGTGGTCTGGCAGACGAGGAAGACCGCCCCGATACAGAGCGTGAGGGACGACGATGTCAAGATAATTTATCCGGCCTATAAGGACGTCAATCTTGAGGTCAAGTTAGACGAGGCCAGGAGGTTCGTCAATAAAGTCAAGTTCACGATAAAACTAGTCGAAGAATCATCTTTGTCAGAAGAAGACAAGTCTATGTTCAGTTCTCTTCTCAAATCCATCCTAAAAATGATGTCACAGAACGCGGCTTGGGTGATGAACTGCTCGTTGAAAATAGAGGAACAGGTTAGCAGTCTCAAAACTATGCTAAACATGAAAAGAGTCAACAAAAAGGATTTGGCCAAAATAAATGAGCAGCTGACTAAAGCAGTACGAAAGTTTAATGAAAAGTACATCTGTTGGAGAAAAGCAGAACAGAACTTCTGGTATAGGGTCGAACCATTCCTCGGCCTTCTGGCCACTCAGGTTTCGCAGTCGCTAATATTACAAAAAAAGCATTTAATGTACATGAATAAATGTAAATAAACATTTCCAAATACTTTCGCTTATTATTTATTGCTGCTTTCGAGCAATAACCACACCATCGCTCTGCGAGATGAGGAACCTTTCGGTCATTGCACGTCATTATAGACTGCCTGTGCTGTTTTAATGCGTTTTCGGCTTCCGCCATTATCAGTCAAAAACAGCTAAGATAAGCAAACGAAAGTGATCAGAAGCGACATGGCTACAAAACTTTAAACACTAGATTCACTAATTTCGTGGTCCACTTGACTTCCAAGTATACTTCACTAAAGCTCTCCGTGGCCATTTCATTTGTCGTCGAGAATTCAATCCGATTACACGACATTTGAAAAATGGCAAAAAGGAGGGAAAATGCAAAAGGTGGGGTTGAGATGGGAAGTTAGTGTCCGAGTGGATCGAGGTCACGATAGCACAAGTGGTAGAGCAGCGGCGTATCTAGCCGAAGATCGTGGGTTCGAATCCCGCTCGTGCCATTGAATTTTTTATCTCAACTAAAAACCTTAATTAATTGTAATTTAAACACTAGTTTTCAACTTTTATCAATATGATTTAACTGTTATTACACCTATTACCTGCACCCCTTAGTTTATAAAAGACTGCAAAAAGTATAGGAAAAGAATGAATGAGGAAAAATGCATGTGTAAGTTTACATTGAAAAAAGTCTTGCTTTCCAGTGTACAAAATCCAGAAGTTACCAACTTCCATTCAAGTCAGATAGTTAGGACTATACTTAGAAAGCAGACTGACGTGAAGCTACCACACAAGACGTAAGAGACAATAATTTAACAGAAGACTGGGACAACTACGAAGACTTCTAGGACTGACTGACCATCATAACACAACTAATCTTATACAACACTTTAAGACGGACTGGAACTCAGGGGTTCTGCCAAGTCATCCAACATCCAGCGCATCCAATCCTTCTCATCAAAAGTCCTCATTCAAATATTGTCAAAGCTGCTTACTACGTCCTTATTAAGTCCATTCCTTTTCTCAAATAACTGATCTGATCCCGCTTCATGTGCGAAAGTTCAACACCAAGCTCTATGGCCTGCATCTGAACATTACAAACAAGCAGCAGTTAAAAATTTGGTTCATCGTTTTTTAGAAAATCTGGCACGTAATGACTAAACTTTATAACTAAATTGTGCGAAAAATGAATAATAAGAATAAAATAACTAGTTATAGGACAATTATTTTTGATAATAAAAGATTTTCTTTATTCCCTGGTCGATTTGATAGTATGGAAAATGTATTCTAAAACCAAAACTCCAAGCAAATATTGGTTGTCTGAAGATGTTGAAGTTAAAAACGTAATTCCATTCAATTATTTAATTACTTGTTTTTTCAAACCAACACATGTTTAAACAAAACTCTGCACTCATTTACAAGGGATTTTCTCTAAAAGATCTTCAGATTCAGTCACTTGAGAACTTTCCCACTGCTTTATATAACGATTTTTGAAAGGCTGGAAACCACTTTTCTTTTGAATAAAATAAATAGATTATATTGATAAATAAATGATTAACGGTTTGCTCATATTATTTCAGTGGGAGAAGAGAATTTTCAAATCTTCGCCTAACTTTCATATCAACGGAAAATTCGATTTCCCCCCTCTCGGGGGTATTGAACACACGCACACGCGCACGCACGGACATACATATACATACATACATACATACACACCATATACATTGTAACGAAGTGCTTATATTGTAAACAAAAAATTAAACCAAGGAAATCCAGCACACTCTCTCTTTTACAGACAATTACTGAGCGTTCGACTCGGTTGATTATAAATTATAAAGGAGAAAAATTAAAGTTTTTCTTGTTTCTCAGAGACAGAAGGAGGGTTAACTTTCTCCTCTTAACTACTAAATTAATACATTTCATTAAACTAGATGAGTTATGCAATGAGTAGCTCGTCGCAATCCTCTCATTTCTCTTCACAGCTTTTGACTTCTTGAATTAGGCTTCGAGTACTTGAAGCATTAACTAATTTCAAAAGGTGAAACAACTGGCGGAATTCGTAAAATTAAATTGTGCCTAACATTTTTAGTTCTGGTTATTTCAATTTCTTTCAGTCAGATTTGATAATAAACCATAGAAAAATAAACTATAAACCATAATATTTTTAAATTAAATTATTATTTTTAATTACAATTAATTAAGGTTTTTAGTTGAGATGAAAAAAGTTAATGGCACGAGGGGGATTCGAACCCACGATCCTCGGCTAGATACGCCACTGCTCTACCACTTGAGCTATCGTGACCTCGATCCACTCGGACATCAACCCCACCTTATGAGTTTTCCCTCCTTTTTGCCATTTTTTCATCTCAACTAAAAACCTTAATTAATTGTAATGATTTAATTGGTCAAGCGGACCACGAAATTAGTGAATTTATTTTTTTAATATTAAAACAGGAAGATTGATTAGATCTGTCTTTATTTTATGTAAACAGAGGTTTGAAAATATTCAAGTTATATGTCGCCGAAATTTTTTGGGTCGTCCAACTGTTAATCCTTGGCTTGTAAGACGCATTTTGGCATTTGGCATCTTCACTGGTTGGTCTGCGCGCATTCACGTGCGACTACTCCATAGCCACCGAAAGAGCAAATTCAAAGTCGACGCACCACTTCTCATTTTACAGAATCAGAACTGACCGAATACCACACTGTCTAAAACAGCAGAAAACGACCAAACTACATGTTCATCACCTGACAGACTTAAGAATCTTAAAAGTTAATGGAGTGATGCCATGTCTGTCCTGCTGATTTGTCTCGAGACGACGTTTCATTATATGCAGACAACTTCTAATTTTGATCTTGTGTACTTGTTTGGCTTGAGTATTAGCCGTCTACATCCAACATCCACTACACGGCCTAAAGGAGGATTCAAATTTTATCGCGGAAAAACAGTATTTTTGAGCATAATAGCACCGATTGCACGAAATTTTTTTAATAACTGAACTGCACACATTTTTTTAATATTTTATTTATTTATTTGTTCACGAGGGTATTTTAACTACGGGATTATATGAAACCTCGGGGTGCCAGTGTTTTTAACGAAAAAAGGCTCATTTGTAAGTACGTCTAATTCGAATTCAGGGCTGCTGGATTCGAACGTGGGACCATTAATTATTCATGGTAGCATTGAAAACCTGCCCTACTATTTCAGTAGAAGTTGGATAGTCGGAACAAAATGATAAAAAACGACCAAGCTACAGACTGGACTGGGTTGGTCAAGGAAAGTCAATGAGAACATGTTGATAATTGAACAATACCGGAACGGAGGATTATTGTTAAATTTATGGCGGTTTATTTTTAATAGAAAGAATGTAAAAACAGCTTTTGTCATTTTGGAAAAACAGGTGTACAGTTGACCCCTGGGAAACAGGTCCGGGATACAAGTCAGGGCGCGGAAAACCTCGAAATGGTCTTGTTTATTATATCCGGCAAACGTATTCGTGCTCCATTTTCGAAAGAGACAAGATAAAAAGCGTACGAGTCTCCGGGGTGCTCCATTTTCGCAGCTGTAAACCAGTCGTCCTAGAGGTTCGGGAACCGCCAGAGTAAATAAAACGGGATCTGGAATTTTATGCCAAATGGATCAATTGCCTCTGACCAGAATCCGTGCTGAAAATCTTGCCTTGAGGGACATAAGAGTGAGAGATCTCAAACATTTGTAAGTAAAGGAGGGAGCAAATTTAGAAGTTCTGAAGAAATACTTCTGACAGAAAAAACCAAAGAGAGGTCAAGAGGCGATCACTAAGTAATTTCAAAATTCATGACTAAAATGATCTATTTTTATAACGTAATAAAATATCTATCTAAAATATCATGCAAAAACTAAATCACTACAGGACATTTATAATAAACGTGCCTGTAATATATTTGAAAACTAATAAATAAAACTTTATTATAATCCTTGTTTTTACATATTTATAGCCAGAATGGTCCATTTATTTTAAAAAATCACACCAAGTAAACAATTATGTTTATAATATATAAGCATTTCTGAATTTTAACAACGTCAACATGCCCTGAGAGATTTAATTATGTAATAAATGTTTGTAACTGCTTTACGTAACAATTATATAAGATGTCGTACTCAAATTAAAAATATATTAGGTGACAATTTGTACGCCGGTGTTAAAAAAAAAATTAAAAAAAAAAATTCACCGCCTAGGAAATAAAATTAGTTAATGACACGGCATTACCAAGGGAAAGCAGAATGCTTTCAATTTTGTTCCTAGAGGCAAGAAACAACGAAGTTGTTTACAGTAGGAAGTAAATTGAACTTTAATTGAACGAAAGCAGTTATCCAATTTCTTTGTGTAGGAAATGATGTACAGCGACTAAGCCCCCCTGAGGCACCTTTCACTCTCACGTCTCGATTCTTTCATTTATTGTATTATTTGTGTCGACGATTAACTGAAACTTCCGCTAGAAAATGTCTCAAAATTGTCTTTTTTAAGGCTTACTAGTTAAAGCGTATAAATATGACTATTAAGGACTGACTAAAATAGCATAAACGACGAAAGAAAAAATGGTTACATAAAAGTGAAACCGTCTGCTACGTCAAAAAAAGGAATTTAACAAAAATAATATAAATTGTACAGTTTTGTCTATATAAAAAAGAGGTCGTCGGAGAATAAGATTTTCAACTAAGAGAGAGCTTAAAATTCACTACAGAAATAATATAGAGCCCATTCTTGCATGACTGTATTCACCTTATCTTATCTATGCAAAAATCTCTATTCTGCATAATTATATGATCATTGACATCGTATTTTTAGGTGCCTTCTTTTGCAACAAATCGAACCGATTTACACCAGACTTGTCCGTTTTCTGAGTTACTTGCATAACCTGGTCGCATGATTGTTGTTCTGTCAATTGCACACATTGAGACACATTTTCTTCAGCTCGAATGTTGGAAACATATAATTTGAAGAAGCGAGGCCGGTCGGTGTCAATATTCTGAAGACGTTTAGTTTCGAGTTCGAACTGGTCC